CTTCTCTCTCTCTCTCTCTCTCTCTCTCTCTCTCTCTCTCTCTCTCTCTCTCTCTCTCTCAAATAACGAATCACTGTTGGTTAACACCTTCATTATTCATGTCTCAATAGCTTTGTTAATGAAGGAAATCACAGTGTAGAAAGAACTAAAAAAGATATGGAAGTTTTAAGAGCAAAAGCATGTTTTGAAACTGAAATACTTAATTAAGTTTATAATGTACCACATGATGAGTTTACTGTTTAACATTGTACGTATGACCAAGACTCAAGAGGTTGCAGGAAATGCCAAAATTAACACAACCCATATATAAGAATGAATCTAAACTTAGAAAGACACATGTAATGGCAAACAAAGAATTAACCTCACGTGTCCCCAATGTTTTTGTTGTGTGATGTCGGAGAGATAACCTAGAGAAGAATTCACTTAACGCGTGGTGGTAGACTCTGATCTGATCCACCAATGCAGATCATTTAGGAAAGGTGAGACGTTGGATTTCGATCAAATTGAAGTTTCGATAAAGACATGTGTAATTGGCAAACAAATAGTTGACTTTTATAGACATAATTAGGTAAAATAAATAAATAATTAAAGATCGTAAATATATAAGAATTTTGTAACCAAATCACCCTTATTTTTTAATCAAACGCCTCAAACATGAGTCACTCACTCTCCAACATATAGAGTGCTTGATCAAATAAATCACTTAATGGGCCTTATTATACAGATTATGTATGGCCTGTAAAAAAGTTACGGCCCAAATATGTTTTTTTTCCGACAGCTCCGTGGAGTGGAGGGATCGTGAAACTGAAACTCGACTTGGCTCTCCGACTCGATCCAGTTTCAATTTCAGACACGACCAACACACAACAAGAGACAAATCAACTCTTTGTCTTCATCGATCGTCGACAGCCAACAAATCCGATTACATCGATCATCCATCTGTCTAACTGTTTTGCCAATCCTCTGCGTGAAATTGAAGTTTGGTGATTTTGAACTGTGTGATCCACGAATCTGCGATGCGTTTTGCTTCGACCAGACCACTGATACCCTGAAAAAAAAATGAGCTTCTGTTGCAAAGTACCAAATCCGGTAAGTATCTTTGGATCGAATCAGAACTGCCACTGGCTAATAAATCAACCGATCGAGTCATAAATTTAGGGTTTGACCCCTAATTGCGATGGATAGAAGTTGGGGTTTGTTACTTCTTGTATTGATTTTGTTCATCTCCAATGTAACGTCGTTTGGGAACCTTCGTGAGTTAGTTGATGAAGACACACAAAAGGATTCAAATTCAACCACTAAACAAGTAAAATTCGTTTCCTTCTTTGTGTGCTTTCTCGTTTGATCTTAGATAAGGTTTTGAACAATGTGTTTTGACTTTACTCTTATGTTTTTTTCTTTTCCAGAACTCTCAATTGCCTAATGTTAAACCCAATGTTACCTCATCAGAATCTCCTTTGCTAAATAGTAATTCGACGAATCCTAATCCTAAAGAGCCTGTTACAGCGAGTCCTCCTCCACAACTGCAACCTAAAATTGAGAAGAATGATACAAAAGTGTTGAATACAACAGAGCCTATTAGCCCGCCTCCACCTCCAGCGAACTTAACGGATAGTCAGGATAGTGGAAAGCTCCCGGCTAAAATGGCGCCGCCTCCAAAAAGTTTGGAGAGTGGGAAAAATGGGACGGAGCCAGGTAAGGAGAGTCCACCTGTGGCTAAAGATTCTGATAAGGTGGATGACGTTAAGGAGAGCTCAGAATCTGGCAGTGTAGAGACCTGTGCAGGAAATTCTAACATGTGTACAACTTATAATTCATTGGTGGCTTGCACTTTGAGCATTGATAAAGGTACTGATATATTTGCGCCTTCTTGTAGTATTGTTTGTCTTTTTATTTAGGTACTCTTGGTTTCATCTCTGGCATGGTGCGTTCCTTTTTGTTGAACAACGCAATGATATAAGTGGTGTTTTCTTCTTGATTCAAAGCCATATAGTAGGGTTGTTTGCAGCATAGATATGTTTATGAAAATGGTTGGATAAGTTGTGGAGATGGTCTTTATGAAACTAGGGATCAAATTAGCATATGGTTTTACATTGTTGGAAACCTTTGTTGCAGAATAAACGACAAAAGCTAGCAGATGTTTGACATTTTTAGGTTGTGTTAATTTGTAAATATTTCGACAACATGAACCTTTCCGCTTTGTATGTTCTGTTTTCAACAGTAGGTTTTGCTTGGGTTGATTTAAATTTCTTTTTTTATAAGTTGTGTTTGATAATTGCAGGTTCTGCTAACTGGTTGGTTCTAGTTCAAAATGAAGGTGAAAAATCTCTAAAAGCAAAGATTGTTCTTCCGGTTAACTCTCTACAAGAACTGACACTGCCAAAACACCAGAGTAAAAGGGTATGTCGTTTCCGAGTTGATTCCATTGATAAAAGCATTATCTTTGGCATTTTTGTCTATGGAAATCTGATTTCTTTTTGTTATTTTTGATGATACAATGCAGTACTAAACTGAATCGATCTGCTTTCACTTGCACAGGTAAACATATCCATTAGTGGAGACATAGACAAGATCAAACTAGATGCAGGGAAAGGAGAGTGTGTGCTTCATATGTACCCACCAGAAGCAAACACGTTACCATTCCGCTTTCCCTCATATGAAAAGCTAATGACCCCCATTAACGGTGCCTATTTCCTGATAGTATCTGTCATAATTTTTGGGGGAATTTGGGCATTGTGTCTATGCCGGAAGAACCGACGTGCAGGCGGTGGAGTGCCTTACCGGGAGCTAGAATTGAGCGGAGGGCCAGGCTTGGAAAACGAGTCAGGAGTCCATGATGTGGAGACAGCAGACTGGGACGAGGGTTGGGACGATGATTGGGATGAGAACAATGCTGTGAAATCGCCCGGTGGTGCAGGAAAAGGTGTCAGCATCTCTGCCAACGGCTTAACAGCAAGGGCCCCAAACCGAGATGGTTGGGATCATGACTGGGATGACTAGAGTTAATTGTGTGTTATATAATCAGTGACAACAGAAGAATCAAAACCACTCGGATACAGAGTTTACTGCAAAGAAGACAAAGACAGAAAACAAAAGGTTCATGTATACACAATTCGCCTATATAAAATATTTTTGAAATTCTTTTTCTTTAGTAAGTTGAAATGTCAAATTTTGTACCACAGTCCTCCTCTACTCCCAACCAGAAATCTTGTGTTTTGTTTCCAAAATTTTAATTTCAAATTTTTGTATCATTGCATATGGTGAACACTTTCATTATAATTTTTTGTACTTTACCATCCTTTTCCAGTGTTTAACACTCTTGTGAACTTTTTTGTACCAACACTACTTATTCATGATTCATGAACAATTCACATCAAGAAGATTATATAGTACATTCTTATGTCTCTCTACTCTCAGTGCTAGAAACTTATAGAGAAGGCCCACTTCTCTATATGGGCCATATGAGGTGAAACAGAGACAAGAATTAAAAAAAGGCCCATGATTACGTAAACAAAGAAAACTAACAAAAAGAGTTACAATCAAAACAGACCCCCAGGCTTTCCCTTTTTAGGAGTATAATAATATTTTATAAACAAAGAGTAGCACCAGCTCAGCCACGAGCGGTCGTCGTCACTCGTCACCACCGAACACATAAAAAAATAAAATATATACGCGTTTCTAAAATTGTTGTTCTTTATATCATGAACTGTCATACAGTATCCCACACCATATATACCATACCAATCAACATTATCCTACGATGGTCGGACATGTAATTCCAGCTGTACTCCTAAGGTCATTATCGTCATTTTCTCTAACTCATCCTTAAGCAAGCCGGCGTCAATGAATTTTAAAAAACCAAAACCTAAACTATACAGTATACAATATCCAAAATTAATCAAATCTTATTAGATTATTTTAAAAACGTAAAACGCGTAGAGGGAGGCAACAATGCTGTCCGTTTTGTCGTCTTAACTAAATAATACTGCTAACCTCTCCCACTCATTTAATTCCTTTTTTTTCAACTCTTCTCTCTCTCTCTCTCTTCCCCCAAATATCTCTCTGTCTTCTCCAAAACAATAAACAAAACTCTCTTCCGATTTCATCGCTTATTAGGGATTCTTCTTCCCCGATTCTTCAGGTATGTTCATCTTCTTCACTTCACTCTCCCTACTACTCATTTCAAACTTTACCATTTAAGCTTACTTCTCGTTAATCAACTGAACATAGCTCTTTCCATTTTTAGATCTGTGAAAATTTCACAGTTTTGATTTTTTTATGTGTTTATTCTGTTTTATGACAGATCTGAGAAGAAGATCTTTCCGTGGGGAACTGTTCGTGATCGATGAAGATCACGGAGGGACGACTCCGTCTCTCTCTTTTTCTTCTTCTGTTATCTGCAACTTCTTTAATCTCAGCTGATGATTACTCTCCAACAGAGAAGATTTTGTTGAATTGTGGTGGAGCTTCTGATCTCCGTGACACAGATAACAGAACATGGATCTCCGATGTCAAATCCAAGTTCTTATCTTCTTCTTCAGGAGACTCAAAGACATCGCCGGCGTTAACACAAGATCCTTCTGTTCCCGAAGTTCCTTACATGACGGCTAGAGTTTTCCGATCTCCTTTCACTTACACTTTCCCCGTTGCCTCAGGTCGCAAGTTCGTTCGTCTTTACTTTTATCCAAACTCGTACGATGGTCTCAACGCTACGAACTCCCTCTTCTCTGTCTCCTTTGGTCCTTACACTCTTCTCAAGAACTTTAGTGTTGCTCAGACGGCGGACGCGTTGACTTACGCTTTCATCATCAAGGAGTTCATTGTCAATGTTGAAGGTGGAACCTTGAACATGACTTTTACTCCCGAATCAACCCCTTCTAATGCCTATGCCTTTGTTAATGGGATTGAGGTCACTTCGATGCCTGATTTATATAGCAGCACTGATGGCACTTTGATCGTGGTGGGATCATCTGCTTCTATTACTATTGATAACAGTACTGCTCTTGAGAATGTTTACAGGCTCAATGTTGGAGGGAATGATATCTCCCCTTCTGCGGATACGGGTTTGTTCAGATCGTGGTATGATGATCAGCCTTATCTCTTTGGTGCAGGCCTTGGGATTCCTGAGACTGCTGATCCTAACATGACGATTAAGTACCCTACGGGGACTCCTTCCTATGTTGCTCCTGTGGATGTTTACTCAACTGCAAGGTCCATGGGTCCAACTGCTCAAATCAATCTCAACTACAATCTCACTTGGATTTTCAGCATTGACTCTGGTTTTAGCTACCTTGTCAGGCTTCATTTCTGTGAGGTTTCTCCTAACATCACTAAGATCAACCAACGGGTGTTTACAATCTACCTCAACAACCAAACAGCTGAGGGTGAAGCTGATGTGGCTGGCTGGACCAATGGAAATGGGATTCCGCATCACAGGGATTACGTGGTGAATCCACCTGATGGAAAGGGACAGCAAGATCTATGGCTTGCTCTTCATCCAAACACTATTAACAAGCCTGAGTATTATGATGCTATTCTTAATGGAGTTGAGATATTCAAGATGAATAACTCTGATGGTAATCTGGCAGGTCCCAATCCTATACCTGGTCCACCGGTGACTGCAGACCCATCTAGAGTCCTACGCCCGCGTGCTAAGAAATCAAATAGCCATACGGCTGTTGTTGCTGGCGCAGCCAGTGGTGCGCTCGTTCTGGCCCTTATTATCGGTTTCTGTGTATTTGGCGCTTACCGCAGACGTAAGCGTGGTGATTACCAGCCTGCAAGTGATGCAACATCAGGGTGGCTTCCACTGTCTCTTTATGGAAACTCACATTCTGCTGGCTCGGCAAAGACGAACACAACAGGAAGTTATGCCTCGTCCCTTCCGTCGAATCTATGCCGTCACTTCTCCTTTGCTGAGATCAAAGCAGCCACTAAAAACTTTGATGAGTCCCGCGTGCTTGGTGTTGGAGGTTTTGGAAAGGTTTACAGAGGAGAAATTGATGGCGGAACCACAAAAGTAGCCATCAAGCGAGGAAACCCAATGTCTGAGCAAGGTGTACACGAGTTCCAGACTGAGATTGAAATGCTTTCGAAGCTTAGACACCGTCACCTTGTGTCGCTGATCGGATACTGTGAAGAGAACTGCGAAATGATTCTAGTGTATGATTACATGGCTCATGGTACAATGAGGGAGCATCTCTACAAAACTCAGAATTCTCCTCTACCGTGGAAGCAACGTCTTGAGATATGCATCGGGGCAGCCCGAGGTTTACATTATCTACACACTGGCGCAAAACACACAATCATCCACAGAGATGTGAAGACAACAAACATTCTATTGGATGAGAAATGGGTGGCCAAGGTCTCTGATTTCGGTCTATCGAAGACTGGTCCTACACTAGACCACACACACGTAAGCACGGTAGTGAAAGGAAGTTTCGGTTATCTTGACCCAGAATATTTCCGAAGGCAGCAACTTACTGAGAAATCCGATGTTTACTCCTTTGGCGTCGTTCTCTTTGAAGCCCTATGCGCGCGTCCAGCCTTGAACCCGACACTGGAAAAAGAACAAGTGAGCTTAGCGGAGTGGGCACCATACTGCTACAAGAAAGGCATGCTTGACCAGATTGTTGATCCATATCTCAAGGGCAAGATCACACCGGAATGCTTTAAAAAGTTTGCTGAAACCGCGATGAAGTGTGTGCTAGACCAGGGCATTGAGAGACCATCGATGGGAGATGTTCTGTGGAACTTAGAATTTGCATTGCAACTTCAGGAAAGCGCAGAGGAGAGCGGGAAAGGAATATGCGGTGACTTGGACATGGATAAGATTAAGTACGATGATGGCAACTGTAAAGGGAAGAACGACAAGAGTTCTGATGTGTATGAAGGGAATGTGACGGACTCAAGGAGCAGTGGAATAGACATGAGCATCGGTGGTCGGAGTTTGGCCAGCGAAGATTCAGATGGACTCACTCCAAGTGCTGTGTTTTCTCAGATCATGAATCCTAAGGGACGTTAGAGAGTCTGACAACACGGTCGGCACACTCCCTACCTTTCTAAACTGGCTCCATCCAAAAGGAGACGGGTTCGTTTCTCTTTTATATATATTTTTTTCCTTAACTATTTATTATTTCCTTTGCTGCTTATTTATTTAGAATTTTGGATTTGTGTATTTGATACTACCACGATGGAGAGTGTAAAAAATAATGTATTTCTTTTTTTCTTTCACTTTCTACAAAACATTAAACATGAATCGCGTCAATGTACTATTTTGGATTGTTGTCTATAACGCTTTTGGTAATGGATGCTTCGTTCCTAACCATTACAAGACAGAACTCTTGTGAACAAACCAGACGACCCACTTATGAGAGAACGAACCCAAATGATACTCTAATAATAGCCGGAAGGGGACAGTTAACATCACAAACGAGTGTCACCCGTTCACCACTTCTCTGTTTTATATGGATTTTATTAAACTAATCTTGTGCTAAACTAACAACGATTATACACCTTTTTCTATACTAGTGTCTTTTCTTGGAAGTAACTTGAACTAAACAATTAGGGTCTAACTGATTACTCGAGTTTTTAACCCGATAACTTAACCGAAGTAAAGTATATGCGGGATCGATCACAAGGAGCAATGGTACATTAAAGACTTGCGAGACTCGTTCGTAACTAAAACGGAAAGGGTTTTTGTTTGCTTTTCAGTTTTGTAAATAAAAATGCAAATAAAAGAGAGATTTAAACTTATGAATTAAAGACATTGGGCTGCAGGGTATTTTCAGAGAATCAATGAATAACAAATAAAAGCAATAAGGAATTCAGACATGAAGAACCGTTCTTGAACATGAACATAAGTTTAGACTAACTCTCTCTCAAGACATTAATCACTAAATCCAACTATTCAATTACTAAACTCTCATTTGTAATTTCCTAGCCAAATTTGCACTATCAAACATGTTCATTTGGTTCACAAAGCGTTCTAACATCAACTCTCGCAGGTTAGAAATACAATGCTCAATTTACATTCATTCAGGCATTTTATCGAACATCTCTGAAACACATAAAAGCCTAAGTTCTAAAACAGGGTGATCAATCCTATTCTAGCATTGAGAACATGTAAATTGAAGAACCTAATGATTAAGAATTCCCTAAGACATCTAATCTATCAAATCATTGAATTCTCCTACTTGAAACCCTAAAACCCAATTTAGAGACTACTCAGACATAACAATCGAAACAAAGCAAATAGATTTTAAAGGAAACATGATTCAATAGATTAGAATAAGAAAAAGGTTTAGAAATCTTCTCCAAATTGTCAAAGAGGATCAATCTCTATCCCAGATGTTGCTTACAAGACTAAACTCAGAAAAACTGCTGTGAAAAAACGTACCATGAAAAACAGGTCTTTTTGGGTTTTAATACCCATTACAGAAGAAAATAGAAGTTAACTCCGGTTAAGGAAACCGAAATTGGAATGGACCGATCGGTCTAACAGATGGACCGATCGGTCTTTAGGCGCCGGATCTTGTCCGGGTGATAGGATCGATCGATCGGAAGTGAGGACCGATCGATCGTTTTGTTCCTAAAATGTCCGTCCGGTCGGATCGATCGGTCTGGGTGATGGACCGATCGGTCCATGTTCTGCATCAGCTAAAATTCCACTTCCTTGCCCGAAACTGGTCCAAAACGCGTCAATTCTGCTCCAACCGCTTATCCCCTGCTCAAGACTCAAAACACGACTCGAAAGACACGAAAGACGGACTAAAATACGATAAACGACTCAAAATGAACATAAAAGAAAGGGTGAAAGACTCTAAAAACACTGTATATCACTAACAAAAAGCTCAAAGCTGTATATTTCTGTTGATCAATACAAGCAACACTTTTGAAAGAAAAACACAACGAGTAGAATAACTCTTTTTTTTTTCTTTTTCTCTTGATTGCATGAAATTTTAGAAAGAGTGAAACAGGATTATTTTTCCAAGTAGCTCTCTTGTTTTAAACTAACAAACAAAGGGAAAAAAAAGAGTTAACGTGGAGAGAAGAGGTCAGGAGGAGAGTCGAAAGCATTGTCGAAGATGAGAGAATGATGAGATTCATCATCAATGTTGAGTAGCCAGTTTGTATCTTTCACATCTTTAACATTCAAGAATGCGTCATAACGAGCACTATCGTTCTTATTCTCTGTATTATCTCCTTCTTTGGCTAAGCTTCTTCCTTCTTCCTCTTCATGGTTGCTGCTGCTGCAGCTGCCTTCACTACTACCACACTGCTTTCTCAAACCCGAGGAAGATCTGATGCTGTGTGGGTACAACGTTGTGCTTGAAAACGCATGTTTTCCAACTTTACCATTTCTTGCCACGTCCTGCATTTAAAGTGACACTATCATCGTCAAGCGAAACCTCATAAAAAACGTTACTACACTGTTGACCATGATAGACGTTTTAAATGACAAAATCGGCTCTAATAACAATGACAAGAGAATGTTACCAAGTGATTGATAGCCATTTGAACCGAAGCTCTTGGCAATTTCCTTCCTGACCTTGTTGAATCCGCAACAGTTGCAGATGGCTTTACAGACTTGGGAGTTGATGTTGTATGTGAGGCGCCTGAAAAAGTAGGAATCAGAGAAGGTGAAGCAGAGCGCCCTTTAGGCCTTGTTTTTGTAACATCCGGGGAAGTGTTCCGTTTTGGTGAATTAACATTCCCCACTGGTCTACCAAACGCTAGAGTGACTGTTTCTTTTATTCTTGGCGGTGTCTGAGGTGTTGTTGAAGCTGATGTGCATCCATCACGACGGACACATCCGCGTGATGAGACAGAGGAAGAACGCACATTGCTCTTACTTGAATTTTCAGAAACCTGAGGCTTTGACCTTGGAGTCAACGATCTTGATCTTTGAGCGTCTCCAGATTTTTTGAAGGAAGGAGTGGTTGAAGTAGTTGTACTGGTTCTTGAAGGAGTTAAAGAAGGTGAAGGGGTTTTGCGTGATACGGGAGTTAAAGATCGAGAGACAGTCCTCTTTGGAGTAGAAACAGAAGCTGAAGTTGCAGTTGTCGTCTTCTTGGGGGCAGAAGAGGATCTGAGAGTGGGAATGTTGGAAGGACGAATTGTTGAACCGCTTCTAGTTGGTCTTGACGATGGATCGCTCTCGGTCTCGCTCTGCGCGAATGAGATTTGATTTGAAATCTTACATGAAACTCTTTAATGATATGAATATGTAGGCAAATATTTTTTGTGCATCATACCCTTGAAGTAGCCCTTGTAGTAGAAATGGAATGAAGCTTAAAAGTTGTATTTCTAGCTTCTAGAACCAATCTAGAGAGAGTTCCCAATGGAACTTCAGGAATAGTATAAAGCCTAAAAGCAAACAAAGATATTTCATACTTATTTACATTGTCTATGTCAGGATAATTCAAATGAGGGAGTACATTACACCAAGTAACTTACGAGTCATTTCCAAGTTTCTTCACATCCTCAGCTTCAGGCTTAGCAACTTTAGCTTGTTCTCTTCCTAGTTTAAACAAAACTGTACATGCCACATAGAAAAAAATAGTAAAGGATTGAAAAGCTGAATACTGAAACACACGGAAAGGTCTTTTTGATATTGGTGCAGCATCCATTCAAACTAATTGTGGAAAGCGATGAACAGAGTATTCTCTTGGAATGCAAAACGTGACAGCAATCTAAATACAACTAGAAAGCTAGAATGGTTTCAATATGTGTGCGTTGTTGTAGAAAAGCAAAAGACAAGTCAATGGAGGAATGATAGATATATAATAGAAGATCATTCATACCATCCAAAGAGGCCTCACGGTTGACTGAGAAGAGAGCTAGATTCTCATCAGCCGGACGATTGCTTTTACCGGGGAGAGACTTTTTGAGACTCCGATCGTTCATCGGCGGTTTAAAACATAAAACAAAAGAAGAGAGAAAAGAAAACAGAATTCAGACAGAGAGACAAAAAGAGAAATAGAGAATGTTTCAAAAACTTGTTTTTGAATAATTCAAAAGAACAATATATAAAAAAAGAGAGAGAGTTGACAAGAGTGACAAAGATGTTATAGAAAGTGGTGGTGGGATATAAAAGGTGGGTAGGGGTAGTTAAGGTTTTGAGGGAGTCAGCTTCAAGAGGCATTTTTCATTCCGTGTCGTTTTAGTTTTCATGTCGTTTTCTTGCAATTTACTCCATTTGTATGTATATCTGATCTTCTTATGACGTGTTAACAGACGTGTCACAATATGATGCACGGAAATAAGTTAGTTACATCTATTTGATAATTCTGTTTTATTGCTTTGATTCGGTCCATGCAAATATTGGCAACAGTAGGACATTCCAGTCTCTGGCTCTGCTCATCGTTTGTCTCATCAAATTATCTGAAATTTTATAAAAAGATGGTTTGGTTTGGTATGGTGGGCGGGAAATGGAATGAACCAAAATGTGTGTTTGTTGTCTCACCTTGAGACATTTGTGTGTGTGGACAAGATCTGATTGGAGAAAAGGAGGAGATAAAGAACATTCAAGACATTTGAGCAAAGCAACTTTCTCCACAAGACTTATTGAATCCAAAAGAGAAGCTTGGGAATGATATGATGCTCAACAAGATTGAATGGTGTGGTTTAGAGCTTCAAATTCATGCTACCTTGTGTTCGAATGATCTTTATATTGTATATGTTAGTTTTTTTTTGGAACCAAACGAGAAAATTCTGGTTAATAAATGCCTTTGATGTTTCTATTTTCAAAACCAACCCGAAAGTGACCATGGTTCATGGTTGGTTGACCGTGTTGGAGCCTGTTTGATTTATAATTCCACCCGAACAAAACCGGTTTTAATTAATCAATCCCTAAAATTTTCTCAATAGTCTCGTCATCTTTCTCTAATCTTCTCGCCGTCGTATGTCTCCAGTCTCACAGGTTCAGTGTTGATTCTTTGTAGAAGAGATCAACCCTTTTTGAGATTGCGTTTGGAGTTTTTGTAATAAGATAGCAATGACTGGGAACGAACTTGGGAAGGCAAAGCACTTGATGGAACAAGGGTTTGTTTCTTTTCTCTGCTTCATCATCCTTTATGAACTCTTCTTAATAATGTAAGCTCCATAGCCTAATTCTTAATCTTCTATTCTTTGAATTTTAGTGGTGAGAGTTCGAGAAAGCTAGGTTATGTGAGTCAGGACAGAATCAGTGAGTTGCCTGAAGCTTTGCTGCTGCATATACTGTCTTTGATTCCAACAAAGAATGTGATAGCCACAAGTGCTTTGTCTAAACGATGGCGTTCTCTTTGGAAAATGGTATCAAGGCTCGAGTTTGAATCTTATGGAAACATATATAAATATTCAGAAAATGTTACCAAGTCTTTGCTTTCACATAAAGCTCCAATTCTGGAGAGTTTGCACCTGGCACTGACATCTGATCATATCGATGGTGTATATGTTGGAGTATTGGCTACTGTTGCATTTGCACGCAATGTCCGTGAGTTTGTACTCGATCTCCGTGTTTACCATGGACCCCCAGTCAGACTTCCAATTAGCTTGTTTTGCTTTGATACGCTTGAGACCTTAAAACTCAAGAATCAAGTTCTTTTGGATGTTCATTCTCCGGTTTCTATGAAGTCCCTTAGAACTCTTCACCTTCAAGGTGTAGTGTACAAAGGTGATGAATCTGTTCGTAACCTTTTTGCTAGCTGCCCTTATCTTGAACATTTGGTTGTGCATCGAGGTCCGTTTAGTGATAATGTAGTCGATTTTACCATTGAGGCGCCATCTTTGAAGACTTTTTCGCTTAATGATTCCTCAAGTGCGGGAGAGAATAGGAGATATGTGATAAAGGCTCCTTCTTTGAAATACTTGGAAATTGTAAGTTTAATATGTCATGAGTTTATTCTGATAGAGAATGCATCCGAGCTAGTTGAGGCCACTATTAGAAACGTTGAGCAGATAGGCAATGAGAATATTTTGGGATATGTCAAGTCAGTCAAACGTCTTTCCTTGGACTTTTTAGCTTTGCAGGTAATTTTTGTATCGCACTTCTAAAGGTAACTTTGTGGGTTTTTGTTGTTTCTGTATATAGTACTAATAATTGCCTCATGAATAGATTACATGTCCCACTGAAGTTATCTACTCTCAGCTGGTATATCTAGAAATGTATACGCATAAACTGGAGTGGTGGACTCTACTTACGCTCATGCTTGATAGCTCTCCTAAACTACAAGTCCTCAAGCTCATTGATGTAAGACATTTCATTATTAGCAAGCTAGCTATTGTTGATGATCCCTCGTTGGGGTTAAAAAATAATATACATTACCTTTCCTCTGTGGTAGCATTGTCTTCATCAGCGTAGTTTGGAATTCAAAAAACAATATAAGGAGCAAGGGACATGGAATCAACCAAAGGATGTCCCTGAATGTTTGCTGTCCCATCTGGAGACATTTGTGTGGAGAAATTGCAATTGGGGAAGAGAGGAAGAGAAAGAAGTGGCTACATACATTCTAAGGAACGCAAGTCAGCTGAAGAAAGCAACTTTCTCCACGGATCCCATTGAACCGAAAAGGCTCTATAAGTTGGCAACAAGAAAAAGGATGCGCAACGAGTTGGATGATGTGGTCAGGGCTTCCAGTTCATGTCACCTTGTGTTTGAATTCGAATGATCTTTTTATGTGTTAGACTCATTCTCATCGCATAGAGCTTTTACTACATTTTGGTGGTTTAACTTGTTTAGAGGGATTTACAAACAGTTTAGTTTTATTTTGTCAGAAGTCAAGGAAAAACATGAGTATTATTTTTTGGGTGTTAAACTTTATTAAAAAAGTCGAGAAGAGTCGCTCTAGAAGAAACACTCTTTGGTTTTTAATCATTAGATGTCTTCATCTTACAAGATTCAAGCAACAAGAGCCATCGAAACAATAATTCCTTATATTTCTATGGCTTCCACCTAAAAGTTACCACTTACTACTTTTCTACAGGTTAACATATAATTTACAGGCTATATAGCAAGAAACGTATTCCATTACTACAACAGTCTATGTTAAAAGACATACATGTGATCATGTGTATATTTTAATCCAAATCCAGCTCCAAGGTACTTATTAATACACAAGTAGTAATTTTCATTGGAGATTTTGTTCAAAGAATGTTCAATTGAAGATCAGGATAGCCTACTCGGGCCTTGTGCCTCTCAAACAGACCCCTAAGCGCTTCCACATACTGGCCATGAAACTTAGCAATCTGAGATGCACAATAACACCATAAGTTGATGAATGCTAAACTTACAAGTCCATTCTACGCAGTAACGGCTAGTGCTAGAGTCGAGAATTATATCTTTATACCATCATTCTAAGAAGAAACTATATACCACAATATACAAGAAGATGACTAACCTCTTCATTTGTCGGATGTAGAGTTTTTGTAACTTCTATCGGTTTACCAACTATCACGTGCATAGGCTGTCGATATGGTAATGGGGATCTACAAAAGAAATGGGAATTGTTTTTTTGTTTCAAGAATTTTATAGGCAAGATGTACCTAAAAGGAACTAACCCAAAAAGGCTTATGCTTACCCAAAAACTCCCCCAAAGCAAATCGGAGTAAACCTGATTGCTCTAGATAATTTAAGATAGAGATCCCAATCAGGCTTCCACCATTTGTACACGTGTGACTGTGGAAGAAACAAATACATGAAACATATAAATGTAAAGTAGAAACTTTACAATATCTGAATACTGAATCTGACAAACGAATTAGTTTGAGAGTTGCAGGTACATGAAGACAAATAACTACATAGAGCATAAAACCTTGCGAAATACTCTTTTTGCCTACCTGACCAAAGCAGAAAACTGGAACCAGAGGTGTCCCCTGTTCCATGGCTATGCGCACAAATCCTTTTCTCGATGAAAGGAAGATGTTCTGCAATGTGAGATAGAGCTCAATAATGAAATTAACAGAATGTTGTAGGAGACACACACCAATTTCTCTATGGTTTACAAACTCTATTATATATATCAGATATCAGCAATATGAATAGCATTAATTCAAGTATTTAAAACTTGTAACTAGCTAAGAAATCCAAGTTTCCTAAGAAGAATATGTATTCATCAAAGCAAAAGTGAGCTAGAATAAAGTTACCTCAACATCATGTTGCATATGAAAAGTCTCCTGCACACCACCAGGTACAAGAACACAACTATAGCCAGAATCCAAAAGGGAAGTGAAATTCTTTCTAGAAGCAGGGGTGAGCCCTAACCATGTCCATATGTGCCTTAGAAAGGGAGTGTAGAAGATCTAAAATCAATTTTACAAAACAATGAGTTTTAGGGACAAGCTTAAAGACTGACAAAGAGACTAAGTAAGCAGCATGAACTCACAGCAGAACTAGCAAGAACTTTGATCTTAGTAAGAGGCATAAACCCTGAGAGATCACAAAGGGCAACAACTCCAATCGGCAACACCGAATGTGGTTCATAACCAAAGACTGCATCACAGGTTAAAAAGTCAATAACATCACAAACCCATTTTAAAGTTTGATACTTTGGAGTAAGAAGGAAATTTTGACAAACCATAGGCACGATTAGGCTGAAAAGCTTCGTAATCCTCAACGTACAGAGAGACGGGGAAATAATTACACGCGTGCTTGCATATGTACCTGGTCAAACATACAGAATGAATTCAAGAACAAAAAACGATTGGCGATTGAATTACATAAAAGGAAGAAGTACCTAGCGAGCTGACGTCCGTATTTGCCACGGTGATCGATTGGTATGAAGATAAACACAGAGAGCAAGCCCAAGACCCTGAAAACAGAGTATTTCAGAGGATTTGAAAAGAGTTTAATTTGAGACCTGTGAAAGCAAAGAGAGAAAGGGGTATATACAGGAGAGACAGAGAAGCAGGGAGGAAAATGAGAGAAAAGAGAACAAGAGCGACGTTGAGGTGAATGGCGCCAAGCCAGATAGCCATGGCGACGATAGAGTGGAACTGGTTTGAAGATTTATCAGCTCGGAACTCTCTGGAACCGCCCATATCTCCAGTTCCGGCGGATTCTTTGGTTTGTCCGCTTCACAGATGAAATACGACAATGAATCGAAGATTCTAGTCAGATCTATCTACTCTTCTCCCAAATAACCAATCTGTTAACCAACCCAGCTTTTTTAAAAACAACACGTCACTAAAGAGCCCGACAAGATTCATTCTTTCTCATTTGATCCGTAATAATTTGCCTAGTTGGAGTTTTTAAAGTTTTAAGGCTTCATTATAGCTCATAAGTACATCTTCATTATTTTGGGCCAAATGACCTTTTAATTGCTATGCTTTTAACAATTTCTGCATACCACTAGATATCTCAACTGAGCCTAGGGCATGACTTATCACATTCACATACAGACCAGTTTAAACACATGAGATTGTGTGTGATCATTCCCTTAAAGGGCCTAGCACAATCAGTCGATAAGTAATTGACCCTCCTTTTTCACCTGTTACTTTCTTCAAGCGCCAAGGAAGTAACATCTACTGATATTGTGACTCCAATGAAAGCAAGCAACATCTTTCCATAACAAGTTGGATCTCTCTAGCAACTCATTGTGGATGAGGTCAAAATGTGGCAACCAAAAGTGACACTACCATCAGCTCGCTGATTGCTTGTTGATCCGCGAAAGAGAGGACGAAACTGACCTCATGTGGTCTAAACGACTAAACCAGGATGCATGCATTTACATGGGAATGTTGAGATGAGCATTAAATTGCAGGCAACTTCCACATTACTTTACTCTAATTAGCTGCAGTATTACTGCAGCATTCACTCAACGGAAAATTCACAAATCGTTGAGAAAAATAATAATCTAGAGGTAATAAATAGTGAACAGAAGCAAGCTCATTCGAAATGCAGAATTATATTCAAAGTATGTGGAGGAAAACAATCACAGTATTAGTTGCAGAATCACACAACACGGTTTTAACGAAAGCCATCTCTTTTATCTTGTTCTTGAGCTTCCTTATTTGCAGCTTCAACGGATTTGAACCACAGATATACCTACACGCAAAACCCCACTCTTTTTCAGCTGAAGGAGCAACATAAGGATCAATCTGAACACAAGAAAGGAGAGAGACAAGGAACTCACAGAAGTTGGGATTCCAGTAAGAGCAAAGAATCCAAGCACAGGAGTATAAAAGATGCTGTCAGAATCCAATACCCCAAAAACTGGATTCTTGCTTGAGTACTCGAAAACAGAACCAATCTACAATAGAGACCAAAAGATGCATTAAAATTTGATACTGATTCGGCAATTAAAAGACAAAATGGGAGTGAAAGAGAGAAGAAGCATACAGCAGCAATGGCAGTAATCGCGGAGGCTAGCAGATAAACGTAGAAGGGAACCTCAAAGCTCTCTTGCGACGTAGAAGAACTACCTTCATTTCTAGCCCAAGGAGGTGGTTCATCCGAGTCAGGATTCGCCCAAGACGGTTCACTTTCTTTAGATTTTCTAGATCCCTCCGTCGCTGCCGTCACGACCAATCTCCTCACTGTACTAAGTTCGTAATGCAGCGAGTGACCCATTATGTTCCTCTTCACGGCAAGAGGATGGCCTGGCAATGGTGATTTGGGGAGAAAACGGTAGCAACACTCATCACCATGGTTCAGACCCAAAGTGGTCGGAAGGGAAGTTAGAGACGCGGCCATATATGCCTAAAGGAGCCAAGGAGAAGAAGAAAGCACTCGACTTTGTTCTAAAACAGAGTCTGAAGCGGTGAATCGATTTTAAGCCACACGTTATACTTGTTGAATATAAATATCTAATCTATCATCGTAATGGGGATGAAGGACACGTGGTGCAAATAAACAACATTTTGGTCACAGCTTGGGGTTGCTTTTAGCACTAGAGTCAGAGTAACACCAAAATTTAAACTTTGGGACTCAACAGACTTCTTGGCAAGAGTTTGCGCATACAGTAGAATCAAAATGGATTCTTGACTCAAGACTAGTATGAAACTGTAGTAAGTTTATGTCTTTTGTTCCAAAACCATTGTATTAGTTTTGATCATCTTGAAAGACACCAACAACAAAGTGAGGTTCAGAGTTTTCTATACCAACCTCCAAACTTCTAAGTTGTGTAATCAGAATCAATGTTGTTACTATATATGGTGGCTTGTACATATGAATAAGGCCAAAGACAAAGACAAGTGCTAAGGGAGAATCTAAGGATCAACTAAACCTTCCAAAACAACGAGTTTGTCCAAGAGCTCAAGCTTCTCATCTTCAAGTGCTCTAACCTCGTCCTCAGCTTCCTTTAATTCTCTCTCCAATGCGAAACTATCTTCCTCTAGCAGCATATACTTGCGTCTCAGTGCTCTATACTCGTTTCCTGGAGATGCATCTGAATTAGGAGACACCTCTAGTTGATTGGAAATCGCAAAAACCTGGTCCGATGTGTTCCTCGCTGAAGATCTTTTCACGCTTCGTGGTGGTAATTGGCTCAATGGTTGTTTTGGAGTAGAAATCTTCTTTCTCTTTGGTTCAGAAATAGGTGGAACCTTTGAATTTTGCATCACTGCAATAGATGATCATTAAAAAATTAACAAATCTCGAAATTTTTTTTCCTACAAGATTAAACCCGAAACAGCATAAAATAAACCATAGAATACGATGATGTCCATTAAAAATCAGAGAATAGAGTATTAATCGAGATCTCACTCTGACTATGTGAATTACGACTTACCTGCGATATGTCTAGGTTTCACAGGACCTCCGACGAAAGAGAGAATTGGGAAAGCAGATTATGAAGTTGCGGGAAGAAGATGAGTCGGTTTGGGATTTATTGATATCATTGAAAAACCAAAGTTCAAATAGTAAGAAGACCGGTTCAACGTCCGGTCGGATTTTAATGATAGGCACGTGCAATGAGTCGATAGTTTAAATGGGCCTTGCGCTTTACTCGGCCCAATTTTTCTGCCAAGTCGCTTAAGATGCATACAGGTGTGGGAGATACTCTCTCTCAGTTAGAGGTTTTAAGCAAGAGGTTAGAGTGAAGTTCACCAGCTAGATTAATGTGTAGTTAGGCGCGTATGCTGGTTAAGAAGTTGTGGTAAAAAAATTTCTTTTTCTGTTTTGTCTTTTAATTATTTGGGTAATTACGGAAAAAAAAAAAAAAAACACAGAAGAAGCGGTCATAGTAGACATGGCACATTCTCCTTTTATCTCTCTTCTTGACTAACTCTCTTTACCGTTTATTACCACTTCTCAAAATGCTGCATGCATTTGATTAAATCACTTTATACTTGTTTTTTTTTCTGTTCTGTTTCAAAAGAAACAAACATACAAAACACTTAACAACTCGTTTTTGTTGTTGTTAAATCGCATATATTAAGGGTAATAACCATCAGATTCTTGTGAAAAAGAAATGAATCTAGGACATTAAGGTGTTTCTTTTGGGAAGGAAGAAAGGCGTGATGTTCGTCTTAAACTAGATTATTAATTTTAGGAAGTAAATCACTAGAGAAAAAATTAAGAAGATGAGGAGTGTAGTGCTTGTTGCTTTAGCCGCTGCAATAGGGAATATGTTGCAGGGCTGGGACAATGCTACCATTGCAGGTGTCTCTCTTTCTTTCTTCATCTTTTTTTTTTTTTGTAACATGGAACAACTATACGAAAGCGAGTAATGGTTAATGTTGATTCTATTTTGGTGGCAGGAGCTGTAATTTACATAAAGAAAGAATTTCATTTGGAGAAAGAACCAAAGATAGAAGGACTGATCGTAGCAATGTCTCTCATTGGAGCCACTCTGATCACAACTTTCTCTGGCCCTGTCTCTGACAAAGTAGGACGGCGTTCCATGCTTATACTCTCGTCTCTTCTCTATTTTCTGAGTAGCATCGTTATGTTTTGGTCTCCCAATGTCTATGTCCTCCTTTTCGCAAGGCTTCTTGATGGCTTTGGGATCGGTCTAGCTGTCACTCTTGTCCCAATCTACATCTCTGAGACCGCACCTTCTGAGATCAGAGGATTACTCAACACTTTCCCACAATTCTGTGGGTCTGGTGGGATGTTTTTGTCGTATTGTCTTGTCTTTGGGATGTCCCTTCAAGAATCTCCCAGCTGGAGGCTCATGCTCGGGGTTCTGTCAATTCCATCCATTGCCTACTTTGTACTTGCGGCTTTCTTCTTACCTGAATCTCCAAGGTGGCTCGTCAGCAAAGGGCGGATGGATGAAGCTAGACAGGTTTTGCAGAGACTCCGTGGCAGAGAAGATGTTTCAGGTTTGTCTTGATGAACACTAAGACCTATAAATTATCGACTTTGAACTTAGACTAACTTGTGGTGTGATCTAGGCGAGCTTGCTCTGCTGGTTGAAGGGCTTGGTGTAGGAAAAGACACGTCGATAGAAGAATATGTGATTGGACCGGACAACGAGGATAGCGAGAGTGGACATGAACTGCCGAGAAAAGATCAGATAAAACTATACGGTCCAGAGGATGGACAGTCATGGATGGCTAAGCCAGTGAAAGGACAGAGTTCTCTTGCATTGGCGTCCCAACACGGCAGCATGTTACAGCGTGGTGGATCCCTCATGGACCCACTTGTCACTCTCTTTGGTAGCATTCATGAAAAACTCCCTTCTGAGAACATGAGCACGTCAACTCGCAGCATGGTCTTCCCCAATATGGGAAGTATAGTGGGGATGACGGGAAGGCAGGAGTCCCAGTGGGATCCAGAGAGAAACAATGAAGATAGCTCTGACCAAGATGAAAGCTTAAATAGTCCTCTGCTTTCTCCGCCAACCACTGAGCCGGATGACTCCAACCAGCGGACCATTGGGACCATGCAGAGGCGACAGAGCAGCTTGTTTATGGCAAACGTGGGTGAGACAGCGACAGCTACAAGCATAGGCGGAGGATGGCAATTGGCTTGGAAGTATAATGACAAGGTTGGTGCAGATGGTAAGAGAGTCAACGGAGGGCTACAGAGAATGTATATACACGAAGAAACTGCCAACAACAACGCCAACAACAATCCTTTCTCGCGACGTGGATCGCTTCTCTCCTTCCACCCAGAAGCTGATGTTCCTGATCAGGAGAATGGATATGTTCAGGCTGCTGCACTTGTTAGCCAAGCTTCGATGATGCCTGGAGGTAAAGGAGAGATTGCAATGTTGCCACAGGAGGTTAAGGATGGTCCAGGTTGGAGGGAGCTGAAGGAACCAGGGATAAAGAGAGCTTTGATAGTTGGAGTTGGGCTTCAGATACTGCAACAGGTAATGCTTTTTCTATACCTTTTTATCTGTAAAAACTAGAGAGCAAGTTAAATATGGAAGAAAACAAAGGAAAAGAAGCTTGTTTGCAGTTTGCAGGAATAAATGGAGTAATGTATTATACACCTCAAATATTAGAAGAAACAGGTGTGTCAAGTCTTTTGACAAACCTTGGAATAGGTGCAGAGTCTGCATCGCTCCTCATTAGCGCCTTAACCACACTCTTGATGCTTCCCTGCATTATTGTTTCCATGAGGTTAATGGATGTAACCGGAAGAAGGCGAGTTCTCTCTCTGCTTTTCTTTCTTTTTTTTCAGCTGAATGGTATAATTTGAAAAAGTAACAATACAAAAAACGTGATTGCAGGTCTCTGTTGCTTTCCACTATTCCCATTTTAATACTGTCGCTGGTAACACTGGTGGTAGGAAGCTTGGTGAAGCTTGGAGGTACAACAAATGCATTGATATCGACAGCCAGCGTTACGGTGTACCTAAGCTGTTTCGTGATGGGTTTTGGGGCCATCCCAAACATCTTATGCTCAGAGATCTTCCCTACCTCTGTGCGCGGTCTCTGCATCACCATCTGTGCCCTCACTTTCTGGATCTGTGATATAATCGTCACTTACACTCTCCCTGTCATGCTCAAATCCCTTGGCCTGGCGGGAGTCTTCGGCATTTATGCAATCGTCTGTGCTGTCGCATGGGTTTTTGTGTACCTCAAGGTACCGGAGACAAAGGGGATGCCCCTTGAAGTTATCTCCGAGTTCTTCTCTGTTGGTGCAAAACAGCAAGACGCTGCTGCTTCGTTTCTCTCTGATGGATGACTTTCTTTTCTCTGTTGCCTTTTTCAACGTTCCTGCTGTATTTGATGAACACATTAATAAGAACAGATCCATACCACTAGCTTGGGATTCCATAAATGCTTCCTCGGGATGTTTAAGTTTTCCTATACTCTTGGTGCTTTATCTGTGAAATGTGAGCTTTTTACCTTTGTCACCATGTGATGTGAAGAAACATTTAGAAGCGTTTATTTACTCAAAGTGGCCATGAGATTAAAATCAAAACAGAGCTCGATCTCATGTGTAGCAACAAAAAGAGGGGTCAGTACATATTAGAGCCATTATAAGGTCTCTTTGGTGCATTGTTTTTGCTGGAAACACTTTAGTTGCAGCGACTTGAACCATTAACGGAGATATCTTCAAGCTGCCTTCCCCTAGAGGACCGAGTCTTGGCATCTTCTTCTTTCTCTTTAACAAAGGAGATAAAGGAGTGGATACGTGCGGATGGTGAGCTTCTTCTCCTGATAGATCCTTCTGCTTCTTCAGGATATTGTTGCCCAAACTGACGTATCATTAACACTGTATACACTGCAAGAGCAAGAATGCATGCCACTCCACACACCACAAACAATCCCCAAAAGCTCTTAAGCTCCAGCCTATCCACTTCTATCTCTGCGCCTTGCAGAGAGCATGCTTTCCTCAGCAACCATTTGTCCCGAATTCTCTGCATATCTCCATTTTCTGATAGCTGCAGAATTGCCGCGGAGACATCCACCGCCAAAGGCGAGTTACGCGGAAATGCCTGAACAGAGGGAAAGAAAAAATACATATCATCATCAGTTCATGCACTATCACTATATCAGATTCAGAAATAAATTGCAGGCTACTGTTTGACATCAAACATGTAGGGAGATGTTTATATGCAGTGACAACATACTCAGAACGATACTCACAAATCCCCATCCGTTTTTAGTGAACTCTTGACCAACTATGCCGAACTCACATCTATTTGAAAGGAAAAGCTCTATGTAAGCACGTTCATCAACAACAGCAGCAACACCACCTTTTCCTGGACCATCTCTCAAGGCCTTATCATATTCCTCTGGAGAGCGAAGAGGGACAAGCCTTGACTCATGGATATTGAGTTCGTGGACCAGATAGTCTCTGACAAAGGAGCCTTGTGGATACCCAATAGGATCATGATTTGTTTGCAAAGTTTCTATGCCTTTGATTGGCGAAGACAGCTGATGAACTGTGAGAATTGATGTGAGGCTCGCCGTATAACTTGAGTTAATTATGAGAACTACGAATAGCCAAATTATCAGCACTATTCTTCCAAGATTGCTGGTGGTTGTCTCTCCTGTATAGATTCAGCAGAGAACATTGGAAACCTTCTTGCCAGTTTTAAATGGAAAACGACTAAACACTTACTATGTGAGAAGAAGAGAGTTGAAAAGCTGAACCTGCAAAACAACGAAATATTTCAGAGAAAAGAACTGGAAAGATTGTAGAGTGTTTGGAAATGAGTTCATCTAGTTGGAGCTTGTTCTGCTTTCACCAGAAAGTAGTGATAACTTGTCTACGAGGAGAGCCTCGAAACTCGTCATTGTGTTTGTGCTCCAGACACCAAATGACAGCACCGACTATGAGGAAAGACGCAGCTGCAATAAGCCACATCTGGGGTGTGAACGGCCTCAAGAACGCCATAGCACTGGTACCCAACTTCCGAACAGGAGCCACAACCACTAGGCCTGACTCCACATAGGGCTGAGTAAAATCTGCTATTTTGGTTCTCTCTGTTATGATGGTAATATCACCAACACCTGCATCGTAGACCTGTGTACAAAAAAGTTTCATCCACAAAACATGTAAAATACACCCACCAACAGAGCCATCAACATAACAGGTTCTAGGAAAGTGCTTATTATTCATTCACTCACCCCAGCCGTTATCAAGCGCACAAGCTCAGAGTTACTTGGATTGTCATGACCATTCCCAAAAGCTACAAGCTCAAACGGAACTGCATAAGGTAATAAGTTAATAGCGGCAGTGAAGACATCAACACAGAAGCCAGTGATCATCCCGTTGCTTTTAACTGAGACTACCTCTTCGAACCTGTAACGATTTGGAACTCCAATCCTCAAATGTCTTCCATTATTCGAGAACACCCATCCACGGGGAATTTTTGTTGTCTGTCCTGGCCAGACAACACTATGAAGCTTTAGTCCCGAAAAAGATGTGTTCTTCCACTCGTTAGCCGGCACCACAGACAAGCCTAAATGATTAGACCAGTAACCTATTGTCCTGTAACCAGTGCCAATGACATTAAGCACATCAAATGCTGGGTTGACAAGGTTCCTGTCTCTAGTAAACTTCATCCTACCAGTCAAGCCGATTCTATCAACCTGTAAGATGCTCTCAAGAAATATCTTTCCTCCATCAAAGACTTTCAGAGCATCAAGGTGCAAATTTCCACCCCCAAGCTCAGATCTAATTGGATTCTTCGAAAAAGATACGTTTCCACCTTTTTGGAAGAAATCATCAATGGCCTGAGCAAGCAGCCAGACAGTGTCATAAGCATACAGTCCATAAGTGCTCAGTCCAACATGGGTTAAGTTATGCCACCTTTGAACGAAGTCCTGCTTCATGATAGAGTTGGGGGTGTGCGGGCGCAGTGCAATGACCCCTTGAATGTTATTTATGGTGTTCAACGGCAGCGGAGAGTCTGTGTCTATGATTGTAGAAAGCCAGTTGGTAGCAATCCACACATAACCAGTGCTCATCATACCGAGATTCTGAGCCACATTGAACAACTCTAGTCCCCAGATAAAAGAAGCATGAATGACGATGATCCTTGACTCACTCAAAGCTACCTTAATCAGCAAGTCGGTGATGTTCTCCCTAGTAGGTTTGGGGGGCAAAGCTGCTTTGTATGATATTCTGCAACGCTTCTCCGCTAACCTGTCTCCCAAGGAAGCTACCCCATTTCGGCCGTAATCATCATCGCCGTATATTGCTACCACCTCTCTCCAACCATAGAATTGAACAATGTCTGCTATGGCGGCCATCTGGAAGAGATCATTTTGTGCGGTTCTGATGAAGAAAGGGAACTGCAGAGGAGACATAGTAGGGTCTGTGGCAGAGAAGGATAGTATAGGAATTTTTAGTTCTGTTGCAACATGAGCTACTACACGGGCGGTGGTTGATCTCTGAGGGCCAATTATGGCCACTGTCTCAGACTCCATGAACTGTAGAGCTTTTAATATGATACATAAACCAATCAGTCAGTAAATCGAATACTTGTGTGTTGTAGTATTAGAAACTAAAGTAGATAAAGGAACAATCCAAGACATAAAAATGAATCAGCAAGCATAAAAAGTTGGTTCAAAGGTAAAGAACAGACTTTTTGAATTCTACATGACCAAAAAAATAAAAAGGAAATAACTGAACATTCGACAAAAAAGTACATAGTAATAATTCAACAATCACAGAGAAGTCTCACTTACGTTCCATGATGCTCATGAATCCATTAAATTTTGTGTCATGCATGATGATCTTAAGTGTCGTGGTGTTAAGAATGCTGGGGCTAGCATTTACGTCTTCAACAGCAGCATCCATAGCAATTTTGATGACTTTACCGATGAGAGAATCGAATGTGAAAACCGCGCCAATGTTCACAACTTGGGGTCTAGCAGAGACAATTTTAGTGAGTCCTTGTAAGGAAACTGCATCGCAGATGATGAACATAAGCAGGAACCACTTCATCTTCTCAATTTCTGCAGCTTCCTGTTTCACAAAATAAAAAGAGAGGAAGGTCAAGACATGCGTCACTGAAATTAACACACCATTACGAAGCAAAATATAATCAGAACTAAAAGCTGAAATGTAATGTTGAGGGAAGAATTATGTTTGACCTTTCACTTTCTCATTATGCGTGAGGGAATGGTGGAGCAAGTAATTGAGTGCCCATTATAGTGGAGATCCTCTTTATGTAATAGCGTTCACAGATTCAACTCTCTCACTCACTCATATTCTTCATCTTTCCCCAACCCACTCTCGATTTCATATGATTACTTCCTCATCACTGTGAAAAGCTCCTTCAAATACAAAAAATTCCACTCAGATGTTAGATACTCAAAAATCTTAACTTTTGCGGATTAGAGTTAGTGCACAAAAAAAAACTTCTCTAGTCAACACCTTTTAACTTTCTAAACCCCAAGAAACGAGTGTTTGCAATTTTTTAATGGCTAATTGTACTAGGATAGAGGCCCTGATTCACAAAAATCAAATCTTTTTATACTCTGCAAATATGGAAGACACAAAAAAGTGGGAGAAACAATGGGAACAGAGACAGAGATGAAAGTGTACCATAACTCCACTATGTTCCGATGATTCAAAGTCAGATCAAAACTCCACTATGTTCCGATGTCGACAACGCCAAAAAAAAAATGAAGCCTAAAAATTAAAACCCAGACACAAACTTCATCTTTTACTCAAGCTTTTCTGTACGCACTACACTGTGTTGACAGGAAGATAATAGAGACGAAACTGATAAAATATTAAATGAATTTTTAATCGATAAATATTCAGAGAAATATTAATCGAAATGATTATTATTTACAAATAGAGTTTTGATCTCAAGTTTTATCAACAAAGAGGTATTATTTAGTTACGTACTAGAGCATAAAGGTCTCTCTCCTGCATATTATTTGTATTTGCTGGAACCACTTTAGTTGCAGCCACTCGGACCACCGACAGAGATATCTTCAGGCTGCTTCTCCCTAGATGGCATAGCCTCTGGTTCTTCAGAACATTGACGTATCATCAACACTGTATACAATGCAAGAGCAAGAAAGCATGTCCCTCCACACACCACAAATAATCCCCAAAAGCTACTAAGCTCCAGCCTATGTACTTTTATATCTGCACCTTGCAGAGATCTTCAATATGTAATGGTGTCACAGATTCAATTATCACTCACTCATATCTTTCTGTCTCAGTGAACTTTCACTTTATCTCCCCAACCCACTCTCTATCTCGTATGATTACTTCCACAACAAACTCTGAAGCTCCTTAAAATACCAAAAAGACCAGTCAGTGATATCTTGTAATTTTTCGGTAGCTAACTGTACTTAGATAAAGACCCAAATGCACAACATCAAACTTTCATAATCCTCTGTTTAACAAAAAAAATTTGAAGCAGCAATGGAAAAGAGTCAGAGATGAAAGTGTACAATTGGAGTTATGGAAATTGACGTTAAGTACTGGGTCTGCTTGAGAATAAAACCAGACACAAGCTTCATTTCTCTCTTAAGCTTCTTGTTACACTGCTCTGTGAAGGAAACGGAAAGAACGGGAAACGAATAAACAAATAATTTTAATATTTAACTATAAAAAGTTGGATTTGGAAGCATATGTGGCAGGAGCTAAATGGTGAGTAAAATAAGGAGGAAGAATGAAGAAAGGTATTTTTTTTAATTTAAAACTTAAAAAGAGATGATTCTGACAAAAAGAAAGTGGAATCTGGAAATGGTACCGGTGACTGAAGTTTCTCTGATGATGAACACTTTGGAGGTTGCAGATGACATAATGGCGAATCTCAGCTCGTCAGGCAAGCTTCCAGGGAATCTCTCTGCCACGGAGCTACTACACAGGTGAATGTTGATCTCTGAGGGCCAATTATGGCCACTTTCTCAAACTCCATGAACAGTAGAGCTTCCAATGTTAAACATAAACCAACCAGTCAGTAAATCGAATATGGACATGAGGAAACTTACATGCTGTCGTGCTAGAAATTAAAGTAGATAGCAGAACCATCCAAGACAGGAAACTGAATCAGCAAGCGTAATGCGGTTGAATCAAAGGTAAAGAAGACCACATGAGAAGAGACTCATTTAATTATCCATGAGCAAAACACAAAAACGGAATTAATATAGCTTTTGATAGACAAACACATAACAATCATCAAGCAACCACATTTCAGTCTCTTACTTACGTTCCATGATGCTCATGCATGATGACCCTGAGTAGAGTGGTGGTAAAAGCGCCTTCAACAGCATCCATAGCAACTTTGACAACTCTACCGATGAGAGAACCAAATGTGAAAACCGTGCTGCTGATGTTCAGAACCTGGGGTCTCTAAAAGACATTTGTGGTGAGTCCTTGTAAAGGTACACGGAACTGCCTTGCAAATGATGAGCATAAGCAAAAACCACCGCCATCTTCTCAATTTCAGTAGCTTTCTGTTTCACAACGTAAAGAGAAAGTAAGGTTAAGTTATGGAGTCACTAAAATGACCACCATTACAAAGCAAATCATAATCAGAACTGAAAGAATGAATGGAATGTTGAGGAAAATATATGATTGACCTTTGGCTTTCTCATTAAGGGTGACGGAATGTTAGAGCAAGTAATTGAGTGCCCATTGTACTAGGTGGAAAGCGAGAGATCATTGTTTCACAGATTCAACTCTCACTCACTCCTATCCATCTGACTCAGTGGTAGCATCAATTCATCTTTCCCCAATCTACTCGCTATCTCATATAATTACTTCCTCATCACAATGAGAAGCTCCTTCAAAATACTATACATAACACTCAGATGTTAGATACTGAAAAATCTCAGCTTTTGCGAACTAGAGTTAGTGCGCAAAAAGAACTTCTCAAGTCAACACCTTTTGCTATCTAATAACCCAAAAAAACGAGCTTTTGCAATTGTGTAATGGCTAATTGTACTAGGGTAGAGACCCAGATTCATTAAAAAAAATGTTGTAATCCTCTGTAAATTAGAAATAAACAAACAAAAAACGGATAAGGAATGTAAAGAGAGATCAAGATAAAAGTGTACCATTGTTAGGGTTCTGGAAATAGACTCAAAGACTGATCAACACTCGACCACGTTCCAATAGAAACGACGCCAGTAAGAAATGGGTCTGCCTGAGAGAGTAAAACCCAGACAAAGCCTTCATCTTTCGCTCAAAGCTACACAGTACACTGCTCTGTGTTCTGCAGAAGTGCAGAGGAAGGAGACGCAATGAATATGAAACTAATTCAAAATTAATTCAAAATTTAAGAAATGGAAATGGGAGCACACGTGGCAGCCAGAGAGCTAACTGGCGAGTAAAATAAGGAGAAGAAAGAAAGGAAAACAGCTATTTTTGTAATATATTTAAAAGGAATGAATGATTTTGACAAAAAAAGGAAAGCTTTTGATCGGAATCTGGAAATGGCACCGGTAACTGAAGTTTCTCCGATGATAAACACTTTGGATGATGTTACAGATGACAAAATGGCTAACCTCAGCTCCTCTGGCAAGCCTCCTAGGAACATCTCTGCCATGCGTCATTGCAATAGCACTGCTTGGTTGATCGATTCCGTTGGTTCATCTCTTCTTTGCTTTTTTTTTAATTTCTTTTATATATAATCTTGATTCTCTTCAAATGCTCTTGATTTGACATTGCGCGATCACGAACAGAACAAAGATAATGTAGCTAAGATCAATTTAATGATTGTTCTTGATGAATTGTTTCAATTTAATGATTGTTCTCAGGAGGGAGATGAGAGATTTGGTGCAAAATCTCCGGAAGGAGTCAATTCAACATTCCAGCCTGTGTTCAGATCTGGGAGCTGGTCTGATAAAGGACCGAAGCGATCGATGGAAGATGAATTCATTTGTGTGGATGATCTCACTGATCATATTGGATCATCCACTGGAGCTTTCTATGGGGTATAAAAGATATCTGAATCATTCAAAATATGCTTTGTTTGAAAATGCTTGTTCATCAAATGTGGTTGTTATATGAAGGTGTTTGATGGACATGGAGGTGTTGATGCTGCATCATTCACAAAGGAGAACATTATGAAGCTTGTAATGGAAGACAAACACTTCCCAACCAGCACTAAGAAGGCAACTAGGAGTGCTTTTGTGAAGACTGATCATGCTTTAGCTGATGCTTCTTGTCTCGATAGATCATCTGGCACCACTGCACTCACTGCTCTCATCTTGGACAAGACCATGTTGATTGCAAACGCTGGTGACTCCAGAGCGGTGTTGGGGAAACGTGGCAGAGCCATTGAGCTATCAAAGGATCACAAGCCAAACTGTACTTCTGAGAGGCTACGTATTGAGAAGCTTGGTGGTGTTATTTATGATGGCTATCTTAACGGGCAGCTCTCTGTGGCTCGAGCTTTAGGAGATTGGCACATTAAGGGAGCTAAAGGTTCACTCTGTCCGCTTAGCTGTGAGCCTGAGCTGGAGGAGATTGTGCTGACGGAGGAGGATGAGTTTCTTATTATGGGATGTGATGGACTCTGGGATGTGATGAGCAGCCAGTGTGCAGTGACAATGGTGAGAAGGGAGCTGATGCAGCATAATGATCCTGAGAAATCCTCTCAAGCTCTGGTCAAGGAGGCACTTCAACGCAACAGCTGTGACAATCTTACTGTAGTGGTTGTCTGTTTCTCGCTCGAACCGCCTCCTCGGATTGAGATCCCTAAGTCGCATAAGAGGAGGAGCATCTCTGCAGAAGGATTGGATCTTCTCAAAGGTGTTTTGAACGAGTTTTGAAGGAAACTGAGAAAGTTGAGAAAAGGTAAGAGAGTTCCTTTATTCTTTTTTATTTTTTGTTTCCTCTATTGATAGGAAAGTCAGAGATTGCAGGTTGTGTGCTTTTCTCTCTGGTTTTTCCAAGTTTTGATTGATTCCATTATTCTTTTTGTAAGGAATTTGACCCATTTTTTAAACTGTAGATCTTACCATAAATGATTAATATTTGGTTTAAGTTCAACAAATGTAGCAAATCATTCAGATATGGTTATTGCCTGGAACTGCTTCCTGAACTAGGGAGGCCTCTTTGGTTTGTTTGAATCCTTAATGTTTTTTCCCGCCAACCTCCCTCTAGCTTTTACCTGAAAACCAAATATCAATATTTGATTAAGCAACAATGCAGTACCGAAATCTCTGAGAAACAAACGCAGAAAATATCTAACAGAGCGTAGATGTACATCTCTTAAAATAATAGGTCCTAACAACAACGTACACTATCTAAGGTGGAAACAACATTAGAATAGTCACTTTCTCAGTCTATTAGTCTAAGTAACTCAAGGATCAGACGATCAGCATAGGTTAGCTAGCATCGGCTCTCTTTGCAATTCAAAAACTCGAAATGAACAAAATTTTGAAAATAGGGAGCTAGATTTGGCGGGTAACTCAAATGTGAACTTCGTGCTCCACTCTTTTGACGAAGAATCAGGACCATTATTTACAAAATAGATTAGCTTGTTCCCAATAAGAGAACATATATACATCCTTTTCCTAGTCTTGTGAATTTGAATTTTGGACACTTTGGGTACAAGTAACCATGAAAGCATAGCAAGAATGAATATGAAGAAGAAACATGTGTAACTGTATCCAGTAATTGATGGTTGAAACAGGTTTTTGAAATCTTAAGGGCTATCCACCAGAGACAATTGCCTCTAGTTGGCGTCACAAGGTCCAACTTTGATACAATGAAATAACAAATAGAGAAAACTTTTGGCTCCGACTTGAGCTCCATGTCTTAGTTAGTGATCACAATGGTCACCCCAGTGAAGAAAATAAATCAGGATCTGGGCTTGTGCAGACGAGGCCGGTTGCAGAAGATCCGACCATTGGCCCTCACTAGTGCAGTCATGCCCACACAAATTCCCGTCCACAGCAATGAAAAGAACAAGTGCTTATGCTTATAATCACTCCCAGCTGCTCAGAAATTTGCATAGTTTTAGATTTAGTTTGAAAGTAAATCTTAATATTCAGCGAAAGAAAGATCCGACTTACCTTGCTTCAGAGACATTGTTGCAAACCAAAAACTGATCAGAACCACGAACAATGCCACTGGGAAGTTCTGAGAAATAAAATAACTTTGTTATAAGAGTAGAATTCTTTGTGTGCTAAGAAGGTGAGAAATAGTTCATTGATGAATGCTTACGGCTACAGCCTCGAGGCCTCCCTTTTGAGGCACAGGTGCCATGTCTCGGCTCATAGCAACTATGTAGTGCCCTTGCAGGAGATCAATTGCATCCTGTTGCACGCAGCCATATTAACTAGAGTCAGGACACAATCCAGTTACAGGGGTAAGTGGTAGCACACAGTTCTAGGTATACAACTGAATATTATTAGATGATACAAGTATTGTTGCTGTGAATGAAAAACCACTGACCTGCTTAGTTCCATCAGCAAAATTATTCAGGTAGTAGCGTACGAGGGAGCTCCAACCATCTTTAAGGACACCATGGGCAGTCCGATGTCCATACCTAGAATTGAGCCGGTTAGAGACACATTTCAACAAAACACTCCTTTACCATAGGTGCATACTGCATATTGCCTTATAGCAAGGACTTATTCAGACTCAAAATTAAACATATGGCAAAAGTACCTGACGAAATCTCCTTTAAGGGCAGGAGTACCAGAGTACTGAATGCTGATTTCATCACCATGATTAGCCCATACTGAAAGGCGAAAGCACATAAGCAACACATATAACTTCGGAATTTTACATCTAAGTACTGCAATATCAAAATTCCTACAACGATTGGAGACTGACATATTTTATAGCGTTCATCAAAATTCAGATGTGAGCTTATAGTTTCTTCAGCGCCAAAAACACCGATCCTTTTGAGTTGAAGTTCAAGCATCTTTCGACCTATCATGCTCTGCACTTGGCAGGATGTATGCAGCATGGATTAGCAAAGGCCAATGAGGTTAGATCAGCAGCATCATAGTATTATATGACTAACCTGGGTGACATTTGTACGGTCTAAGCAATCTATGCAGTTTGATCGAACAACACCAAGCTGCTCCTTCATTTTCTCACCCTTTTCATTCAACAGAAAGTACCTGTATAATTCAGAAAATGTAAACTGACATGCCATTTTTTGTATATAATTATTCAAGATTACATAACTAGAATTTTCATACCCATTTTGTTCGAGAAATCCCTCGATCTGCTCATACAGAATTGATAAGCGCTCAAAATGAATATGCCCACAGATTTGATGGAAATCGAAGTGCAGATATCTACAGGATACGACACCTCCTTTAATGAGTTGAAGACAATAAGCAAACCATCTAAGAAGCACATTATTCGAACAGATTGACTACCTTATATCATCTCCAGTAATGTGTTGCATAACACTAGCATACTTCTCGCTTAAGCGCCCCTCACCGCCATGCTGATTAAAGAGATATTAAGGAATAAAAAGTTGAAGTAGATTTATGCAACGCACAAACATGACCTGTATGACACCTTGAGTCACATAACTGTACCTTATTAACAAGATCAACTGCCAAAACTGATCCATATTTTTTCCTTAGGTCCAAAAAGTGACGCTCAGCTATTCGTGTCTGCAAGAGAAGCACCCAGTACAAGTTACTTAAACTACCAAAAGAGCAAGTGGTTAGTTAAAAATAATACTCACAGCTTCTTCAGGTTGAACAATCTCAAATTTGGGCTTGTAAGTCAGATCTACAATTTGCTCCCACATAAAAGGCATGGATCCTCTGACCTGCAAACATTGGAGTTAAAATAACATTACGAATTCAGTTGTGGATAACTCGGTCTCGAGAAAAGTTGTATGCAAAAACAGCATGTAAATAATGTTATCTATGAAATGACAAAAGATTTACAGCACAATGGGACACATAATATCCAAGCAAGTCAACACTACCTGAACAAATGATGACGAATATCCATTCATCTGTACAATTTGCTCAGTCTCCACAAAATTAGCAACATAGCCATCGAGATCAGCTCCTCTTCGCCACATACGTGTACCTTGTAAATGATCCAAGGTGGAAGAAACAATTACAACACAATACCCATCATCTCATTTTTCCTGCAGACAAGGACATATATGTCTCCCATCTATCTAATACTAAGTTTAAACTGATGCTAAGGTGCCAACCATCACACTTTCCTATTCTCATAACAAGTCCCAGCAAGTTCAGTCAATATCTAGGTTTCTTGCTATAATTGTTTGGTTAGAAGGTCCTAGTAGTAAAAAAAATGACTGAAGTCCCAGCTACGTACTAACACATTCACGCTAGAAGTTAATACAATAAAATCTATAGAAACTATTGAACTACTTGAAATCAGTACAACGAGTAAAAATAGCACATAGAGATAGATATGTACCGTTTCTCCTAGTGCATCTTCTTGCAATCAGAGTAACGTCAACGATGTCTCTTCCAATGGCAGTTTCAAAACTATTAAAGCGTGATTACAGGTTAAGGAAAATTTCATTATATAATAAAGCGTAACCATCAAGAGAAATTGAGAGAAATTGGGAGAAATGGGAGTGATAACAAAGGATATTCCCTTGAATTACTGGAAGCAAGAACTGATCAAGCTGCAAAATTAATACAACATAAGAAAACAAGGGTAAGACATTCTGTAAGTAGGAAAACAAGGGGATGTGATAAATTTAGAGAACTTCAGGGATACACACCTTATTATCGATTAGAACTTCCAACATGTAATTGTTCCAAAGAAACCTCGGCTCAGCCTGTCAAAAAGAACGCAGCACCAACAGAAGTTATTTTCAGTTCTGCCAAAGACATACAACAAGGAAAGACTAACTAATGTTTCTCAAGGAGTTTGAGAAATTTCACAGAAGTAGCTATATGGTCACCTGTCTCCACAGAGGAAGTGACTTAGACTCATCACCTAAATCATGCAAGCGTTGTGAGCTGAAATAGCAAAAATAAAGATCAAACTAAAAGTAAATAATCCTGTCAGAGTATATCAGATATTTTTAGATAAAATTGGTTTGTGCATGCCTTAGTACAGAAATAAAACATATGTAATTAATGTTATCAACAACAATGTGTAACCATAGAACATCATAAAGAAAAAGATCGCCGAATACCTCAGTGTTAAGTTAACTTCATATGAGAAATAGAGACCAGTTGTCTTTTCCGCGACACTCAGCAGCTTGGAGAACTCAGTCTCCATCTTTTTCTGCCGGAATTGATACAATACTTTGAGATTCTGATAACCATCATTACATACTCAACAGGAAAAAAAGAAAAAAACCGGCGCATATGGTTTACCTGTTCTTCAGGCGAGTTTTTAAGTGAATGATCACAAGGAAGAACCTTAAGCGTTGTAATTTTGAATATAGGATGGCCCAGAAACGAGCCAACACGTTCACTCTCGGTTACAACCACCAAATACGATCCTGAAGTGAAAGAATATGCAATCTAATATAAAAAAAGAAGCTCACGGATAGATATGTCTCAGATCTAAAATGGAAACTGACCACAAAAACATGAAGCATAAACAAGGCTATCTATATACAGTATTTTTTCAACATGATAATTGTTTCTAACCTGCAAGGAGCTTCAACATCCCAACCACACCAAATATGGAATGGATTTTAGGGACACGCACGGAATTGCTTTCTGGAACTTGATCTGAGCATTTGAGGCAAAGAAATCAACCATTGCCAGTAAAAGCAATATAAAAAACGAATCAAGAAGTTAAAAACCAACCGATGAGCTTCATGGAAGCATCGACACGACTAATATCCAAACAATGAGCGCCTGAGCCATCAGCTGGCTCGATGATGTACTGATCGGGAAATTCCCATAAACGTAACCGGGAATGCAATTTGTTCCGAGAATCAGCTACCTCCATACTACAATCAAACAGGAGACATAGAAGAAGAAGAAAAAAAAACTTAAATCGTAAATGGGAAAGCTAAGAAGACGAGAATCAATCTCTAACAGCGAACGTAACGACGATGAAGAAAAAAATCACCTGAGATTTGGGAAAAACGGAGATCTGAAGCTTCGCCGAGAAACGTCGACAGATTGTGAAAGAGGGAATTGAAATTATGGAGTTTGCGTAGAACGTGCAAATGATTTTGCGTTAATCGTTGGATCAAGTCATTTGACTCCCTGAATCCTCCTAATTAGTGCGCGACCACCACATGAACCTTTCCAAGCCAGCTAGATTCTCAAAGGTCATCGGTTCGATTCCTCCTTCCTACCATTTATGCGCTTTTAATGCTATTCCAGAGAGTGTTACTTATTTGGTCGCATCTTTAATGCTATTCCAGAGAGTGAGTGTTACTTATTTGGTCGCATCTTCATTATCATACTATTTCATCATCTACTCTTGAGGAAGACTTTTAAAGACCAGAAAAATCAACGCAAGTCACATCACACTATAAATATGCTTTGGAATCAATGTCATACAAAATCTAGAGATACAAAAAAGACCAGTGGGAGAGAGATGCTACTATTCTACATCATCATCATTAATTCTCAGAACATGGAAAAACTTCCTTATTTGTAAAAAAAAAACATGAACATGATGTTTCAAATATCAAAGCTTCTTCTTCTGTGCAGGATATTTCAGGATATCGAGTCGGAGAATGTGTGATTGCAAGAGACTTCCACAATAGAGATATTTCCCAATCTTGTCACAAGTGGAAATGTGTGAGAGTGTCTGATCATGGTAGTATGCGATTGGATTACCATCCAGATCAACCTGCATAACGCCTGCATCCACCATAAACATAAGGTCCACACCGTACTTAGCCACCATTGCTGCGAGTTTCCTCATGAAAGGGTACTTCAGCGAGATATTCCACAACGTTGTTACTCCCTACAACACAAGTGAGCCAAAAACAACAATATGATACAACAGCTCACAATCATTAAGTTATATATAAGAGAAAATGTGTAATAGTTTACCGAAGGCAGTGCAATCCAGTAATGTCCTTCTCCATCGTAACGGATGTTATCTGGATAACCTGGTAAGTCTTGAACGAATACCTCCACACGCTCCTCCTTGATGTTATACTTGCTACATTTTTTCCTATATAAACCAATAAAATCAACTGATCATATTGCCAAGTACTGATTTCTGAGTTAGGAAACTTAAATGAAATGTTAAACTGATGAAATGCACACACATACAAGGGAGTTTCACAGAAGATGATATGAGTTTGATCAGGAGAGATGGTTACGCCATTAGCAAAGTAAAGGTCTTTGAGAAGAACACGTGTGACACGTGTGGTGGGATCAAAGCTCAGGAGCCGTCCGTATGGTCTCCTTTCTAACATCTCGAGATTTAATTCATGGAGATTGTATTTGGAAGAAGCATCTGTGAAATACAAAACGCCGTCATCTGCAACGACGACTGCATCCGTCAGGTTAAATCTCAAACCTTCAGCTTCCACCGTTAACAGTTCCGTCTTCTTCCCGTCGCCGCTTATGTTCAACAGTCCCTACAGACACACACACACAAATCAAAGTCAAACCTTTAAGATTTGAGATATTTTTTCAAAAATCCGATTTTTAAATAAAAATCACGATTCGAACCTTGTAGGCGTCTGCTACAATGACTTCGCCGTGGATCCCGAAATCGATGCCGAGCGGTCTACCACCAGTGTTGACCCAGTTCTCTATGACTGAGTCGTTTACTGAGTGGGCGACCTTGACTCGTTTCACCCATCCATCAACGCAGCCAGTGTAGATTAGACCAGAGTCTTTATGGTAAGCGATATCTTCGGGTTTATGGAGAACACCAAGGCCGATGAACTCAGCTCCGGTGCGAAACTTTTCGTTGAGAAGCGAGGGGATTGAAGAAGTAGAGGAGGTGAATGCATCTGAAGGAGCCGGAGCTGGGTCGAATGTGTCGAGTTGGTATAGAGCGATGGAAATAAGAAAGGGGACGATGGTGGAGATTAAGAGAAAGCGAGAGGAGAATAGGACAGGCATTGGAGTCAGGTTGGGGTTTGTGGGGAAACAATAATGCACTGCTGAAGACTCCAAAATTTGTAGTGTGATTGATGAAGTTAAAATAAAACAATTAAACACGTTGTTTGATCTGATTTGATGATGAGATCGCAGATTATCGTTGACTGACTCATAATAATCTTCCTTGTTAGTTGTGTTAGGTAAACCATTCGATAGTGGAAACCTCGTGGGCTTTAAACTATATTTATTTTATTGAAATGCCTAAGATTGTATGGTTTGTAACTTGTATAGGCTAGGCTAGTGTCATAAACATCATCACTCATTTTCAGGGACGATGAGTTTACATCTAGTGAATCGAAATACTGCTAAAAATGTAAAAATTCCTTTGTGGTATTCAAATCTTCTTGTTCTGTGCAGGATATTTCAGGAGATCGAGTCGGATGATGTGTGATTGCAAGAGACTTCCACAGTAGAGATAGTTCCCAATCTTGACACCCGTGGTTATGTGAGAGAGTTTCTGATCATGGTAGTACGCTATGGGATTCCCATCCAAATCCACCTGCAAAACGCCTGCATCCTCCATAAACATAGGTTCGTATCCGTACTTAGCCGCTATGGCTGTGATTTTCCTCAAGAACGGGTATTTCATAGAGAGCTTCCACAACGTTGTTACTCCCTGCTTTCACAAACACAGTGAGCCAAAGATGATGATACAAAAGCTTTCTGAGTTGGTTTATGTTATCTGGTCTAATGATCTGGTCTACTGTGTACAATGGTTATATACAATTTCCCTACACCAGAAACATATCAGAAATATACACACAGTCCAAATTTGACTAAGACTTAAACCAATCTCAATAAACAGAGGATTTGAATTTGAATAGTTACCGAAGGCATTGCAATCCAGTAATGTCCATCTCCATCATACCGAATGTTATCTGGATAACCTGGTAAGCCATGAATGAACACCTCCACACGCCCTCCATTGATGTAATACTTACTGCATCTTCTCCTGTTAACAACTTGAGATCATGAGTATTCAATTACTGCATTATAGAGAGAGATGTATGGTAAAGAGAGAGAGAGACATGGGGGTTTCACAGAAGATGAGATGGGTTTGATCAGGAGACATAGAGACACCATTAGCGAAGTAAAGATCTCTGAGGAGCACACGTGTGACACGTGTGGTCGGGTCAAAGCTCATGAGACGACCATGTGGTTTACCTTCCAAGATATCAAAACTAAATTGATGGAGACTATACTTATAAGAAGCATCTGTGAAATACAGAACGCCGTTATCTGAAACGGCGACTGCATCGGTCAACTTAAATCTAACGCCTTCGGCTTCATCCGTTAATAACTCCGTCTTTTTCCCGTCACCGCTTATATTCAACAGCCCCTAAATAGTAGTAGTGTACAAATCTAGCCTATGAATGAGAGTTTTCACAATACGATTTAAAAAAAAAATAACGCACAAACCTTGTTAGCGTCTGCAACGATGACTTCGCCGTGGATTCCGAAAGCGATTCCGAGCGGTCTACCTCCGGTGTTAACCCAATCCTCAACCACTGATTCGTTAACCGACTCAGTGACTTTGACTCGTTTCACCCATCCATCTACACAACCGGTATAGATGAGACCAGAGTCTTTATGGTAGGCGATATCTTCGGGGCTACTGAGGAGACCAACAACGATAAACTCAGCGCCGCTGAGAAATTTGTCATTTATAAGCGGCGGGATTGAAGCATTAGAGTAGACGAGTGAGTCAGCGGTATGATGAGCGGGGTCAAAGGTGTCGAGTCGGTAAAGAGCGATAGATACGAGAATGGGGAGGGTCGTGAAGAAGAAGAGAAACCGAGAGGAGAACAATACAGCTGGCATTGGATCAGATTTTGTGGACGAAAACAAAAATGGTGAAGAAGACACCAAATCTTGGAGTGATATAACAGAAACAGAACACACCAAATTTTCACAATCGATGTTGACACGAAGAAGAAATATCAAACATCTTTGACTTGTGTTCCGTAGTCGGTAAGTACGGTTACGGTACGTAACTAGTTCGATGATTGAATCTCGTGGGCTTTTTGCCTTACACCATATTCCACAAAAAGGCCCAATATTGTATGGACTCGTTCCCATTGCGCTTTTAAACATTTGAGTAATATTTGGGCCTTTATCATCAGGCCCGGTGTTTTATCATATCGAGAAGAAAAGACAAACATATGAATATTTGTGTTAGTGTTTATGTTGTTATGCTATACATCACATAAAACAAAAGTCTTTAGTTATGCTGCAGAAGCACAAGGGGAAGAAAAGAAAAAGAAAGAAGATAAAACGAAGAACAAAGGAAGGCAAACCATAAAGAGGGAAACATTTATATAGCATGAAACAAGACATGGTTCACTAAACGTCCCGAAACAACTTCTTGAAGACAAGATTATCCGCATCTTCCTGGGGAGTCTCACCTATATCTGTGATACGAACATTAAGACCAGTTCTGGCCTTCACTTTGGATATGGCGAGATACCTTTGGATATAGGCCAACCTTGGAAAAGGTTAGGCCCCGACTATCATCTATGGTCATGGCGAATGCGAGTTTGAAAGGATACTGGGTACGGCGCATTGCGGCAGGAAAACTTTTCTCAGGGAACATATGTGTCTTAGGGATCACAAAATGCCCGGCATAAGTATTAGGTGTTGCAAATCTAGCCATAAGCATAGAATCACCGAACGTGGTAATTCGAAGTCTTGCCCCCTTACATAACCCAATGCTAGGATCAACGTCCGCAAGTAACACGACGGGAGCATTAACCTTAAGTCTCAGAGTCTGGTCAGGCACTCCAGGGACCTTGCAGTACCCAAACATTGTTCGAGGTAATAACAAGTGATCACGTGGGTCTGGACAATGGACATCGAAGGTAACAGCACAGTCATCACTGAAACATAATTTCTCTTTACCTACCGGGATGATAGTAAACAAAGCCGTAGTTAGTATGTGCAGAAAAGGGTGGCTGCAAGGAGAAACGTAAATATTTTTTTTTAAAAAAAACTGAGATATATTCACCTGGTAATAGTGAGAGCATGTAGTCATTAATCTGATCGACATCTTCATCAGTACGACACAAAATGACCTTGTTGCAAAATAAATTATGCTCATCGGAGGACTCTGTAGCAAAAGAGTCTCCATAAACTTCCTTCACTATTGCCCTGATAGGATCAGGGCAGTCAATTGTCACCACATCTTTACGGATATCAATATCAACGGCTTCATCACTGATCTTTCCCTCACTAATATCCGAACTCCATTTAGAGAAAGGTTCATCAATTGTTGTGCGAATTCTTGTCCCCTAGAGTTCCATATAAGCAAAACGTCATAACCGAGAAACTAAAAAAAAAAATGACTAGGGAACTACAAATCAAATGAAAAGAGCATGATCATTGAATCATAATCAGATATCAAAACGCCAGATGATTTTACTCTATTGCAGTAATCAAACAAACCTTTGAGCCATGTTAGATGCATGTTACAGTAATAACAAAATTCGATAAAGCGTATATATAATATTCAGATCAAACCACACCGATGATTCGAGTAAAACCATCTCGATAGAGTCTCCTAGTCTTTTCGGCACTCCTTCCTTCCACATCCTCGTTATCTCCACTTTGGTCTTCCATGGTATCGTCTTATCGAAAGGAGGAACAGAAGAGGGGGGTTTCTTTACCAGGGGCATTGCAGATATTGACGGTCGAACAACAGCGATAGCTAGAGGCTAAAATAAAATTTTTAAGGGTTTAGCTCTGTGACTGCCGAACAGGGATGATATGGGTTGAAACGACGAATAATAGATTTTGGGGCGAAGGATGAGAGGAGAATAAAAGAGAATCGGCGGATAATAGATTTTGGGCCACATTAGCTACTTGAAGCCCAATGTCTAAATGGGTTTCGCTGGTTTCATTTAGCCATTAGTATGGACAATATTTGAGTTCACTTTTAGGAGTGTGAAATATCAAACATCTTTGACTTTCAATGTTCCGTAGTCGTAAGTACGGTTACGGTACGTAAACCGTTCGATGATTGAATCTCGTGGGCTTTTTGCCTTACACCATATTCCATAGAAAGGCCCATTATTGTAAGGAATCGTTCCCATTGCGCTTTTAAACATTTGAATAATATTTGGGCCTTTATCATCAGGCCCGGTGTTGGATGTGTACATTTTTTTTCTCTTGAAGGTTCAGTGTATCATATTAATTACACCTTGTGGCATGTATGGTTCATTGGTTTGTATACATTTATGATTTGCATCATGCATTCTCAGGGACGACAATGAGTTTTTACATTTTGTGACATGTGAGAATATATATATATACTCCAAAGTTTCCTTATTCGTGTAATCAGAATGTACTCATATCTTATTTTGTGCAGGATATTTCAAGAGATCGAGTCTAATAATGTAGGACTGCAAAAGATTCCCAAAATATAGATGGTTCCCAATCTTGACTCCGGTTGTTATGTGAGAGAATGGGTGATCCTGGTACGATGCGATGGGATTCCCATCCAAATCCACCTGCAAAACACTTGCATTTTTTATAGACAGTAACTCCACGCCATACTTAGCCGCCATGGCTATGAGTTTCCTCAATAAAGGGTATTTCATCGCCAGCTTCCACGGCCTTGTTACTTCCTGTTTCCACAATAATACATTTTGATCAAAACAATATGATCCAATCAACAAATTAAAAGCTGTTCATCATAAACTTTAAATAAAATATTTCATAAAAAATTTGTAAAAATACCGAAATCAATGCGATCCAGTAATGTCCATCTCCGTCGTAACGAATGTTATCTGGATAACCTGGTAAGCCTTGAATGAACACCTCCACACGGTCCTCCCTTATATAATACTTGCTGCATCTTCTCCTACAAATAAAAAATAAAGAGTATATATATATATATATATATATAATTCAGTTCATTGCCAATGTAATTTGAGTCTGAAACTTTTAAGAATTCGAACACATATATACATGACGGATTCGCAGAAGACGAGATGGGTTTGGTCAGGAGACAAAGATACGCCATTAGCAAAGTAGAGGTCTCTGACTAGGACACGTGTGACACGTGTTGTCGGGTCAAAGCTGATGAGACGGCCGTGTGGTTTGCCTTCCAAGAAATCAAAGATAAACTGATGGATATTGTATTTGTAAGAAGCATCTGTGAAATACAAAACGCCGTTATCTGCAACGACGACTGCATCCGTCAGTTTAAATTTCACACCTTCCGCTTCATCCGTCAACAGTTCTGTCTTCTTCCCGTCATCACTTATGTTCAACAGTCCCTAAACACACACACACACGCGAACAAACTAACATGAGTTTAGATTTTTTTCAAAATTCGATTTTAAGTTATTAACGAACACAAAGAAAAAACCTTGATTGCGTCTGCGACAATGACTTCGCCGTGGAGTCCGAAAGCAATACCGAGTGGTCTACCTCCGGTATTAACCCAATCCTCGACGACTGAGTCATTAGCCGAGTCTTGGACACTGACTCGTTTCACCCATCCATCTACGCAACCAGTATATATGAGATTAGATTCCTTATGGTAAGCGATATCTTCAGGGTTATTCAGAAGACCAACGCCGATAAACTCAGCTCCGGTGAGGAATCTGTCGTTGATTAGCGGCGGGGTTGAAGTAGCAGCAGAGGGGATGAGTGAGTCAGCGGGAAAATGAACCGGGTCGAAAGAGTCGAGTCGGTAGAGAACGATGGAGATGAGTAAAGGGACGACGATGGAGAAGAAGAGAAAACGAGTGGAGAAGAACACAACAGGCATTGTAGAAAGATTGGGTTTTGTTTTTTTGTTTGTTATAGAATAGAACTGTGAACACTTGAAATCTTGGACTGGTTCAAGAACACTACTAAAAGTAGATAAATCGTGTTTCATTAACGTTACGTAACTTTATAAACACCATTCAATTGTCTTATTCTTATCTCATGGGCTTTATTTATATTTCGTTAGGCCCAATAATAATATATAGACTCGTTTCGCTTGAGTGTTATAACAAAGAGTAGTATTTGGGCCTACATTATCAAAGCCTGGTTTTTAATCTGTAAGTTTTTTTTCCTTGAATAAGGAGATTGACGTTGAGAATGGGAAGAGAGGTTCAATGTATCAAATTACATGAAGATCTTGTGTCTGAAACGTACGATTATAAAATTTCCCCGTACATAATTCCCTTTTGTTAATAAAAATTATATATATATATATATATATATATTCAGCCATAACACTTTATAAAAAAACGGAGACAAGCCATGATATTGATTTATAATATTGTCTCTCTCCCTCAACAATGCTTCCAAGTTGATCATGATCTATGGCTCCAATGGCAGCCTTGAAGCACTCAATCGAATTATTAAAAACAAACTTATAATTATTAATAAGACGTCTTTGGTGAATGAGGGGACAAAACATTGAACACCCCTCCCTCCTAATTAAGTTTAATAATCAACGTTAATGTCTAGTTGTTTTGTATAAAACCTGATTAGATATATATATATATATATATATTCTAATAACTTAATTTTGATGATGTTACGACGTCTTCTTCTTCTTCTTGATTGTTTCAGTCTTTTAGGCCCATATGACCAATACAAATCATTGCTTAATCATGTATACTAGTGTCTGAGCAGGTATGTTACTATATACTCACCCGAGTCACCTCATTTCTCATTGAAATCGATCAAGAATATCTACTTCGCTGCTGCTCTCGACAACTACTAGGTAATTTCACCATGTAAACTAGAAGAATACGTTAGAGGAGGTCTCTCTATTTTGTGACCCGACCAAAGTATTTTAGATTGTCAGTATGTTGTTTAACTATATTCCCAAAAGTGGTCCTATACTTTGTTGGATACGTTTCAATATTGAGTTTTACGCAAAGAGCGGATTTGCCAGAGAAGGACGATGTATGGTATTAACTATTAACACTTTGAGAAGAGAGGTTCAATGTATCAAATTCCATGCAGATCTCTTGTCTGAGACGTACTACTTTTAAGATTCCCCGTACATTACATCGTCCCGTGATTTTGCATTATACATACGATCCACAGTGATATACCTTTTTTTTGTTCCTAAATAAACAAATTTATCGTATAACCCATATAGCTCTTGTAATGGAGACAGACCATTATCTTAATTCATAATCTTGTCTCTGTCACTCTACAATGTTTCCAATTGATCACGAATCCAGTGACAGCTTAGGCAATCAAAAATTGTTTTAAAAACCTTTATTATAAAACATCATTTATGAGGGCACAAAACATTGAACCGCCCTCCTAAATTCTCTAATCAACATTAAATTATAGTATGTACAGTTGTATAATCCTGATTATGATTATTCTTAATCGAATATTTTCAATTTTAAAATTAATCAAGAGTCATTCTAGATTTCTTTTGTTTCCACACAAATTAAACACAACATTAAAAAAATGTCTAATAATACAATAAGTAGTTTTCGAATTAACACGTATTTTACGTAATAAAAAAACAGTTTCTAAGAATAATATGGGAATTTCGTTTTAAATTATTGCATTGAAAATGTAAACAGTTTTTTTTTTTTTTTTTTTTTTTTCATTTTGCGTAACAACATCTTTGGTAATAGTGAGTTGTGACATCTTTTTACCCTTCACGACCGTCTCGGGAACCAATGGTGGGTGAATATAAGAGAATTTTTTTTTGACAATTGGATGAAACAAGGAGGAGTTGAAATCTGAAAATGGTCTCTGAGACAAATGTTTCCATGTCTCTTCCCTCTGACAAGCCCACTCTCTCCGGCTATCCAAATGGGAATCACAAAGGCAACATCTAGTTATGGCTCTATCTATGGTCCTCTAGCATTGTTTTCACGTTCAAAACAGAGCATAAAACAGAGCAGCATTGAAAGCTTCCTTCACCACCTCCATGTGCATCGTGGTTCTTGACTAAGCAATCACTGTTTTATAGTATTTAACAAATATAATATCCCATGTTTAACGCACATGCCTTCTCTCGCATTCATATATATACCCAACTTCTCTTCTTTCATTCTGAAGTCAGCAGAATCAAGAAACAACATGGCATTCCCTGAAACCAAACTCCAGATGCCTATTAGATCTATAAGTCTTCCATCAAGAATTCACCATCCTTCTGCTAAGTTTCAAGCTGCTCTCACTCAAATTCATCTCTTCCAAAACTCATCTGATTCTCAATCTCTTCAACTCTCATTGCTCAACCTCTCTGAGCTTTACCATTCCCTTCACCAACTCAATCACTCTCTTCCAACAGCTCAAGCTGAACGTTCTCTTGACGTGTCAGCCACGTTACTAGACTCTTGCGATGCGGTGAGAAACCTAATCCTAACCCTCCGAGAGCATCTCCTTAACCTTCAATCCGCACTCAGGAGAAAAGACAAATCCATGGAAGTCCAGATCAAAGAGTACTTCACCTTCAGGAAAAAGACCAAGAAAGAGACTAGCAAGCTTCTTCTTGGCCTCAAGAAGCTGGAAGGCTCTGAGACCACCGAGCTCGCTGTCTCCATCTTCCGCTCTCTTTTCATGTTTCTGTCGACTACATCCGCCATGAAGACAAAGACATGTTCTCTCAAATTCGTCTCCAAACTGATCGGTGGTGGTCATCACCGATCATCATCGTCAGAAACAAGCGAGTTGCACCACGTGGATGTGGTTCTACGTTCGGATGGGGATAACTCAAAGGAAGTGAAGAAGATGTTAGAGAGATTAGAGGAGAGAACAGAAGGACTTGAAGCTGCGCTTGATTCACTTTTCAAGTCACTTGTCCAATATAGAGTTTATTTGCTAAACATTCTTACATCACACTCCTAGTTTAGTTATTTAGCTAGTCTCTAATTGTACACAAAACACAAAATAGTAATATACACACAGATTCTTATAGTGAAGAAACTAATGGAATCCATTGTAATTGTAAAATCAGCTACATAAATCAAAACACTTCTCAGTGCTCAATGCAAGAAATTTATCTCAACAAAACAAAGTTAAGGAAGAAGGAACAAATAATAATAAGAACTTTCTTAGATTTGTGTCCGTACTCTTACATGTCAGTCCAGCATTGGTTTAGAAGTCTCCTCCCCTCGTGCACATTATTTGTTTAATAATTGAGCTTTGACACCACAAATGCTAAAGTCGTCATAAGCATGATCAAGATCTTTAATTTCGGATGGATTAGTGATTTAATTATCCCTTTAATATTGAATTAAATAAAGAAAAAGAGAGAGAGAGGAGTGGATCTTTGATTCCTCTTGTCCCCACACAGCGATACAGGCAACAGTTCAAGGCAGCTACGAGGCCGACCCCATTCCATATTTTATACTCTTCTTAAGTAATCATAAGACAAAAAGAAATCTTATTAAAAAATTAAAGGTTTTATTACAAAATCATAAGTAAAATATCATTTTTTGGCAACCTGGTTGGCATTATTGTTTTCATATTAATAGGATGCATGTATAAGATATAAAACACTAGTAATAAATTTACACAACTAACACATTTCAATACAAATTTTATATTGTTTCATTACATAGGTCGTTTTAAGATTTATACGTAATTTATCTTCATTAACACATTATATAATTGTTGTTATTTCTTTAATCTCTTTTTTTTATCAAAGTTAATTCTCTAATCAAGAAATTGAATTTATAGGAAAAAAGAATAGAAAATCAGTATCAAAACCACAAAACCACAAAATGTTTAAACAAGAGTTTCTTAAACGTCATTTAATTAGTATAAAATGTAGATATACACAACTATAATATAGTTGGAATGCATGGGGTTTAATCACTTTTCTTACTAAGAAAAGAATGGGCATATATCAAAAGTTTGGTTATTGTTTTGTATCACCCAAAACACATATAGAAAGAAAAAAACATGGGAGCATGAAACAAAAGCATTTGGCTTCATCATACCTCTTTAAAATTCTCTATATAATAATATCATGATATTATATCCAAAGGAAGAGACAGTAGAGAGAAGGGTCGTAATAGAGAGAGGTGAGGGTGATGGAGGCATTGGCTCTACTAATTATGGCAATTGGGTGGCACAATAATTACACAAAATGACAAAAACCAAAACAAACAATAATGATGATCGAAACAAAGTGTAATGTGAAACAGTTTCCTATTAATCTATGTAGATGAGGGAGGCTGGAGGAGAGGAGGGTCCATCCGAGTATCCGAGAGTAACGTGACTTCACATGGCCGGCCCAACTTTTTTCCTTGTCTAACTCGCAATACCTAAACTTAGGGGTTGTCGGTTTTTTAAAACGTCCATCGATGATGCTACTGAGACCTTAGTTTCAACTTAGAAGACTACAAGTTTAATATATTGGTTATAAACAAGAAAATAAGTTAGTTGGATAGTATGCATGGAGTGTTAATTATTAGTTGTACACGTAGAATCAAAACAACTTGACTGGTGTGTTGTATTCATACATGCATAGGAATATAGGATCGAACAAAATATCTCCAAATGAAAATATCTTCTTGTAAAAGTTGCATAACCAAGAAAAATCAAAAGGTAAAAAGGAAAAGTTGCATATCCAAGACACGAGAGATATTATGATGTAAAGCCTAATAGTTAGGGGAGATAGTGCTAACTAGCTAGATATTTTTGCGAGTAGTAGTAGTAGATATTTGGAATATGCATGTAAATCTAATTAGAGATGATAGAGATGGAGTTTGCAGGCTGTACTTGTGATAGAGACAAGTCAAGTTCATGAATTCAAATTAGTTAAAAAAGAAAGAAAAGAAAAGAAAAAAGAGAAAGCGGTGCGATTGTGATTGATTAGTACTATTGATGATATCGTTCTTCTCTGGAAGTATTTCAACAAGACACTCGTGCACACGGTCCCATGTTTAGTATTATCCAACTACCATCTTTTCTCATCAATCATTTTCATTGTAAAATTATTTGGTGTCTTTTTAGATTTAGATGATTGATGTGTTTATATCTTCTTAAAATATGATCAGAGAAGATTGGTTCACTAATTATGTAATTAGAAACAAAAGATTCATATCCATGCGTGACGGTGTTTATACCAATGCATGCCCCCAAAGTTGAGGAGGTATTTGACAAGAGATATCTTAGTTTTGATTCTTCTCGATTAGTACCTAATTAAAGATCTAAGTGGGTACGCACATATCACATTCTTTTTATTATGTTTTTTGGCTTCAAGAAAGATCTCAAAAGACATGAAATTAGCAAATTAGGTACGTACTGAGCGAACTCTAATGGCATCTGTCGAGATCATGATTAAGTGAGAGAAGGCATAAGAAAGGAAAAAACAAGAAGTGGGGGCTTTGATGGAACAAAGAACATTATCCCCTTCACGTGGCTTTTACTTTCACTAAACCCTTAATCCTATTTGCATTTCACCTTTCTACATCTCTAACTAGTTAGCTCCCTCTATATATATTCATATTCAACTTCTTTCTTGCTAAAGCTCTCCATCTCAAAAAAAAAAAAAAAAAAAACCATCATCATCAATGGCTGCTTCCTACCATGTCCGGTCTTGTAGCTTACCAGCTAGGCTACATCCACATGGTCTCAACCAGATTCAGCTACTCCTCAATAAGCTTCCTTCTGATGATAACAATAGTCTTTCACTTCTCTCACATCTCTACGATTCGGTCTCTCTTCTCTTCAACGACTCACCTTCTTCACTACTACTCCCCCATCACTCTTTCTTCACCCACCTTCTTGATCTCTCCCTTTTACACCTTGATTTGTGCTCCAAGCTTAGAGACATCACTTGCCGTATCAAGGATTGCCTCCGAGACCTCCGTTCTGCTTTCAGGCGGAGGAGACACTCCGGAGATTCTACCATACGCTGCCACGTCAAAGCCTTTATCTGCTCTAAGAAATCGGTTCATAAGGACATTGCTAAGCTACTCTTGTTGCTTAAACAAACCGGCCTTTCCTCCACCGAGTCCTCTGATCATCCCTTGATCACACTGCTCCAAGAAGTTTGTTCTCAAACATGTCAGTCCTTTAGGACAGTCTTGTTGTCGCTATCTACAGCTGTGCCAAAGCCCAGGCCTTCCAAATGGGCATTGGTTACCAAACTGGTGCTCAAGAACGTTACTAGTACAAGTGGTCAAGTTCGAACTGGACACAGAAACGAATTCCAGATGATGGACGAAGAACTGCGAAGATTCAGCTTGGCAGAAGAGATAAAGAAGGATCGGATCAAGTCTATGATCACCAACTTGGATAAAGTAGATTTTGCGGTTGAAGATTTAGAGGAGTCGCTTGAAAGATTGTACAGGCGTATGATCCAAGCTAGAGTTTCTCTATTGAATATACTCTCTTTGCATATATAGTTAACTCATTAATTGGATTCCATGTATGTATACAACATCATCCAAATTTTAGAGGAAATATGTTACCTTTATAGATTTTGGACACTGAAACAATGGAGGTAATTGTATAAAACTATAAAAGAAAACTTAACAGCAGCGACATTTCAACATATCGATGCAAGTGTAGGGTCTTGATCTATCCTCGAGCTCAAACGCAGTGGGAAGCGAGTCTAGAACATGGTTTCCGCAACAGACGTTGTATAGGTTCCTCCGAATTCCTTTGCTAAAAGGATGCACTCGTTCCGGAATATTCCTGCAAACCCAACAGCTTTAGTATCACGCAAACAAACCGATCCGTAAAGTAACTAGAAGAACCAAATTTCTAATTTTATTGTCGTTAAACAACCTGATATTATTACTAGGTGATAGAAAACCGGTTAAATACCTCATGTATGGAATGCGTCTCCGTCTCACAAGTTCATAGGTGCTTTGATTCGTCAGAATTAGGTAGCTGCAAGAAATCAGTTTGGAATAGAAAATGAAAGCAGTTAGACAACAAAAATCAGAAATATATGAGATTGTGAAAAATAACACAAAATGTGTACACCCACCTGTGAAAAATCAATAGAAGCAACACAAAAATCAAGGAGATCGACAATATGACAAGCAGCACTATGATTATAGCATTCTTCCACCTGTTCACATTTACATTTAAAAGTCATGTTTTAATGAGTCAGAGTTACCAAAGGGCCTGAGAAGAAATTGGGAAAAACGCGGAAGGGAGATGAGAAAGTATCATACCAAGGTTTTGCTACATTACTCAGGTAGTCAACGTACATGATGAGCGTCCAGATGCATAGAGTTGTCTCTTCACAGATGTACCACCTTGTATCACAGAAACACGTTTATGGGGTCCAAAAACAGAAATTCTGATTTATAACTGAGCGAGTTATTGGAAAATGTAGCAGTACTGATCCAGATTTTGCAGGCTTACCAGAATTTACAATGGTTTTTCTGGCCTATACATGTTCCTAACCATACACAGTGATGATCAAACTGTAGAACACATCGATCACAATCATGACAATGTTTGGTTCGTGGAGGCTGCAAATCATTATGTGTTTCGAGAGAAAGATTTAGGGACGGGAAACTTGAACAAATACGCTGAAAAAACAACATCAGTGGCCAGTTGAATCATACAAGATTCAGATGTTACCTGCTCCACATGACAATAGCCGCATGTCAAATTTCTGCAAGTTATGGACGAAACAATTCAGTACACTCCTCTCTACTTATCGTTATAAGTTATAAGCTGATTCTTCAGGATTCACACAGTACGAATCCTTGGCTGAAGTTTATGTACCTTATGGATGTTCCTGGAGGGTACAAGTCCACAACTAACTTCCCCCAAGACGTTGGAGTCCTTCTGGTACTTGAGGCTGATCCTCCTTCCACAGTAACTACTACGCTCTCACTTTTTCTGGAAGCATGTTGTCTTCGCTTAAATAATAATAAAAGCATAAACACAACAGTGAGACACAGTAAAGTCGAACTCACTTCCATCACTTTGGTAAGAATCAAGAAACGAAACTGTATTTCTTATCTTTGAGAATCAGAATCAAAAATCAAGAAACCCTAACTATCTTGGAGGTTCGTTGTAGAAATCACCTAACTTTCCTATAGCCAAAAGCTTACACTAACCAAATGGTCAAAAGACCCTTACTTTATTATTCCTATAGCCAAAAGACTCACACTAACCAAATGGTAGAAATCATCTATCTACGACCAATCCCAGTGTCTATCAGACTTGTTCCATCAAATTCCATAAGAGTTTGTGACCACAACAACAAAATAACAATTCTTACATTGAGGTGGGAGGTGGGTTCCTGTACATTGCACTAGTCTCACAAACCTCCCTCATTGCATCAACGAGATACCTAAAAGACAACAAAACAAACAAGAAAAAAGGAAGTCAAATTTTCAGTTGCAGAATCAAAATGAAACACATTTAGGCATAGGATAGGTTGGTATACCCAGGTGAAGAGCCAGAAGTTACAAAATACTGGAGAAGAGTGGCCGAAAACAGCAAGAGATAAGAAGCCATGTACCTGTTAGAGCAGAGGAAGAACCACAGGGTAAAAGATGAGAAAACTATAATTACACATTAAGCTCTCAATAAGAATGTTGCAGTGATTGAAGCAGCTACCATGGATATCGCTTAGTTTTCTCGATAAACTCAGCATCGAAAAGGAAGAGAAAGCCGATAAATACGAGATGGAGCACCACTAGTGCGAATTTCAGAAGCAAAGACGATCTTCGAACTGGTGGTAGACGAAGAGAGAGATAAGCAAAATTAGTTACTGAATTCAGAAAAATGGATCGTGAGAAAGAAATTAGGGTTAAAGGAGAAGAATTGGTAACCTGGATCGGAGAGACAAGGAAGGCTGGGGAGGAATTGGTCCCGAGCTCGATCCCAGGGTTGAAGGAAAGGGCAACAAACGCCCATGGTTGACTCTCCCTCTCCTTTATCTCTCTCTCTCTCTCTCTATCTCTCAAGCAAACATTTGGAATTGGAGAGAAGAGACGACAGTGAAAATGAATCGCAGCTAAGAAGAAGCCAAAAAGAAGATCTTCAAAAATGCAATCTCGAAGAAGATAGTTTACGGAGAAACGAAGAGAGATAAAAGATGAGAGAGAGAAAGAGAGAGTAGGTTCGATTTAATTACACATTATTTGCCTAATTAGTAATTTAATTACTGTTTAGTACAGCCAACAACGCTATGGATGGAGGAGGAGGAGATGACAGAACTAGGGAAAGGGAGTGACAGTAACAGACTTATGTTGGGCCTTTTTCAAAATTAGGCCCAATTAATAGTGGGTTCTAAAATGGGCTTTAAGGGTTTACTATAATTGAGGAAACGCTGTAAGAGACGTGTAAATGAAGTAGTAGTACCATCGTATGTGTCATGTGATGTGTGATTACTGATTACATTCTCAAGAGTCTAAACTGAATTATATAAATGATCAAAGAACATTGACAAAGCAAAGAGTATGATTGTATTGTCGGTAGAGTTGTAGTACTTGATGAGTTTGGGCCTATGACCATGTTTTTTTCTTTTTTATATAAAATCGACAAAATGAAATTTCTTAGATAATGTGAGATCCATTTGTTGCATAAAGTTATCAATGATGTATATGTAGAAAAGACCAAAGACTCTTCTTGTGTCTTGACTCTTATTAGAAAAACAAATTAAGAACCACAGAAGCAAGTGGGAAAGAGAGCATGAGAGCATGCGAGCACGTTCGTTAGTTAGTTAAAGGATGAGGAGAGCACATCATGACCATCCCTTTAAGCCACCGTCTTTCACTACATTTTACGTTTCCTTTTGAGGTCTTACTCTTTTAAACCAAAGCAAAGAAGAAAGCCATTTCATATCGAATCCGTCCCAATAAAAACATGGCCAATTCCAAACGATTGTTTGGCGTTGTACGTAGGAAACTACTCAGGCGATCTCACAGCAGAATCACTATCATCCGTTCATCATCATCAGCTCCAGAAACAACTCGTGAAGATCTCGCCGCTGTTAAAATCCAAGCTGTTTTCAGAGGCCACCTGGTAAATGAATTAACACAAATCACTTTTTTTTTGTTTAATCTCCATCCATCTCTGTAAATTTGGTAAGCTATATATAAAAGAAATGTTGAGCATTAATGCAGGCAAGAAGAGCGTTTAAAGCGTTGAAGAGTCTGGTGAAGTTACAAGCGGTGGCGAGAGGAGTGCTTGTGAGGAGACAAGCTCGGATAGCTTTACATTGTATGCATGCTCTTGCTCGCTTGCAGGTTAGGGTTCGTGCTCGTCAGCTTCTCTCCCATTGATTCTTCTCTGCTTTTTCCCCTGTTTTTTTTTTTTTTCGTTTTAAAAAAAAACTCTTTCTGATTGTGACATTTATACATCATTGTCCTTTCTAATTAATGCACCGGTTTTTGCGACTATGTTGTATATTTTACTAGATAACTCTCTAACACCCTGCATTTGTACTAATAAACAAAATCAGTTTTGCTGACACGTTCTGTCTCAAAATTTTGTACTAATAAGTAGTAGACACAGGATATACATATTCCATAAGCTATTTGAGTAGGTACCTTGGAAAAGAAGAAAGGGAAAGGCTTCCTCGGAGACGCACAGGTTTGTCTGATTTGTTTATGAATCTGAAAATTATAGGTAAAGATCAGTTACCTTTTAAAAGAGTTTACATCGCTTTGGCAAATAAAGAAAAAACAACCAAACGGTATCCCTTTCAACACATATAAGCAAATCGTATATTGGTCGAGCTACATGATCACAGAGTCCAAAATGGAGACGTACGAGAGAGCACTGGGATATTGGCGCGGCTCAATCAGATAATCTAGAGAATGTTTTTTTTTTTTTGGTATATGTACGAGTATAGTGGTCAGCAGGAAGATCTGAGTGAACCAGGCCAATATCAAAGGGACTCTCTCGTGCTTAACTAAGTGCTGATCATCAAAAAAGGAAGCCATGTAAAAATAATGAAAAAAAAAAACAAAGAAAGAGAAGAGAGTGATGTGAACTGTGAGGAGGAGAAGTGAGAATGTCTGTGGGGGGGGAGTTATAAAGGGAAGAGAGGAATTAAATTAGGGTATGAGAGAAGGAAATGGAAGGTATGGAGCATTAAAACCTCATCTACTACCAAAGCACAAAAGCTGGCTCACCCCTCTTTACTCTCCCACACCCCCCTCTTCTCTCTCTCTCTCTCTCTCTTCATACATTACTTGATGTATCCATCGTTCAAAACTAAACTGGCTATGCAATTTGAACCAATACTCCTTTGTCTCCTCCTCTGTCTTTCCTTCTTGAGGAGGTTCATACACCAAACTTAACCAAAAAAAAAAAAAAAAAAAAAAAAAGGGGGAAAAAGAACATCGATGAAGATGCTTTTGTAATAAATTTTGAGGGAATCTCGCAGAAGAGAGGGGACACTGGGCTGGCCTGCCTGCAACATTTAATAGTCTCTTACTGCCTTTTTTTTCTTGTTGTTGTTAAAAGGCCCCTCTCTTTTCTCTGCTTTTTACAATCCTCAAGCAACTTATGAACCCTAATATGACCTTTCACTCTCTCTCTCTCTCTCTCTCCATTGATGATTCTCAAGATTCGAAGTTTTTAATGTCACATTGTAACAGCAGAGCTTGTTTAAAACGAACAACACCCTTTTCTTTGCTTTTTTTGTCTGGTTACTAGTACTGGTGGGATGGCTATTATTTACTTCTCTCCTCATGCTACTACTACATTAACCCCATCCGGTCCACCTTTGCCATAAATTTTATGCAGAAACACACATTATCTCTCTCTCTCTCTCTCTCTCTCTCTCTCTCTCTCTCTCTCTCTCTCTCTCTCTAGCCAATTATATATTTTCTCGACTTGCAAAATCAAATCATATCTCTTCTAGTTATCAACACGCTTCATTATTTCTTTCCAGATTACTGTTTTCGAATAGTTCTCACTTTATGATTCGTTACCATTGAGTAGCCTATCTTCATATCAGCGTTTTTGCATTAAAATAACACTAGGCTATGTATAGAAGAAGTTCATAGTAGTACTCACGTACCTTCATGCTCTCTCTGTCTACATGGCTGCAGAATATGATCTACAGCGTCGTCGTTAGATTTCTCCATTTTGACAAAACCAAAAAGAAATGTAAATGTCTGCAGAAGTAAACTGATCACTAGTTTGTTGTTAAGCTCCTTAGATATAAAGCTTCAACTTGACATCATAACTAGTAGAACAGCATAAGCTCTGTTCAAATTACACTTGATGACACAGAAAAACAATTAAGCAATAAGTTTGTTTGACAAGTAAACAATTAAGTTTGTTGACAACTTCTTTTTTTAGTGAACTGACAAAAACGTGCAATATGTATGGCGTCTTATGGTAGTGAATCAATGCATATAATGTTGTGATTTGTTTCGACAGGAGCAGAAGTTACCACCTGATAAATATATCAATGTAGGTGCAAGTTGTAGGAAGTAAAAATGGACCTGATGCGGGGACATATATGTATTCTGATGGATGATCTGTAGTCATGTGATGTTTCAATATTAGCTGAATCTTGGCTTCATTCACGTATTTAGAATATATATAAATCACTATCAAGCACCTCTGGATAGTGAATGCAAATACAAAATACATGACAGAAGAAGGCCTACATTCATATTCATTCATCATCAACAACAATTACATCGTTACACAAAGTTTTCGCAGAATAAATAAAAATTAATAATTACTGGAATGAGTTCCAAACGTCAGTAGTGTGTGGCTTTCACGTTAAAATTATACATTCTTCTTATACCAACGAGTGACCTTTTTTTTTTTTATATATATATAACTACAAAAGATGGAACCTAAAAGTGGAGTATCTTAGACTTTCTTGGGGAAGGTCATACCGCCGCCTCGGATAGACAGAGGGGGTCCTTTGACAGAGCTCACCTGATTCGTATCAAGGAAAATGACGACCACAGTTATGTCATCGTGGAAATGCCTCCTCACTCCTCTCTCTATCTTCTTCAGATCAGAGTATCTCATCTCTCGTTTCTTTGCCGCCTCTTGCAGTGCCATTTTCACCAGTCTCCGTGCTATCCCCTGCATACATTTCCACAACAAGAGTCAATCTTTGGTTTTGAAATCAGGTTTACCGAAACGGAAAAAAAAGAAAGAAAAAGAAATGGGTCTCCCGCACGTTTCGTGGGTGGTTCTGAACGATGTCAACAGCTTCTTGGTTGCTCAGCTGTTCCCATAGTCCATCAGAAGCGAATATCAGAAATTTATCTTGTGGTTGAATCTCATGCTCTGTTATTGTCGGTTCCCCACTCAAGATCGGTCGTTTGAATGGCTCCCGGAGTCTGTACTTTGTGTACAATGGTTCCTTGTTGAATTCCGCCTTTTTAAGATACACGTCGCCTATGGATCTAGATATCTACAAAGGAACAAACATATCTTATCTATTTCAACTTCAATCTCCAGAATTTTTCTTGACATAGCAAATGAACAAAGATATCTTATCTATTTTAACTTCAATCTCCAGGGTTTATCTTGACATGGCAAATGAAAAAAACAAATCTAGGCGTTTGCACCTAGTGTCTAGTGTCCACGTGCAGTGATAGGGACAAAATACAAATTCAACTGTTCAGTTAGTCGATTCAAATATCTATATCTAAATATAGGGACATACACAAACTTGGTTTTAGATACCACCAATTTCAACTTCAACCAAAGCTCTGACTTTCTTGGGTTGGTGGGTTTGGTTTTGGCAATGTCAAAGTCAAAGTTACTACAAATCTAGCCTTTTGGGTTTACAGTCTAATTCAATGCAGAGACCTTATCTACCTATAGAAAAAACCGTTGACAGATTTCTTGGTTGACATCATAAAGTAAGGAAAACATGTTCCTTTTCGATTATAATTCTAGCATCTTGGCTTCAAGAAACCAGCAAGAAGTTCAAGGTCATTTAATTCAGTTTTTTCTCCGGGTTGCCTTAGTAAAACACAGACAACAACATATTAATTCAAGGAATGATTCACTATGATATACTCATGTACCTGAATAAAAACAGAATCCTTCAACCCTAAAATCTAATCAGATATCATTCAGATTGAGAAACATACCTGAATAAGTCCCTTAACACGCCAGACATTGTGCTTTAACATGACAATATGCGAGTCATCCGGGTGCAAGGAGTGCATCTCCTGCCTAACAGACTCTATGCTCACATTGTGTTCCGCGGAGAGCTGAAGGGCAATAACCTCACCTGTCGCCTTCATAGCCCTTCCAAGAACAGCACGGGAATCCCCAACATTAGCTATGTAGAGCATCCCTCCGCATATAACACCAACCAGGCAGCAAGACCCAACCGCTGCAATCTGGGGCTTAGTAGGCCACTGCTTTGTCACAACACCTAGAAAACCTTCTTCAGTAGCCTCATAGGCTTTTTTAATAACATCCACCGACATAGAAGCATGCTCTGTTGCGAATCCTACAGATTCAAAAAAGATTTCAGTTTCCAAGCGGTTGGTTTGTAAAATTTGTATGCATATATCAAATCAGTAGCTCACTCTTAAGATGCTGAAAAAGGTGATCATTAACAAATCGTGAGGTCTCAGGCCCGCCATGGCCATCATAAATTCCAATAAAAGTTCCATAAGGACCAGAGTCAAGAGTACTCAAAGGACCAGACTCAACTTGGCTCTGATCCTCAAGCAAGTTGTTGGCCTGAACAACAGCCATGGAGAATTCACCAACGAGGTGCTGACCAGAGTCTTTGTACCAAAGCAATCCATCTTGTTTTCCAGTCGAATCAGAGGACTTGCCCGAGGAAGAAGACGGCCACAGACAAGCACTCAAGAGTTTCATTAACGTAGATAACATCCCTCATTTCATCAGGACAACCCTTTTTTTCCTCCACATCCGTCAAAGGGATGCACAGAAACAAAAACAAACTCGAAAACGATTCAGAGGTTTCAAGAATCTGCAATTCATAAAAATTAAATAATCGAGTAAGGATCTGAACAGAGTATATTATTAGCTTGATAGAATCTGAAAAATCTCTAAAAAAAAATCAGAGTAGAAATGGAAAATCAAAACCCAACTTTTTAAACTAATAAATCAGCAAACCCAATTGGTCAATGGATCAGATAAGCAATAGGGAATAATAAATACAATAAGGATCAAACTTTTTTATTTTCAAACTCGGAGAAAACGAGTACCTGAGAGATTTAGCAGAAGCTGATGTAAGAAACAGGAAGAAAGACAAAAAAAAAAGAAAAGTCAGTAGCAGACTTTTCCAGTCAAAGGGGAATCTCAATCAGAAAGCAATCTTATTAATCTCGAAGGGGATTTGAAGGGTTTAGTAAATGAGAGAAGAAAGGTCGGCGAAATACGAACAGTTACAGGTGAGATCTAAAAGGATCGATGTAGAGAAGGAAGAGATCGATGGATCCGAATCAGATCCAGAAGAAGAAGTAAAAGTAGCGTCGACCTTCTCTTCCAGAAGAAGGCGAAAGAGAAGAAGAGAGAAAGGGAAGAAGAAGAAGAAGGAAAAAAAAAAAGGGCTCCACTGCTTCTAACCAGACAATCCAATCTCAATTACTGGATCAGATTTTCTAAACCTAACCCTTCTTTTTTCCTCTAATTGACTTTTCTCACCTCTTTTTATTTCCACAAACGGTCCTTTATCTTTTCAATACTCACTAATTATCCCCAAAACTAATCATTTAATCTATTAACTCCGAATTAGACGGCTCCTCCTTATATCTTGGAGGCGTAATGCTTATTATTAGTATATGTGTTTGCATCCAAGTGTTGTAGGTATTAGCTAGATAGGTGAAAAAAGAAAGAAAGACAAGTGTTTGTATTGGTTAGATTGAAGAAGATGGATGGATGGGTTAATTTTTTTTATTTTTTTTGTATATATAAAAAAAAGGAAAGAAAAGATTAGATCATATGGCCTGTGAGTGATATGAAAGAGGGACACGTGATATAATGAGATGATGATGATATAAAAAAAAAAAAAAAAACGATAGCTGTCAAAATAAGACATACGTGTGCACATACATAATAATACATCTCTCTCTCTCCACCTGCACACCTGACCTTCACCTGCACTTCTTTTCTCTCTCTCGTTTCCTCCCTTCACTCACTTCTCCCATGTGCTTCCCCCTTTCCTCCTCCTCCCTCTTCACATTTTTCCTCTCTCTCTCTCTTTCTTCTTTTTTTGTTCTCTGAAAATGGGCCTTTAGATTGTTCTCTTGGGCCTTATATTCAACCATTAGGCTACTACTACCAATGTCCCAATGGTAATGGTTGATTTTTAGCAATTAATCACTACCCTAGAAATGATGAGTTTTCAGTTTATAAACCAATGGCAATAAAGTGTTTAGTGGAGTAATTAAGTAGTTCGTGTAGTGTTGATCCTTAACACTATAACCTCTAATTTGTAATATGTGGATGTGCGTACCTACAATATTAGCTTAGAGATGTTTGAGTACATAAAAATTCCGAGGTTTATCTTACGATATGTGGTTGTTTATACGTAAAATTTTGATAAAAGTAATAAAATACTATAAATGCTTTTATGTTATTATGCACATTAGTTATTTATTCACTATTAGCAATTCCATATACTGTATACATATATTTTAAGAAGAAAAGAAGAGGCAAAAAAGGAGGGGGGAGAGAAGTCAAGAACACCAACCCTACTTTCACTCTAAACCAAGAAATGAAGGAATCACAGAAAGACCCCCACATGTAATTTGATCACGTTTTTTTCTTCTTAAAAGTTTTGTCTGATCAGCATAACTTCTTCACTCTTCACTACAAAATATTCTTCGTTTTCTTTCTTTAACGACGAACTATACATTTGTATATATATATATATATATATATATATATAGAGAGAGAGATTCACACTAACTAGTTTACTTTTCAGACTCCAGTAATTTACAAAACATCAGTTTAAACAAATAAAGGGACCTTGTTCTTTGAACCGGGTAATTAATAAAAGAAAACTATATATATATATATATATATATAGGAATAATTAAAGAAGATGCAACAACAACATCATCATCATTCGGAAGTGAAGCTGCAGCAGCCTCTTTGCCCTAAGCCTCGCCGTGTGTGTCCTTCTCTTCCTGACTTTCTCAAACCTCTCTCTTGTTCCCTTCATCATTCCTCCACCTGGTAATTAAGCTTATATATATATATATATTAATTCATATATATCTTGTTTCCTCGTTTGTTAATTTGTGTTTCTTCAATATTCGATGATAAATTACGAATGTTTCAAATTGCTAAAATCTGATGATTTTTTTTCCTTGTAAGCGTAAATTGACGAATATTGCTTTTAAAACAATCGATATATATATATGATCTTGCATGCATGTATTTTCTGTGTTTCTTGAAATTTATCATGATGATTCACTCATACATGAATCAGCCAACAAAGTACGGAGGGAAGAAGCGACGTTCTCAGCATACTTGACAAGGTCACACCATCATTTCTCATATTAGTCACACTTCATCCGTTTCATCATTTATGATTTCCATGTTTTTTTTTAATATGAAATAGCGCATACGTATAGTTTTTTTGTTTCTATTTAAAATCAGAAATATGTACAAGTATAACAAAAGTTGAAATTCGTACACAGATATTGTGAATATATAATACAAATTCAATGAATATATAGAAAACATGTACTTCACTGAAAAGGATGGAATATTTTCAAGCTTGCATGCATGGATCTTGAGTGTTAACTACTAAACATAATTATTTAATTTTGGTTAGGTGCAGCCAGTAGAAGGTGGAACAGTAGAGTCAATGTGGTACGTCGGGTCTCCACCTAGGAGAACCGGGAATCCTCTTGTACACGATCTACATTTCATTCACTGCCTCGACCTTCTCCCCAATTTCTCAAGAACCAAGGCTTGATATATATTTTCACATCTTATAAAGGCTACGTACGTTACGAACAAAAAAAAAAAAAAACATAAACTTCTTACGTACACTACGCTTCCATATCAGTCGATCTTGAGTAAATTAAAGATAGGTGTTCGGCTATTTTCGATCAAGAAGAGTACACAATGAATGCATGCAGTATATAGAATGGTTAATTAGATTCGTGGATCGATATAGGAATTTGGATGTTGTTTATACTTTGATATAGTTTATTAATTGGTTCTCCTAACGTTTTCTCTTTTAAATTTTGTTTGTTATTAAGCCCTTTTATGCTTTCAAGACATTCGTCTAATTTTTATACATGACTTGTGTTTGAGTGTTTCCTTTTTATCTAATGATACTTTGTAGCTGTTCGTAATGTATAAGTTCCAAAGTTAAACTTTAAGATCTATTTACAAACTAGAATAAAACATTTTTTTGTGTCTTTCCTAACCAATTGATTTGAGAGCTCTTGCTCCTTTCATTCATCAGAAATTCAAAATACAGAGACACATGTATATGAACTAATCCAGAGTCAACGGTTTCTTTATTTCAATACATTTAAACATTATTTTCATTTTCGTCCTCTTATTTTGTATTTTATGAAAAATCACCCCTGTGTTTTCCTTAAAGATTTTGACATTTTTTTCTTTCTTTCTATCTAATCATTGCCTAATGTATGTATACCGGCTGCACCAAACTGATGGGAACAAACAAACATCCCTCCACGTCTCTTTTCAGTAACTCACATTCCTACCAAATTTACATATAAACAGCCCACTCAAACACAACGATTCAATGTAGATCACAATACACGTACTTATGGTTTTGTTTACTAAAGATTAAAAATAAGAATTATTATGATAATTTTATATGGTATTCTTGATTATTAAATAAGAGAGTTGATGTTCAAAAATTAAATTAAATACGTACGGAAAATTTCGTTGGCAACATATTCCTTCAATAACGATCTTTATACATCCGTTGACAAAGACAAAACGTTGACCTTAGCTTTTCTCTGATCGTTTACCCACAAAATCAAAAACCTTATGCAAACGAAGAAAGTTTCGTGTAGTAAAAGAAACTCATCTAGCAAGAATCTCAATACATCTCTTCATAAGTTTTCTTTCAACTTTTTAGATTCATATTTCATACATAAAGAGACCGGAGAATGGGTTGGAGTATTCCGAAGTTGAGATGGATGTTACAGTTTGGATTCTTCTTCGCAGTTATGAGTTTGGGATGGGCTTCTTCTGTCTCAGGATCATCATTAATCTCCTTCGATATTCATCATAGATTCTCAGAGCAAGTCAAGACCGTTCTAGGTGGCCATGGCTTGCCTGAAATGGGAAGCCTTGAGTTCTACAAGGCGTTGGTTCACCGCGATAGAGGTCGGCGGCTTACCTCCAACAACAATCAGACAACTATTTCTTTTGCTCAAGGCAACTCCACCCAGGAAATGAATTTGTATGAAAATTCTCAAATCCTCCTCTGTTTTTTTTTTTTTCAATTTAGTACATAGACTTTTTGATTTATGTTTTTTTTTTTTTTAATTCTTAATGATCAGTTTACATTATGCGAATGTGACGGTAGGGACACCGCCTCAATGGTTCTTGGTGGCCTTAGACACCGGAAGTGATTTGTTCTGGTTACCTTGCAATTGCAATTCTACTTGCATACGGACCATGGAGACTGACCAAGGCAAGGTAAATTATTATTATCTTGGATTGCTATTCATATTGTGACATTAAAACTCGATCATCTTTTTAAGATATACATGTCAACATATGTATACATAGAGGATAAGGCTTAACATATACGACCCAAAAATATCAACATCAAGCTCAAAGATTACGTGCAATAGTACACTCTGTACATCAAGAAACAGATGCCTTTCTCCTCTCAGCGATTGTCCTTATAGAATTCGATATCTCTCTCCCGGAAGCAGAAGCACAGGCGTGTTGGTTGAGGATGTGATCCACATGAGCACTGAAGATGGACAAGCTAAAGATGCTCGGATCACATTCGGGTTTGTAACTTAGTTTGAAACCATTTTTTACGAATTATGAACGTTCATTACTAACTTAGTTCATTGTCTCTTTTATATGTTACTCTAGAATTTTTCTTACTTCTAGATGTGACATTTCTAACACTAAACTAACAAACAAAATATGTAAATGGTGGCAGATGTAGCGAGTCCCAACTAGGGTTGTTCCAAAAAGTGGCTGTAAATGGTATCATGGGACTTGCAATAGACGACCTGGCTGTTCCAAACATGTTGGTTAAAGCTGGAGTGACCTCAGATTCTTTCTCAATGTGTTTTGGTCCCAAAGGGAAAGGAACAATCAGTTTTGGAGACAAAGGCAGCTCAGACCAGCTTGAGACTCCATTGAGTGGCACCCTCTCTCCGTAAACTCTCTTTTACACTTTTTTCTTTAATTCTTTCCAATTAAGTATTTTAATATGAACTGAAACACAGGCCGTTTTACGATGTGAGCATCACCAAATTCAAGGTAGGAAGTGTGACGGTGGGATCAGGATTCAGCGCGATATTTGACTCTGGGACCGCGGTTACATGGCTGCTGGAGCCTTACTACACTTCTCTAACCACAAACGTACATACCTAACTGTATTGAATTCTCTTCAGATTCATGCATAGATTGTCTTGTGTTTTTTTGCGTATATATATAGTACTCCAAGTGAACCTACAACCTCGAGGAGTGTAAATGCAAATGCAAACCTCGTAAATTGTATCTAAAACAACAGAGACATTAGTCCACTACCTATACCGTACTAGTTGGTATACACCGACCAGTTATTAATGTGTTGTGTTTTTGCAGTATCATCTCTCTGTACCAGACAAACGACTTCCGGCAAATGTGGAAAGCCCCTTTGAGTTCTGCTACATTATTACATCAACGTACGTTAGCTATCATTAGCTACACATATGACTCAAGAAGAGAACTTTTAAGGAATATTTGATGCATGTGTATTACTGTTTGCAGTACGGATGAAGATAAGCTTCCTTCAATTAGCTTTGAGATGAAAGGAGGAGCTGCTTATGATGTTTTCAGCCCCATACTTGTCTTCGACACCTCCAATGTACACATCTTATCTTAATCTTATCAAATATCATTATGATGACTATAAATACATGAATCTCCGATGCATCGAATTTACAGGGTAATTTTCAAGTCTATTGCTTGGCCGTCTTGAAGCAAGTTAATGCAGACTTCAACATCATCGGACGTTCGTTTCTTTTACCCAGTCAAAAACATCTTCTTGCACATTTTAACCAATTCCTAACCTCAGCAAATTTTTCTCTATGTTAGAAAACTTCATGACCAACTACAGAATCGTCCATGATCGTGAGAGAATGATCTTGGGATGGAAAGAATCTAATTGTATGTCCTAACTAGTTTTTAACTAAACTCTTCTCCAAAAATAAAAAATTGCTATTAATAACTACAAATTGCTTATGGACATATTCAGGTAATGATGCTAATGGTTTCACGGGACCAACGGCTTCAGGGAAACCGCCATTGTTGCCGCCAACACCAACGCCAACGCTGTCTCCAAGAACTGTTAACCCTTCCAGCCGTTTGAACCCTTTAGCTGCTTCTTCACTCTTCATCATTTGCTTCATTTCTTTTGTATGTTTTTGATAGTGAGTAAATTACATTTACTGTCGTTTCTACCTTCCAAAAGTTACACATATTCCCAAGAAATCTTCAACTCACATATTCTCTTTCACCCTAGTGGGTATAGCACTCAATTGGTCGACCAGTCTGCGGGCATATTCTGATGTCCAATCCAAATCGTTAAGGGCAAATTATAATCAATAAAATAATAAGACCAATTTTATCCGCGCACGAAGCTGAACAAGACCATACAGAAGATAAGCATGTTGAAATTATTAAAAATATAGGTTTTAGAATTTGGAGCAAAATTAGACTTAGTTTCTCAAGTCTTTCTTCTTAGTCTCTCGGCCAATTTTTTATGGATTCTCCATAGAAGCAAAGTTAATTCCCTAGTGGGTATAGTGGGACATTTATAATTACAATTACAGGGAGCATGAGATCATACATTCCTCTCCCAAGTTTTAATATCCAAAGTCTAATATGGAATTGTTGAAACTTAGTAATGAGTAGACAAAATAAAATAACGGGACAACATGAACTAGATAAGTTTATATACGACTGCATGGCTCATAATGCTAATGCTCTCCAGCATGATAACAAAATTTTGTAATAAGCCAACAACCTTTTTCTAATCTAAATTAGGTATTTAAATATGATATAATGCAGCATATGATTAAAAATGTCAACTATGACTTTATTATTAGCCAATAACTAAGAAATTATATTTGATGACAACAAAAAAAAGCTAATTGTTTGTTGGATAAAAGATAATATAATAGAGGAGTAAAATGAAACAAAAAGATGGGCTGAGGGACTTTTCTGCAAATATAAAGAGTTGACTAAGAGACTTTATAAAAGCGGCTAATTTCAAAAAGTCGTCTCCCTCCTGATAATTTCAAAGAGAACTCTGCCCTCGTCAACCTTCTCCTTAAGGGAAAGAAGACGAAGATACAAAATAATGGCTACTACTCCGATTAAACTACTATTATACCTCGATGTATCACATTCAGCTTCTCTCACCATGTCTGGTACAACAATGCGAACGAGTCAAGCCTTTGACCTTTTCACTTTCCTCAATTTCTTTAATCTTTTACAAATACCGGATTCGTCGTGGACAATGTCGTTATCTGAGAAATCAGACGGATTTTTATTCCAGAAGTGTTTTATTTCTATCGGGAAAGCTCTGATATTGAAGTCATGGACGTTGCGCGCCAAGTGTTTGTGTTATTGTCTGTGTTAGTGGTGTGTTGGGGTTTAGATAGATGTGAGGCTTCTGGGAAGTTCGGCTTTGAAGTCCACCACATGTTCTCTGATGCGGTCAAACAAAGTCTTGGTCTTGATGATATAGTCCCGGAAACGGGAAGTTTGGACTACTTCAAAGTTTTGGCACATCGTGATCGTTTGATCAGAGGTCGAGGTCTTGCCTCCAACAATGATGAAACCCCGATCACTTTCGACGGGGGGAACCTCACGGTTTCAATCAAGCTTCTGGGAGCGTAAGGCATCTTCTCATCGTGACTCACAACGATTCGTTTTCTTGTTTCATCGGTGATAGTAATGCAATATGTATGAATGTATGTTTTGATTCCATTTATTGTTGAATTTGACTTGTATAGTAATGTGTTTTCAGCCTGTATTACGCCAATATCTCTGTGGGTACACCACCTTCTTCGTTCCTGGTGGCTCTGGACACAGGCAGCGATTTGTTTTGGTTGCCTTGCAATTGCGGTACCACTTGCATCCGCGACTTGGAAGACGTTGGAGTTCCACAGGTTCCTTTCCCCTTTTGAAAGAAGATTAACGTTTTTTCTTCAAACTGCCTTGTGCTTAACGCTTGTCGTTTCATCTTCTTTGAGACAGAGTGTACCACTTAATCTATACACTCCCAACGCATCTACCACGAGTTCTAACATTCGATGCAGTGACAAGCGTTGTTTTGGATCGAGAAAGTGTTCTTCTCCTGCAAGTATTTGTCCTTATCAGGTTTCTTACTCTAATAGCACAGTTACCACGGGAACATTAGTACAGGATGTATTACATCTTGCCACGGATGATCAGGATTTAAAGCCTGTCAAAGCTAATGTAACACTTGGGTAAGTAATTGACTCTTATCCTCTGTCAAATCTTAACAAAAGACCTTCATGGACGCTATCACACCTCTAAAATATTGAATATAGTGTGAAATCAGGATATGTAAATTGTTTAGGTCTTTTGTCTCTCTGAGCATTTTATGTATAGCTCCATCAACTGTCCTCTGTTTGAGAAATGACTTCTGAGGCAACCAAGTAAATACCAAAGAACTGAATCCGTGTTTGTGGTACAGTTGCGGTCAGAAGCAAACAGGTCTATTCCAGAGAAATATCTCAGTGAATGGTGTTCTTGGGCTTGGTATTAAAGAGTACTCTGTTCCGAGCCTTCTGGCAAAAGCCAATATCACCGCAAACTCCTTCTCAATGTGTTTCGGGCGTGTCATCGGCATTGTCGGGAGAATCAGTTTTGGAGACAAAGGCTACACAGACCAGGAGGAGACTCCATTCATTTCTGTTGCACCAAGGTACAAAGTCAAAACAGTGCCTATAGTGTTTTAATTTGATGTAGTATCTATACTGATTCAGTTTCTACCTCCCATTGTTTCCTTTTGACATTTTTGATCCAAAATGAAAACTAGTACGGCATATGGTGTGAATGTGACGGGGATATCAGTAGGGGGAGATCCTGTTGACGTTAACCTGTTTGCAAAATTCGACACTGGCTCATCATTTACACACTTGCTGGAGCCAGCATATGGGGAACTTACCAAAGCTGTATGTGTAACCTTTTCTTTCTCCGAGAAAAAGTTGTGCTGTTAAATCATTAAATATATCAATAACTTTTGTAGTGGATATTATAGTTTTCTTAGAAGAAAAGCCGGTCCTCCAAGCTTGTGTTTGTTACATCACCATGACGTTAGTTCTTTTACTTTTGCAGTTTGACGATCTTGTCGACGACAGGCGACGCCCAGTTGATCCCAAGGTTCCATTTGAGTTCTGTTACGACTTGAGGTCAATGCCCGCACTCTTATGCGATGCGTAGTGATTAGATGTATTTGCCCATTGTAATAGAATGTGTCGGACTTTCAACGCAAGCTGGAACTTCTAAAATGTATTAGCCTCTTAGGAATTTAAAGCAGCTAAGTAACTTGGAAGATGGACTAATATGTACCACATTTGAATACTGATGCTCTTCATCTTCATATGCAGCCCAAACACCACAACCATAAAATTCCCCTTAGTAGAGATGTCCTTTAAAAGAGGAGCCAAAATCATTCTCAATAATCCCTTTTTCACGGCACGGACTAAGGTAAGACACGGTGTTTCAATTTTTTGTCTTTTTGATGTACATGTACTAGTGTATATATTCACATTTTGGCTTTTGGATATGCACAATGAGTAACAGGACGGTAATTTAATGTACTGCTTGGGTGTTCTGAAGAGCGTAAATCTCAAAATTAATGTCATCGGACGTAAGTACCTCAGCAGACAACACTGATGCACAAATTCTGTATACATCATGCATATAATAATGAGAATATTCGTGGATCGCAGAGAACTTTTTGGCTGGCTACCGCATTGTATTTGATCGGGAGAGGATGATTTTGGGTTGGAAGCCGTCTCTATGTGAGTGAACAAATCAGGAAGTGACTGTATACATCCTTGGAATAGAAATGTAATTGATAGTGACGTGTTTTATGTTATGTGCAGGTTTTGAAGATGAAAGCTTGGAATCTACGACTCCTCCACCACCAGAGATCGAAGCTCCAGCACCAAGTGTATCCGCTCCAGCACCTAGTCCTCCTCCTCCTGTTGTATCTGCTACACCACCTGCAATTGACCCTCGTAACTCCACAGGAGGCCCTAACACAGGCGGCGCAGCCAGCCTCATCCCTCTCACATCTCAACTCCTACTTCTCGTACCTCTTTTGGCCTTCCTCTGAATCACAGAAGCCATTTGTTTTGTGTTGGTTTGACCATTACATGTCCATGTAGTAATAATTTTCGTTTGATGTGCAAAACAATATTCATTGGTTTGAGAGTGGTAAATCTTATCTCCCTGTTACAAATGTCTGGTTTTTGTTACACTAATGTTTTGGCTATATATCAAAGTGCGCGGAACCGTTGCGATGCATTTGTCAAACATGTTTAGTCTCGTTAGGAAAATTCGTTTTTATGATTCGTAAACGAATATTTTTGTAAACTAACCTTTCCTCCAAGTGGGACATTTATAAATACTACATACTGTAACTTAATTTATATGGGAGCATGATGAGAGCATGCAGCACGAAGACAAAAAATAAAATGATAGACGAACATGAATTTGACAAAGCTATATATGCCTACAACATTTGTGCTTAATAATTTATAATCCTTATTGTCTGCTAATACTCTCAAAAGAGCTTATCTGTTTCTCAAATTACTGTATAAAAATTCGAATTTGACAAACTTACTATAATCCAATAACCTATTTATTATAGTTAGGTATGTTATTATTGATACTCTAATGCAGCATGATGAAAAGGGCTATGAACAATAAATTTTTGTCTAGTATGAACGAATGATTAAGAAGTTATTTCACCAAATAGAAAATTAAAAGAAATATGAGGATTGAAGTGCAAAATAAGAAGAAGATAAAAGGGCCTTTTCCATAAAGTTAGAGAGTTGACTAAAAACAAAGACTTGAAACGACTAATCTCAGAAATTGTCTCCCTCAATATATAGTTTCCTCTTCTTTATAGTTTCCAAAATTAAATAAGAGTCGAAAACCCTATAATCTGTTTTTTTTTTTTTTCTCTCTTTCGAAAATTATGGAGAGATACAGGAGTTAAAGTGAAAGATACGAAGATTAGTGTGGCTTTTCTGCAATAAGATAGAGTTGATTAATAAGAAGAGACTTTAATTATTATATAAACGGCCAATTACAGAAGTCGTCTCCCTCCCTCCCTCCGGATAAGAGACTCTGCCTTTGTCAACCTTGAGTTTTCAGGGAAGAAGACGAAGATACAAGATAATGGCTACTACTCCTATTAAACTCCTATTAAGATACAAGATAATGGAGAATCAATCATTCTTCTTGATGACAAAAAAAATAAAAATAAAAAAAATCAATCATTCTTCTCTCAACTTGTCTGAAACGATGCGAACGATTCAAGTTTTTGACCTTTTCATTTCTTCAATGTGCTTACTTATACTGGTTTTGCCCCGGCAAGTTTCGTTTTCTGAGAAGGTAAAAGGAGTTTTAGCTCAGGGAGTGTTTTTGTTTAATCGTGAAGAACATCCGAGAATTAAGTCATGGTCGTTGCACGCCAAGTGTTTGTGTTATTGTCTGTGTTGGTGGCGTGTTGGGGACTGCAGAGATGTGAGAGTGCTGGCAAGTTCAGCTTCGAAGTTCACCACATTTTCTCTGATGCTGTCAAGCAGAATCTTGGGTTTGGCGATCTAGCTCCGGAAAAAGGAAGTTTGGAGTATTTCAAGGTTTTGGCCCACCGTGATCGCTTCATCAGAGGTCGAGGTCTTGTCTCCAACAACGAAGAACCCCCTCTCACTTCCATGGAGAGAAACCTCACAGTTGCAGTTGATTTTATGGGATTGTAATTTCCCTTCTCCTCTTGGTTCACAATGATTCGTTTTCTTCTTTAATGCAAACATAATTTGTGGTATTGGTGGTATAGGAAAGCGTTATGGTATGAATGTGTAATGCTCTGACTCCATTGCCTGTTGAATATTTTTTTTGTGTATCCATATGGTTTCAGCCTGCATTACGCCAATGTCTCTGTGGGAACACCAGCTACTTGGTTCTTGGTGGCTCTGGACACAGGCAGCGATTTGTTTTGGGTGCCTTGCAATTGCGGTACTACTTGCATCCGTGACTTGCAAGATGCTGGGTTTCGAAAGGTACCTTTCCTTTCTCGAAGCAGTTAAGCATTTTCTTCAGACTATTGTTCCGTAACTCATTTTGTTTCTCTTCTTTGACACAGAGTCTACCACTCAATCTATACAGTCCCAATGCATCTTCTACAAGTTCAAGCATTAGATGCAGTGACAAGCGTTGTCTTGGATCACAAGGATGTTCTTCTCCTACAAGTATTTGCCCTTATCAGATTCCCTACTCTAGCACCACCGTCACTACAGGGACATTGTTACAGGATGTATTGCATCTGGTCACAGAGGATGAGGATTTAAAGCCCGTCAATGCTAATGTCACGCTTGGGTAAGTAATTGATTCTTTACCTTTGTCTTTTTTAAACAAAACCATCATGGGAGCTGTTGCACTTGTTAATGCCATGAAAAATAAGCAACCAATTGAATGAAGTTAGATTCCGGACATGTAAAAATTATTATGTCTTTTGCCTCTCTTAGAACTCATGTACGGCTCCATCAGTTTTCCTCTGTTTGAGAAATGAACTATGAGACAACCAAGGAGATGTCAACAAACTGAACCGTGTTTCTTGTGCAGTTGCGGTCAGAATCAGACAGGTGTGTTCCAGAGAAATATTGCTGTGAATGGTGTTCTCGGGCTTGGTATGAAAGATTATTCTGTTCCGAGCCTTCTAGCAAAAGCTAACATCACTGCAAACTCCTTCTCAATGTGTTTCGGTCGTGTCATTGGCATTGTCGGAAGAATCAGTTTTGGAGATAAAGGCTACACAGACCAGGAGGAGACTCCTTTAATTTCTGTTGAAACAAGGTAAGAAGTCAATTCCAGATTAACAGCAAAGTTTTCTAATTCGTTGCACTTTCTACATCAATTCTGTTTCTACTCCCACTGTTTTCTTTTTCACATTTTTTATGTCTAAAATGAAAACTAGTATGGCGTATAGTGTGAATGTGACGGGAGTATCAGTGGGGGGAGATCCTGTTGATGTTAGTCTGTTTGCACTGTTCGACACTGGCTCATCATTTACTCTCTTACTGGAGCCAGCATATGGTGTTTTTACCAAAGCTGTAAGTGCGCTGATTAGACTAACTATATATTCTAATGCTGCCTGACCAAATTCATGTTAAAAAACCAGATATGTGTAAACTTTTCTTCCTCGGGGAATATATTGTTGTGTTATTTTTCTTTCTCAGAAGAAAGCCCTTTCCCCCAAGATTGTGTTTGTTACATCATATGACGTTCATTCTTTTACTTTTTCAGTTTGACGATCTTATGGATGAAAAGCGACGCCCTGTTGATCCTGAGTTTCCATTTGAGTTCTGTTACGACTTGAGGTCATGTTTGCGCTCTTTTTAATGTAGTTATATATGCTTTGCTCAATTTGGTAGCACATTCTTTTAACGCACACCAGAACACCTAACAAGTAAGAAAGATAGGATTAGGAAACATTATATTTAGAAGAATAAAATGAACTTTGAGGAGTAGGTAAATTAGCTAAGTTACTAGTATACTAAATTCTGATGCTCGTCCTCTTCACATGCAGTCCAAACGTTACAACACCCGTACAGATGACTTTCGTTGGAGGATCCAAGATGACTCTCAAGAATCCGTTTTTTGTAGCACCATCTAAGGTATGACTTGGTGTTTAATTTTTCTTTATATACTGTCTTAATGTTTCTATTTACATTTTGTTTTTATTTCTTTGGTTTTGAACACGAGTAACAGGAGGGTACTACCATGTACTGCTTGGGTATTCTGAAGAGCATAAATCTCAATATCATCGGACGTAAGTATCTCAATAACCAATGTTGATGCACAACTTTATATATATATAATAATTATATATAATGGAGTATGGGTTGAATGCAGAAAACTTGATGTCGGGCCACCGTATTGTATTTGACCGCGAGCGGATGATTTTGGGTTGGAAGCAGTCTAATTGTAAGTGATCAAGTCAGGACAGGAAGTGACTATCTATCTAGGAACAAAGCATTGGTAATGATGTGTTTTGTGTTTATGGTAGGTTTTGAAGATGAAAGCTTAGCATCTCAGTCTCCTCCACCACCAGAGGTCGAAGCTCCTTCGCCACTACCTCATCCTCTTCCTCCTGCTGCTTCTGCTACACCGCCTCCGATCGACCCTCGCAACTCCACAAGAAACTCTGGCTCAGGCGGTGCAGCCACTCTTATCCCTCTTGCTGCTCAACTCCTACTTCTTGTACCTTTTTTTGCCTTCCTCTGAATCACAGAAGCCATTTGTTTTTTGCTGGTTTGACTATTTTATACATGTTCCATTCATATTTCATAATAATAAGCAAAAACACATATATTAAATGGTTTGAGACTTGTAATTTTATCTCCGGTATGTTTTTATTAATAAAAAAAAAATGGTTTGGATATGCGGTGTACACAATGGGGTTGTGTTACACAACCAGCATCGTTTTGTCTTATCTAAGAAAGCCTGGGAAGCTAAAGAATTAATGTGTGTTCTATGTGTTGCAGGATGAATTTATAAGGTATACAAGCTAATGTATACATGGTGTCATAACATGATCACATAGATACAAAGCATTTCCAGCACTTGTCCTGTTGGAGCAGGGGATAACCAGAGGATCTCCAGAACAAGAGAGAGTAGAAATCTGGAATATAGAGAGCGGCAATGAGGCTATCAGCTTCCCTTACTAAAATGTGATGTGTTTCACATTGCTTTTTATTTTGTGTGGCGGTTGTAATTAAGAAGAGGTAATTGGCATCAACAATTTATTTACAAGTCTTTCCCATTTTTGTTCTGAGAATCAAACATCTTAGACGGTTCACCCTTGAAAGAAAAAACTAGTACTACAAGAGAGTTTGTAGAATTACAAGGAGAAAGGTGTTTGATCCCAAGAAGAGATAAACATGAAGAAATCAGAAATGGAAAGAAGAAAACCAGAGGAGAAGTTCATCGGTGAGGAGGATGGTAGCGGGTGAAAAGCGGCAAAGAGGACAGCAAATCTTGCGGCTGACACTGAACCATGTATCAACGCAGAGGCTATGGAACTCATGGGAACAAGGTAGAGACTTGACATCTTTTTCCTCCATTCTCATCAGACACACACTGCAGCATTCTTCCTCTCCTCCTCCCTGCACTCTTGGGTACAGCAAGGCCAACCACTTTTCTAGAACCTTCATCTTCTTCTATTGTTCCTCTGCAATTTGGTCTGGTGCTATCAATTTAACAGAGTGAAGAGGCGTGTGTGTTGGATAGACAAACAAAAAAAGAAGGGGTTGGTCACTGTTGCGTGATTTGCAAGGCCCTTTCTCATATATGGATTACAATGTACGTTAAACACACCTCTCTTTATGTTCACACACCAACACCAGATCCTTACTTCTCACCCTCTTTTTCTCTCTACGTATCACCTTCTCTTCCTCCTGTTTTGTTTTCCTTTATTCATGCACATCACATTGTACAATTCTATTAGAACGATACATATATTGATGATTTTAAACAGAAACATCAAGAAGATTCTCTATAGATGTATTCTTAATTTTGGTTTTAAAAATTAGTTTTGCTTGTATTGGGTAAATGTCTGTATCCCAATAAAAAAACTTGATTTGAAACGCCATTTAAACTAAAATTAGGTCGTGACACAATGAGGTGCCTTATCCAATTTTAAAAATCTGTAATATCTTCTTTTAAAACAAATTTGCATATATGCACCTGAATTTTGTTTTTCTTATGCCAAACTCTATTTTAAATAAACAAGTCCTCTCGAACCAAGTTTGACTTGACCCCGGAACTCTCCGTCCGTCTCAGAAGGTTCTCTCTTAAGGTTTGCACTAAACGATTCTTCTCCTTCGCCGCACACACCTTCTCCTCCGTCTGTAATCCTTCGAGACCTTTGACATAGCTATGATCGTGGGTTAATGGCGATTTCTGAATCCAACCCTGACTCAAATCTAAGGATCCAAGCTGGAGATGAATGGCAAAAGCTTCTTCTATTCGCCAATTCGTCACATCCAGATTCATCCCCCGCGTTCCGGGTCTGCTTAAAGGTTTCAAACTTGTTGAAGACTCTAGTACTATCTTACACCTCTTCCAAGTCCACGCGAGGCTTATCACCTCTGGTAACTTCTGGGATTCCTCTTGGGCTATCAGATTGTTGAAATGTTCTTCGCGTTTTGGCGATTCCAGCTACACCGTTTCGATATTCCGCAGCATTGGGAAGCTTTACTGCGCAAATCCCGTCTTTAAGGCGTATTTGGTCTCTTCTACTCCGAAACAAGCGTTGGGGTTTTACTTCGATATACTGAGATTTGGTTTTGTTCCTGATTCTTACACCTTCGTTTCACTGATTAGCTGTGTCGAGAAGACTTCTTGCATTCATTCTGGCAAAATGTGTCACGGGCAAGCCATTAAGCATGGATGCGATCAAATTTTGCCTGTTCAGAACTCGTTAATTCATATGTATACTTGTTGTGGTGCTTTGGATCTTGCGAAGAAGCTGTTTGTTGAAATTCCTAAGAGATGTGTTGTGTCCTGGAATTCTGTAATCTCTGGGGCTGTGAGAAATGGTGATCTTCTGTATGCGCACAAGTTGTTTGATCAAATGCCTGAGAAGAACATGATTTCTTGGAATATCATGATTAGTGCTTATTTGGGTGCCAACAATCCCGGAGTTTCCATTAGTTTGTTCCGTGAGATGGTTAATTCAGGGTTGCAAGGAAATGAGAGTACCTTGGTTTTGTTGTTGAATGCTTGTGGTAGATCAGCTAGACTTAAGGAAGGTAGGTCGGTTCATGCTTCATTGATAAGGATCTTGCTGAATTCCAGTGTAGTTATTGATACGGCTCTGATTGACATGTATGGAAAGTGCAAGGAAGTAGATTTAGCACGTAGGTTATTCGATAGTGTATCTCGTAGGAACAAAATTACGTGGAATGTGATGATATTGGCACATTGTCTCCACGGGAATCCTGAAGATGGACTTGAATTATTTGAAGCCATGATCAATGGTATGCTCATACCTGATGAAGTAACATTTGTTGGTGTTCTCTGTGGTTGTGCTAGAGCTGGGCTTGTGTCTCAAGGAAAAAGTTACTACACCCTGATGGTTGATGAGTTCGAGATCAAACCAAACTTTGGACACCAATGGTGCATGGCTAATCTTTACTCCAGTGCTGGATTCCCTGAAGAAGCGGAAGAAACTCTGAAGATTCTGCCAGAGGAAGATATGACACCAGAATCTGCAAAATGGGCTAACTTGCTCAGCTCATTGCGTTTCACAGGAAATCCGTCTCTAGGGGAGAGCATTGCCAAGTCCCTCATAGAGACGGATCCTCTAAACTACAAGTATTACCATTTGCTGATGAACATCTACAGTGTTACTGGACGGTGGGAGGATGTTGATAGAGTGAGGGAGGTAGTGAAGGAAAGGAAGATAGAACGAATACCTGGGTGTGGTCTTATGGATTTGAAGGAGATAGTCCATGGACTAAGAATAGGATGCCAAGAGGCAGAAAATGTGATCACCGAGACTAGTTTAGAAAAATCAGTGATTTACTGACACAATAAGCTAGCCCCCTAGTTAAAGCATACGGGATTGCACCTTTGCCAGATCCTCCACAGGCTATATGAAGTCGTAAATTGAAAGCTGTCTTGGCAATGAGCATGAGTTGATCTGTTAAGAGTAGTAAAATTCTGATTTAGAATAGAAAGAGGAGAAAGTTATGGTTTCTCAGATTGTATCTGATCCTGTTTCATTTTGGTGTCTTTTTTTTGGGGTCAGATTTGCCAATTCTTAGATTTGAGAAAGATTTTTTTTTTTGTAACAAATCAATGTGAAGGCAAAAAGAGTGATCTGAATCATGTGATCTATTTAAGAAACAACTATATCCTCGTCTATAATTTGCCAAAATTGATGTTATTTGTCAGCATGTACTTTAAACAAGTGTTGAAAACAATTGGTAAAGTTGCTTATGAACAAAAATTTAAATGCGGAGACTCTCTTATACGCTAAGACCTCTCTAAAACTGGTGGGTCAAAATTGAGACTTTTCTCTTCTCTGCAGAGTTAAGTAAGCAGTGAGAAACAAAATGATCGCCGACGACGATGAGAAGTGGCTTGCCGCCGCCATCGCCGCCGTTAAACAAAATGCTTTCTATATGCAGCGCGCTATCGTATCTCTCCTCTTCTCTCCTCTCTTCTTCATCAATCAATTTCCCATCGGGATCTTCCTTGGCATTGGAACCCCAAATTCTGGATTGTTTTCTAACGAATTTGCAATTACTATGGCAGGACTCCAACAATCTCAAAGACGCTCTCAAGTTTTCTGCTCAGATGCTCAGCGAGCTTCGCACTTCCAAGCTTTCTCCTCATAAATACTATGAACTCTGTGAGTCGTTCCCTTACCTTCTTCGCATTTTTGGAATTCCTATCAGCTCTTGTGTATGAATTTCATTTTATTTCCTTACTGCGATCTGATTTGTTCAGATATGCGAGTTTTTAATGAACTGGGGACATTGGAGATATTCTTCAAGGAAGAGACAGGACGTGGTTGCTCCATCGCAGAGCTCTACGAGTTAGTGCAGCACGCCGGTAACATTTTGCCTAGATTGTAAGTGCAGATTAATAATATACATTGTCTGATGCACTCTCTGATTTTGAACTTTATAGATGCATACATACTCATCAACTGAATTTCAGGTATCTTCTCTGTACCATAGGATCTGTATATATCAAATCCAAGGACGTTACTACTACGGATATACTTAAGGATCTTGTTGAAATGTGCCGAGCTGTTCAGCATCCTTTACGTGGTCTTTTCTTGAGAAGTTACCTTGCTCAAGTTACTAGGGATAAGTTACCCTGCATTGGTTCAGAATTGGAGGGGTAAGGTCGCACAACTTAACCTTCGAAGATAATTTTTTTAAATTAGGAATTACTTGTAAAGGGGCAAGTGTTTTGCTGTTCCCTCCAGAGATGGTGATGCACACATGGATGCTTTAGAGTTTGTGCTTCAAAATTTTACCGAGATGAACAAATTGTGGGTTCGAATGCAACATCAGGTTGGTTGGAATAGTATGAAATATTGTTGAATATGGTTGCATGTCGTGAGAGTCCAATGTCTGATCATGCTATTTGCTACTCTTGTGTGAAATTTTCCCTACTGAATTCAACCTGATTTAAGACTTTCTGGTATCCAGGGACCTAGTCGGGAGAAGGAGAAACGGGAGAAAGAAAGGAATGAACTACGTGATCTTGTAATAGCATTAACTTGTAGCTGATTCTTCTCATCTAGAAATTTTGCGAGCATTTGTTCTTATTATTTTCTGAAAGGGACCTTTTATCTTTCTTTGTTGCCTGTTTAGGTTGGGAAGAACCTTCATGTATTGAGTCAGTTGGAAGGTGTTGACCTTGGAATCTACAGAGATACTGTTCTTCCTAGAATACTGGAGCAGGTCAGTTTTTTTTTCCTTCCTTTAGATAGTTTCAGCATCCAAGCTTTCATCTACATGATGTGGTAAATGATTTATGTATCGCTATGTTTTAAAAGGTTGTCAACTGTAAGGATGAACTTGCACAGTGCTACCTAATGGATTGCATTATTCAAGTCTTTCCTGATGATTTCCACCTTCAAACTCTCGATGTATTATTGGGTGCTTGCCCACAACTTCAGGTACTTTTTTATGTAACCGACCACTTCTTCATATGCAGTTTAAAAAGAAAAGATAAGACTGTTAGTAAACCTCATCCCATCTGAACATGTTTCCCCTATTTTCCTTTTTGTCATTTTGTTTTTCAGCCGTCTGTTGATATCAAGACAGTCCTTTCGGGTCTAATGGAAAGGCTTTCAAACTATGCTGCATCAAGTGTGGAAGCATTGCCTAATTTTCTGCAAGTAGAAGCCTTTTCAAAGTTCAATTATGCCATTGGGAAGGTAAATTATGCATCTTATTATGAAGTCAAAAAGGACAACTAAAATTGACACTTGAATTTTATTCCTTGGGTAGCTAGTATTGGAAACAGCTGAAAAATCTAGCTTAATCCCCATAATGTTGTGATATTATGTGTAATTTTTGTTCCCTACTTTCCTCTGATTGTATCACATTGATAAGTTATTCACAATTGTGTTTATAGACAGTTGATTGAGTCTACAATCTTATATTATGATTCAGGTTGTAGAAGCACAGGTGGACTTGCCGGCCGCAGGATCTGTAACATTGTATTTGTTTCTTCTGAAATTTACTCTCCATGTCTATTCCGATCGTCTGGACTATGTGGACCAAGTTCTGGTATAATGACTTCTGGCATGTTTTGTGTTAATTTTATTCATGTGGAGTATTTTATTTAATGCTTAAAGCAGTTCTGATTGTTGCTAATACGCATTGTTCTCTCTCTTTTTTTTCTTTAGGGATCTTGTGTTACCCAACTATCTGCCACAGGAAAGCTTTGTGATGACAAGGCAGCAAAGCAGATTGTCGCATTTCTTAGCGCTCCGTTGGAAAAGTATAATAATGTTGTAACTATCTTGAAGCTTACCAACTATCCTCAAGTAATGGAATACCTTGACCATGAGACAAACAAAGCAATGGCAATCATTATAGTTCAGAGTGTTTTGAAAAACAATACTCACATTACTACTGCTGATGAGGTGTTTGTTTCCTTCCTCGATTTTGTTTCTTCTTTTAGCATTCTCTGTTGATGTGGAGTTTCGTTTTATTGTTTTTTACAGGTCGATGCATTATTTGAACTGGCAAAGGGTCTCATCAAGGATTTTGACGGAAAAATTGATAACGAGGTGCTAGAATCCTTGTTTGTCAATTCTTATTGCATTTGTATTTACAGTATTCTAGTCACCCGAAAGAGTTATTTTTTTAGATAACTTACTAATTCAAACGAGAATCTATGTTGATCTCTAGATTGATGAAGAAGATTTCCAGGAAGAGCAGAACCTTGTTGCACGGCTTGTTCACAAGCTCTACAATGATGATCCAGAAGAAATGTCTAAGGTGTGTTATATAATTAAAAGAAGCGTTACTATCAATGTGGCCTGTCTGTGCGATTCTTAATTCATTTACCCAACTACAGATTATCTTCACAGTAAGGAAGCACATCCTGACTGGAGGACCTAAACGTTTGCCTTTGACTATACCACCCCTTGTCTTTTCCGCTCTCAAGGTTTGTATATTTGTTACTGATCACTTCTGCACTCCATCTCCAAATTGGAAATTTAAGTTCATTAAAATTTGGAATGATTGTGTCGTTTCCAGTTCTGTTATGGATTTAATAGACATTATGTTTGAATTTGGAACTCTGCACATTGTGTTGGTAAACATGTGCAGTTAATTCGGCGACTGCGAGGTGGAGATGAAAACCCATTTGGAGATGATGCATCAGCAACACCAAAGAAAATTCTACAGCTTTTAAGTGAGGCAAGTGTACATACATCTTGACTGTTATAAAGTCGTGAGGACAGTGCCTTGCTGACAGCACCGGCTTTGTCCCGGTGAAACATAGTATTTCTTTTTGTCAGAATAATAATGCCAGTCGATTTGAATCTCAAATTTTTACAGACCGTGGAAGCTCTATCTGATGTTTCCGCACCTGATGTGGCATTGCGCCTGTACTTGCAGTGTGCTCAGGTATATAATCGTTTGGTGTATCCACTATCAAGACCAACAATAGATATAATGCATGAGCTGAAAAATTATTTTTACTAAATCCTCAGGCAGCAAATGACTGTGAGTTAGAAACAGTCACTTATGAGTTCTTCACAAAGGCATATCTTCTGTATGAAGAAGAAATTTCAGTAAGTGAATTTTTTAAAAGGCTACATGCAACATTCTGCAAGGAAGACCTTGACGTTGCTTAATTTTGGGTGTTTTAGGATTCAAAGGCACAAGTAACAGCACTGCATTTAATAATAGGGACACTCCAGCGGATGCGTGTATTTAATGTTGAGAACAGAGATACTCTGACTCACAAGGCGACAGGGGTATATTTTCTGATAAACCAGTTGAGTACGTGATTACTACATGGATACTAACAAGGCTAAATTATGTTGTTGTAGTACTCTGCAAGACTCCTTAGGAAGCCAGATCAATGTAGAGCTATTTATGAATGTGCGCATCTCTTCTGGGCTGACGAGGGTGAGAACCTGAAAGATGGAGAGAGGTATGTACATATGAATGATACTCTAAAATTCTATATCTCAATGTAAACATTGGGAGCTGTAGGAAATTAAGAAGGGAAAAATTGAGGCATACTGAGAGTAAGTTGTTTTGTTGGGAGAACAGGGTTGTGCTTTGCCTGAAAAGAGCACAAAGAATTGCAGATGCTGTTCAAAAAATGGCCAACGCATCCCGTGGTACCAGTAGCACTGGGTCGGTGGCTCTATATGTTGAACTTCTGAATAAGTAAGTTACTCGTTTCAGTTGCACCTGTATAATATAACTATGCTGCCACTTTCGCATAATGGTTTTACGAGTGAGTGCAGGTATCTCTACTTCTTGGAGAAAGGAAACTCAGAAGTAACAGGTGATACAATCCAGAGCTTAGCTGAATTGGTCAGAAGCGAGACGAAGAAGGTTGAGTCAGGCGCAGAGTCGTTCATAAATAGCACTCTACGTTACATCGAGTTTCAGAGACAGCAAGATGGCATGAGTGAGAAATACGAAAAAATCAAAATGGAATGGTTTGAATGAATTTCTTCCTTGCATTCTTTTAGGCACGTCATCAAATAATCATGGCTTCTCTCCTTGTTGCAGAAGCATGAAATGTAATCTTGAGAAATAAAACTTGTACAACACTTTTTTTTTCCCAGCTACACTCACTCTTTAGCCTCTATCAATATACATGGATGCAAAGTTTTAAACATTAACGTACAAGATGTGATCAGTTAAAGCTATGCAGGGACTGAAACGGATTCAAAACATGCGGTGTGAATTGTAGAAGCAAAACAAGAAAACGATGATTTAGACAAACCCCATTAACATTAATAACAACATAAAGACCAATCAGACTTGGGTGTCTGTTCCATTAGCACATTGATTCATTCATTGTTAGAACATAGAAGATTAATATACCGAAACCAAATACATAAAAACAGAGATTTCCAATCATAGAATGGAGCATGCCTTCTGAGCTTTGCTCTTCTTCTTCTTCTGCTTTGGCGGTTGCAACACCACTCGGATAGCTGCGTCAAACACCGCCTTCACATTCTGCACCCTCAAATGATCAACATTAGCATTAAACAGTTGACATAAGAAATGTGTCCCAATCCAAGAGTAGACTAATCAATATACCTCTTGAGTTTTGGAACTGCATTCGATGTAAGTAGGTGCTCCTATTTGCTTCCTCAGCTCCTCTCCCTGAGCAGTAGTAATCGGGACAGCGCCAGGATGGTCGATAAAGAACTGTTTATCATCTCGAAGATCTGGATAACAGCAACAACAAAAACTCAGTCACAACTAGAAGATTAAACAGATTCACAGATGAGGAAAAAAACAATGAAGACCTCACCAAGCTTTGTTCCAACAAGGATGATGGGGACACCAGGGGCATAATGTTTCAACTCCGGGATCCACTGCAAACACAGATGAGAGAGTTCGAGTTCACTATGTAAAGATCCCAATAATATGAAAGAAAGAGTGATTTGATGAATGTATTACCTTTTTGGAGACGTTTTCATAACTGGCTTTACTGATAAGAGAGAAAGCCAAAATGAAAACATCTGCTCCACGGTAACTCAGTGGTCTTAATCTGTTGTAATCCTCTTGCCCTGTTTTCTCATACCCAAAAATGTTACAAAATCTTCAGATCCAATACAAAAACCATTTTTCCAAAAATTCAAAACAAAATAGTAGTTATATTCGCAAAACCTGCAGTATCCCACAATCCAAGATTCACGGTGCTTCCATTAACCACAACGTTTGCACTGAAATTATCGAAAACGGTAGGCACATAATCCTGTATAATTGAAAAAAAAAAACACACAAGAAACATGAGATGGTGTTGTGCTAATGAAACAAGAAACATAAAAGCATGAGGATGAGTAAACAAAAAAAAAAAAGGACATAACCGTAGGGAAAGTATTGCTTGTGTAAGAAATCAACAAACATGTTTTTCCGACAGCTCCATCACCAACCGTCACGCACTTTACGAACCTCGAAGCACTCATTTCCCTCCTCAAAGATTAGAAATTTCAGGGAAAGATTTAGCCTTCAGATCTTTAGAGTTATACAAAGATTCTTGATATTTTTGTTAATCGACCATCTGGGCATTGCGGATTCGAAAGGAGCAGACTTTGTCCCAGAAATTGAAAACCCTATTACCCAATGAAAGATGGGGAAGCAACAAAAAAAAACAAAACAAAGAAAAGAAAGAAAAAAAGATGACAGAAACGAAAAAACAAAGAGTTAGTTAGTTAGCTTTGGCCGGGAAAAATGGCGTTGAAACGTTCCGCTGTGTTTTCTTTTGCCAAACCAAACTTTTCTCTTCTCTTTCTATTTCTGACTATTTGTGGGATTTCATCTTTTAATAGCTTTTTCAAAAAAACAAACAAGACAATAAACCAATCGATTTTGCTGTGTTTATTTATGGGAAATTAAATTAGGGACTTGTCTTCTTCTGCCGCCCGAACGAATTCTTATATCGTTTTCTTCCGTTGCGTACAAATCATGAGTGTGTTTAAGTTATCATTAAAACTTGATTTCTTCTTTAAGCAATGTCCTTAACTAACTCACTAACTAACAAACATACAATTTCCCAAAGTTAATGATAGGTTGGTAGGTCACCTCCTTATGATTTGACATGACCATTTTCATTGGGACTTTGCTGTTGTTATGTGGTCGATTTTAACAGACTTACGCTTATGTCAAAGACATCAACAGACTCAACACCCAAAAGTGACATGAGCTTGGCCTGGCTTCAGTGGAAGTGCAATGCTGCTTCACAAAGTGCCCAGAGTTGAAACTTAGTTACATCTCTATCGATCAATGTACATGGATCAGAAGTAGTTGACTTGATCAAGTTTCAATGAAGAAGTCTTTAACCAATTTCATTTTCAAAAAGAACATAAATAGCATAAAACTCAACCTAACATTTTTACCAAAAGGTTGGTTTTGGATCAAGCAAAAACAGAGAGCAATACAATTTGTTAGATTTGTCCTTCTCTAAGGAAGCAACCTCTTGACCTCCTCTTGATCCTCACCGATGCTCTTAGCTTGGTTGTAGACAGACTCAAAGGCTTGCATACACACACTTGAAAACCCAACCATTGCCTGAAACACATGAGGGAATCCCATCTGCAAGTTATTTAGAGTCATGGCTCTGGTCACGCTCACTGACTTCTCATGCTTACTTTTCTCTTCTTCTGCCTTTCCTTTTAGCATATCAACCTTTACTCTCTTCTCTATCACAGGGTTCGTTTTCCTGCTCTCAGGCACCGAGTATGGACTATACTTGCTCTCGAGGGCTCTCAGCGAAGCCGATTTCTTCTCAAAATCTTTTAACATAGCCTCTGTTCTCTTCTTCTGCTTATGCTCGTCGGCCTGTTGAGCCACGATTCCATGGACCGCAGTCAGAAAGCTCTTGATGCCTTCAGATGCTACTTTATCAGGGATCCGGTCGATAGCCAAATGCCATTCCTCACAGAAGCTGTAGATCTTTGACTCATAGCTACTCCTAACAAGTGGATTCTTGCTGAACTGGAACAAACTTAACCTGAGCCAACCCGTGAGAGATTGGATGTAGTCACGCTGAGCCTTGACTAAATTGCAGAAAGAGTGATGCCATTGTTGGATCTCGAGCTCAAGCTGAAGAGTTGATTGTCGATGAAGCTCGGATGTTGGTTCAGTGGATGGAATGGTGTTGAGGTACTTAAGCTGCTGAACAATATGGGTTTGAACCTGGTGGCTCTCGTACATACTCCTCCACATGCACATTAGCCTACAAATACATCATACAATAACCGTTGCTCGCATAGACCAAATGAAGGGAAACAATATTAAATGAAGCAAATGGTATATAACAAACTATACACAACAACTAACCCTTTAACAAGCTCGACGAGCTGAGGATAGAGCTCTGTCTCTCTGAGCTTGATGATCTCGTTAGAGGCACTCTGGATGGCTTGTGAAGACACTGAGAGCTGAGACTCTAACTTCTCAACGTCTTTCTTAGCCTTCTCAGTCTTGACATACTCAGCTCTCTTCATCTCAAGCCTCCTCACTTGCTCCACTTTCTTCTCATGCTCAATCTTTATGCTCTCTGCATTCTGCAACAACCCACATTCACAAAACAACAACCACACTCACTCAATCACTTAGACAAAATATTTGTGTCATCACACACAAGAGCCATTATCAGAATTAAGTACACACGTGGGTCTCTTACACTATCTGCTCACGCTTGGACCCACCACAAACAAGCCTTTAATGCCACATGAATCAAGCAAGATTCCAAAATAAAACATTTATCCATATTTGGATGCAAAACTAAGCAAAAGCAATTTCAAGATTCAAACTTCAGAACTGGAGAATAAAAAATGAATACAACAATTTGTCAAACTTCTTCCATAATAAACTAAACATTCAAACGAATACATCCAAAGTCTAATTGTGCAAAGATTGAAACTTTATCAATGAAATGAATATACCTTGACCTCTTGAAAAAGTTTCTTTTCCCAAGCATAGAGTCTGTCCACTGTAGAGGAATGGCTACCAACAATGCAATTTCCTCCAATGACTCCTCCTGTGGTTCTGTATTCATTCAACTTGGGAGCAAATCCCCTTGTCCAAAACGAAGTTGGATTTAAATTGCATTCGTAGTTACTGTACATTTTCCCTGGAGAGAGACACAAAACACACACAAATCAAAAATCACTCAGCCACCTGTAGTAATATGGTCAAGAAGACAAGAGCTTGACTTGTTACCTGCTTTGGTATGACCAGAAAAGGCAGTGATAGAGGTTGAGATTTCAAGTAGAGAAGAGAGTGGAGCACCAGAATCTGCAGCTTTAAGGAAATATTCATCGACTTCTTTAATAATCTCCATTAGATCTTTACCATTCCTCGACACCACAACTGCTAGCTCACTTCCCGTCGTAGTCGTTGTCATTGTATCTTTAGAGAATCCACTCACTACAGACGAAGCTTGAGGAGTAGCTGTCGTCGGAGCAGTCGTGACAGCAGCGTCAGAACCAGTTCCGGTTCCTGTTGCGGTTCTTGTTGCGGTGGTTGTCTCTTCCTCCCACTCTTCCTCGGAGGAAGAAGGAGGCGGCGGTATGAACGGATCCCAGAAGTCCCATGTAGAAGAAGGCGGAGGAGGGGGTGGCGGCGGTGGGGGAGGAGGAGGAGGGAGAGCGGATGAAGTGGTGGTTGAAGTCCATGTAGTGGTTTCGGAGCCAGGGCTAAGAGGAGGAGGGGGAGGACGCGGCGGAGGTGGTGGAGGAGGAGATGGGGATGGAGGATGGTGGTGGAGGTGAAGAGGGGTTTCTTTGGAAGAGAAGTGAACAAGGGAAGAGCCGACGGCGCGTAGAGAACGGAGATAAAGCGCGTGAGAGACAGAGAGAGTTTGTCTAGCTTTAACAAGATGTTTCAAGTACCTCTTCCTTGCTTTGCAACGAGACACAATCTCTTTGCTATCTATTCTTGACTGACAACAACCCATTTCTTTTCAAGTACTCTTGTCTGAAAATGAAAGTGAGAATGGGTTGTTCTTCTTCTTCAACCATGCATCCAGACACACAAAAATAACTACTTCTGTCCTCTCAACAAATCTCACACTCTCTTACCCAGAAACCATTTTTGCTTCTTCTTTGTAAGTGAGCTTACCTCGTTTGTGTCAAAAAGATTAACGAAGAAGAAAAAGAAAAAAAGAAAAGATCTAAACTTTGTCTTGATCTGAAACTCAAGAGTTTAACTTTAGGATTAGATAGAAGTTGAGGTTGAGAAAAGGGATTGTGAAGGGTTTTGATTTTTAGTATATTTTTGTTGGATATTGAAGAAGGCCACTTTGGCTTCCCCTGAGGAATGTGTAGTTGGAATTTGGAATTCTTTTTTCTTTTCAGTTTTAACCTTATTTACACACACTCACTCACTTTGGTCGGAGAGCCCTTTCCCCCAATTAAAATCACTTCTTTCTTTTTTTTCTTTCATCCAAAACAGTCCATTTGACTAAACTAACCTTTTACTTTTCAAATTTTCTGAAGGTTCATTAACAAATTTTACTTTTTTGCCTTTTCTGACAGTCAAAGTTTACAAAAACTTGAATTAACGCAGATACCAAAAATGCCTAACTTTCAAATAGAGAGAGATTAAGGAAAACAAAAACAAGTTTTTTTACACCGGTTCGTTCATTTAGCCGTGGTTATAAAATAAAATGATAACAGAGGGTACTTCCGGAATTATATACATTTTTCCGCCAAATTAATAAAAGAGTTTCTCTCTAAAATATACACTTTGACAAGTTGGTTTAAAGCTTTTCTACAAATTGGGAGCAGAAGCGGCCAAAATTGATATAACGGATACTAACTTAACCAGTGACCACACTAGTAGTAGTTTGAGTGAGTGGTGTGTGTCTTTATCTCTTTCCATTAGATTCTAAACATCTACAATAACAATCAATAATTGTAAAAGGCAGTGAATGAATATATATATAATAACTTCAATTTTCATTATTGGTCAATGACGACAATAATTGTAAAAAAAGAACTAAAAATAAAAAATGGCAGCAAAATTAAGCTGACAAAATTAAAAAACATTGATAAATTACCAAAGAAGAATTAAGCTCATCTCCTTTTGCTTCGGTCACTAAACTTAATAAATTATAAAAATTAGAATGATAAAAAGATATTTGGTTAGAGACTCTGATTGATACAGAGAGTGATGTCCTGGAACACCTTGAGCCTCTTCTTGTCCACTTTTGTTTCTGTCCCCAATACAGCAGCCAATATCGCATCTTCGAAGTCTTTGTTGTCTGGTAATCCACACTCTGTTGCTTTCTTCTCCATCGACAGTCTCCTTTTCGTGTTTGTCTCCACCTCGTGATCATCATTGCCACTACCACTCAATACTCCCATGTTTTGGCTCGATGATCTCGTTCTCTTCAGCTTCTCGTTGTTACTGATGATCAACTTCGAAGAGAAGAACGGTTTTGCGTCAACCCTTAATGGGTTTACTACTGCTGGTGGATTCATACTCACCTTCACGTTCTCGTCAGCGTATCCATCGTTGCTCAAATTAGGCTTCGATTTTGGTTTCACGTTCTGCTCACTGCAAGGCTGAGGTTGCCATATTGAGGAAGATCCGAAGATGGCGTCGAAGAGCCTTCTTTTTTCAACCTTATCATCACCTCCTTTTCTCATCATCTCAGATCCAAGATCATTGAGCATCTGTTGCGCTCTCTCGTAAGCTTTAAGATGAGAGTCCACTCCTCTTGGACCATCCACGACCGCTGGTTTCACACGTCGTAAAGTCTCTTTCGCCTCATCAATCCTGCCTTGCTTCATAAGGCATATACCAAGGTTGCACATTTTGTTGTTGTCCGGTGCTATTGATAGAGCTCTCCTGTATGCATCTTCTGCTTCCACAAATTTGTCTCGTTGCATCAGAGCCCATCCTAAGTTTCCCTATTTCAAACAAAATTCAATCCACTTTAGAATACCACAAAATTGGCAATTGCTGCAACGTCGTTATGCACATTTTGAATATTTGCTGCTTACCAGTAACCGAGTGGCTTCTTGCTCCACGGAGACCTGAAATTTCTTGCCTTGAGATCTCGCGGTTTTGGTTCGTTTACCATTAAAGGCGAGTCCTTTTTGTATCAAAAAGAGTTTATGTTTCAAAAGTCCAATCTGGTCATCTAATCTCCCACATCTCTGCAACAACAAATCCATTTCAATATATCTCAGCACAAAATTAAGCCAAATGCAAAATGAAAAACAAATTCTCAGTACAAAATGAAGGCCATTTGCAAAATGAAACAGAGGAAAATGGTATAATGTGTAAAGGACGAACCTTGTAGAGATCTAGTAGGATGTTGTCCAGAGATTCCTGGGCTTGATCTGAACATCTAACTCTGAGAGATTTGATCGCTTCAATGGCTTCTTCAGCGCGGTTTTGTTGCTTCATCACAATGGCCATGTCTTTTAAAGCACTGTCCACTCTATCTCCGGCATTAATGGCCTTCCAGAACAGAGGAATCGCTCTCTCTGGATCCTTCTCCACTAACTAATCCCATACACAACCGCAAAAACAAACTCATCATCATTAAAATGCAAATGAAACCCAAAACACAAATTCAGATTCCGTGGAATCCAGATCTAAACAAAAGGGTATAGTAATCACCTGAACATTCTTTGCTCTGACATAAGGACTGTCTCCTACAGGGACTTTGTGGATAGCATGAAACGATTCAGACTGAGTGCGGGAGATTCCAAGTGGCTTTGCAGGAGAGCACGGGGCTGATTTGGTCGGCCTGAATACATCTCTCATCATTTTTGGAGCAAAATGGAGAAGAAGAGGAAGAAGAAGAAGAAGACAAAAGGAATCTCGGAGGGAGTAGTAATGTAGGATCAAGGTTTAGATTTAAGCAGAAGGCTTGGGAGAGAGATCCGAATATTATAAAAGATTTAAATTTTCGACCGTTGAGGTCACTAGCCGTTGCGTTGCATTATTTTCTATTTCCGCTAATTACTGGGGGAGCGTTTATCATCTACTCCCTTGACTTTCCATGTATTTTCGGTTTAGCCCCGCCAGAACAAAATCATACAAATTTGGACAAAATCAGATTTTCACAGTCGTATATAAGAAACATATCTCCATTATAGTTTAGATTTCTGTCTATCAGTACATTGATTGTGTTCAATTTAAAATCTCGACGAATCGAGAAAAGTCACTAGACGAACGACTATGACGGATCCGTTTACATAATTGTACGGCCCATTAAGCCCATAGTTCGAGTGCTATCATATCTTGCACAAAAGTCTGTGTGTATCAAAATCGCTGTAAAAAGTTTTTCACCAGCCACTCATGTTGCCGTGAATCTTGGAGTTTTGGGATCGGCCTCCTTTGTCCTTGTATGTGTTTCTTGAAGACTGCGACTTTCTACCTCCCCTGGCTGCTGCCATGGCTCTGCGTCTTTGCTTGCCCAGCTTTTTAACCAGCTCTGCATCCTCCTCTTCCTCCTCCTGTACAAAGGAATTAACATTGATTTTTGTCAGTGATGATTTCATTAGTTCATACTCTCTTGAGTTACTTATACAGAGATACTAACCTCATCGCTTTCATCGCCATCTTCGTCACCTTTCTCGGTTTTATCCAACTTAACTTCTGCGTCAACACCATCTGAACTTTTCTGCTCCTACCTCATGCCAATCATACAATGTAAGAACATCTCCACTTGGAACAAGTTTCAGTTATATCTTGGACTTGGAATTTTCATACCTTTTCTTGCAACTGCAATGACTTCAATTTATCAAGGTTTTCTTCTTCATTTGACTCACAAGTCTGCTCTTCATCATCAGATTCCTCATCCTCATCAGAATCTTCACTCTTCTCCACCCCACCTTCAATAAACTACACAGGATAGATACCACAAGTTTATTCCATATTTCATTCAATAAATCACCAAAAAAAGGAATGAAAAAATAAAACCAGAGAACTGCATATTGTAAGATAACTAACACATTTGACTGCCTAAATTCAAAATATACACGCAATACCAGGAATTAAGGTCACAGGCTAACGTACTTTATCGAGGTCATTCTGCTCCTTTCTTGTGAACCCACTAGCTTCTAGATCTCTATCCAAAGCATTAGCATCTTTAGTTATATCATAAAAAGATGGTCTGCTGTTCTCATCCACCTCCGTCTCATCTGATTCACCTTTATCTTCATGGAAAATCATATTGAATCTGGAAAAAAGGACCAGAGTTCACCGAAATTGAGTTTACTGTCAAAGTGTCAATCATGACATGGATTCGGCAACAGAGAGAGTATCTGCTACTAGGTATCGTGAACATATAATGTATAAGAAAAAAATCAAATTGGTAACTAACCTTTTTCTGAAAAACTTGAAGATACACTCGATATCACGGTCAAAGTACCTGAAAGACAAAAAAAAAGTCATAAACAAGCACGAACACTGCATGGAAAGTTGGATGAGAGTATGAGAAATCACGTACATCTGTGCATTTTGGTGTGAAACAGATACCATTTGTGGAAAGTCAATCATTGTTATCTTCTCTTCATCATCAATCTAAAACAGGAGGTGTCAATGAAAATTATTAAGAAGCAGAGGATAAAACCAGCATGTACAGAAAGTATTAATTAACTTAAAGAACGATGCAGCTTCATGTAACTGCAGAGAGGGCATTATTCAACTAGACAAATCGAACTAACTCACCATGATGTTAAATTCATTGAAGTCACAATGAATTAGACCGTGCTCAGCCAAACGAACAACAATGCCAATGATTTTCTCGAAAATTGTCTCAGGGTTTTGTAATTGCTTCACCTGAACCCTGTCATAAATGAAAATGTGAATAAATTCCTTAGTCTAAGCTTAAATAATGTCCAGCCAAAAAAAGCATCAGATGCCATATTAAATTTTCTTTGTGTGAATATGTAGGTTATGTAGGTAGGTCCTTACATGGGGTAACCTTGCACAAGGGACATGATAACACAATGCCTATTGCAGTCAATCGCTTTCGGAACTGGAAAATCATGTTCTTCCAAAGCCTGCTCACCCGGAAACCATTAAAACATTAGGCCAAAAATGATAAAGATGATACACACACAAGGATGGTGTAACATTAATGGAACAAGGCATATAACCTTCATAAAAGCAAACTCCTTGAGAGCTGCAAGTCGGGAGAGATACAACCAGCTGAAACTACTCCGATGCCTCAAGTAGTCACGCTTAGACTTGACAGCCCTAAAGGAGGTTCTCCCTAGCCTATGTAACTTCATTGCCAGAATAGTTCCATCTTCTTGAGCGACCTCAAATATGTCTATTATATGTCAAGAACCAACAAACAAGATGAATCAGCCACTGATAAGTATCTCTCACAGAGCAATAGAAAATAAATAGGAAAGGAACATACCTGATTCTTTACCAACCCCAATTTGACGACCAACACCAGTAAATATACCACGGTTGACCAATGTTTTAATGGCAAGAAAGTCGTAACCAAGATAGGTGAGTCGGAATCCATCATCTAGACAAACAAAAAGAAAAATGAAAAAAACAATAGCCTTTAGAGATTCTGCAACTTTCCAAGACTGTCTATCCTCATGAAACATATCAAGAAAAACTACTGATGCCTTAAGAGATGAATCCTCACATTTAGAGCCATCGTGGTGCAAGAGCTTATACTTAAGCAAATTCTTCAGGACCTTGTATGTACCTCCATGTCTGTATATATAAAAGGTATGTCAATTACACAATAAGTTTCACCAAAATGAAGAAATAAGCTTAATGAATAATGGAAGCATTAAGATGAGGCATACTTAAGAGAAGCAATGCGCTCCACAAGCTCAGAAGGAACAATCTCATGCTGCAAACACGAAAACAGAATATTTCAGGAAAAAAATAAACACACAGAGGTAATACAATAAACCTTAAACCCTAAATTTCAATAAAGCAGAGAGCACTCACGTTTCGCATTCCCATCTCGACTGCAGTGAGGACTCGAAAATCATCCTTGGATAGATATCTCAAGACATTCACGTCAAGCTTCATCCTTTACGCCTCAGTGTAAAACCCTTTCTACTCTGATTCAAACCTGGCTGATAAAAATAATTTCTCAAATTGCTGTGATATTTTATCGAACGAAGCCCTAGACGACAAACCTAGAAAAACAATTCAAAGTATAAGCTTTAACATTTTAAACCAATCAGTATGACACTCGACGCAAAAAGTGGTGCCGACTAGATACGATTAAACCCTGACTAATCTAGGTAAAAAGTTTCGACTTAGAACGGGGACAAATAGGCTTCTTTCAATTAAGTTACAAACCTTGGAAGAAGGAGATGACTTAGACCTAGAAACGAAACAACAAGGGCGATGTGAGAGGAACAAATTGATGGAGCAGAAAACTGAAGAAGCTCACCTGAGAGAGACAGAGATCGCGGCGCAGAGAGAAGAAATAATGTTTTGGTGGAGTTAAACCTCAATCGTTTGGTAGAACATTCGAATAATATTATTGTTGTAGAAAACCAAACAACAATGTCGTTGTAGTATAGTGGTAAGTATTCCCGCCTGTCACGCGGGTGACCCGGGTTCGATCCCCGGCAGCGGCGAAATTTTTTTTATATAAGAAACTACATTTACTTGTCATAACGACGCATTAATTTGCTTGTAAGTGTCATCTTTATAAACACGTTTAAGGATTATAATGTATTGCTAAGCAACTTACTGTTTGGCTATGGCAACTCTTTTGGTTCAAAAAAATTAGTGATTCTGCATTTTACGTCCAGCTGATAAGGGATTATTATCTTCAGCATTTCTGTTGATGTTAATGAAGTTCATTAGTTCCGCTTTGAAACGTTGCAATACGAATGAACAGGTTAATGGAGAGGCAAAGGAAACAAACTCTAGAATAGGCAAAATAAGAAAAGAGGGACAAGTTTTGTAAGAGACCATGTCTCCAAGAGAAACCTACAAAGCTTAGAGGCTCTTGAACGCAAACGCAAAGTCATCTATGATGTTGAACAGGACATAGGTCGAGTGACAAGTTTATAATAGCTAAGCATGATAAACCGCTAAATTGTCAATTATGATTTAAAGCAACAATGTCAAAAGGCTAGTAAAATCCAACAAAACCAACCATTTCACGCGGTCCAGATTTCTATTCAACCCTTGAATATCTGACTTTGAACCAACATTACAACTCAGAGTCTGAGACTGCTACCATAAGATCTGGTTCATGTTTCCTTCGCAGGGCCTTTCTTGGCCGCTTCTGCAGCAGCCTTCTCTGCTTCGATCTCAGCCACAATAATATCAATTTCTTCTTCTTCTAGTTGCTTCAGAACACCTTCCTCTCGTGTCATTACAGCAACCTCAATGTTCTTTCCCCCGCTCTCAACCACCTGCAAAATGCAATGCCTATCAGCTTTTGACATAATCAACTAACTGTGCTTCTACTAAGTAAGCTCATCCAACATTATCTTCCAACTTAACTAGTACGGTCTTCTATATTTTCAAGGAATTCTAAGTTATAACATTCTCTAACGCTGTCACTTTTAGTAAGTTTTGCCTCTAACCTAAAGCCACTTTCAAATATGGAGAATGATATATGTGTTTTAAGTGTAGCATGTTGCTCACAAAATCACCAGTTTAGGCTAGCAATAAACCAATAGGTAGGATCTCACTGTCAAGCTTAGTAACAGGGCACTGCAATAATAGCTAGGAAGAAACTACTCGGTTTAGTTAAAGAAAATGATCGGATAAACTAACCTCCAGGAGAGCACGGATGGCAAGCTTAACAGTTTCTTGACCAGAACATTCTTTATAGTTTTTCTCCAGAAACTCCCTAATCGAGTTAGAGTTTCTCCCAGTCGCATTAGCCTTCCAAGCAGAGAATGTACCGGATGGATCGGTCTGATAAAGCGCGGGAATACGAGTGTAAGGGTCAAAACCAACGATAAGAGTGGAAAGACCAAAAGGCCTCACACCACCACTTTGAGTATACTTCTGTTGAAGACCAGCTATGTAGCGCGTGATGTACTCAACAGTCACTGGGTCCTCCAACGTAAGCCTGTGGCTTTGACACTCTATCCTCGCTTTGTTTATCAGGACACGGGCATCAGCCTTCAACCCAGCACAGGCCAATGCAATGTGATTATCAAGGCTCACAATCTTTCTAGCTGATCTGTAAAGAAAAACAATAATTTATCAAAACTCATGCGATTATGAAGGAACACCAATCAGATCTGACATACAAATAATCATAGTTGCAGCAGGAATTGCACACTCGTAAAGAATAAAACTTCAACTAGGGTTCAGCTCCGATTCTACGATCTAACATTCCTAGATTCCCAATTACAAAGTGATACTGTAACCCAACATCAGCGGATCTTTCTGAAGGGTTTCAGTATTGACAAGTCAAGTAGCAATTGAGACAATCAAGCGATCCAGGTGAAGCAATAAAGTCAAAAATTAAAGTGCGGAAATTAAAAAAGCAAATGAACAACACTACTTGTATCAGCAGAGATCGAAACTATACCTGGAATCCTGGAGCTTAGGGGTGGATTTCTTTTCGACGGCGAGGACAACAGTATCAGTGCCGCGGACTCCGACGGCGGCGTTACCCTTGCGGACGGCTTCCAGGGCATACTCGACCTGGAAAAGATGACCATCGGGGGAAAACACTGTGATTGCTCGATCGTATCTCGCCATCTCTCAACTCTGTTCTTCTCCTTTTTTTTTTCTTCTGGGTATTGTGAGATACTGAGATGTTCTTTCTCCTTCTTCAAAACCTCTCTTTCGATTTTGCTACTTAACGATTCCCAACTTAGGCGACAAGCCAAGATGCCCCAGTTCTTTTTTTAATCACCTGCGGACAGGTTCACGATAAAACTCCTTCCACCCAATCAGAAAACATTATCACTGGACTTCAACTTTTGTAGTTGGTCCAAGGCCCTAAACACATGGCCCAGTTCCTCAAAATTCTAAAACTCCTAACGTTGTTTTCTTTTCCTTCAAATTAATCTGGTTTTGGAAAGAACTAAATTAACAAAAGTCATAAACATAACAATGGTTAAATTAGATTCAAGTCTCAACAATGTCACAACAGTTCACAGAGATAAGAAATAGCGGTATGAAATAGCAGAACAAAACAGAAAGATGAGATAAGAAATAGCGGTATGAAATAGTAGAACAAAACAAAAAGATGAAATACATCTTTTAATACTCGCTACTTTTTATCGTTAAGTATTAAAGCTGCATATAGTATCTCTTTTCTCCATGCATATATGGGAGAAGATTACAAGAAACTGCTTATATAGTTTACATAGAATCACAATATACACAGAAAACTAAATATAGAGTACATCAGTCAATCTTCATATACTTTTCCAAAAGGAAAACTAAATTGCAAAGTATAGATGAACAATTGGAAGTAAGGCTGTTTACTTGGACCCTTTCTTAGCCTTTAAATCAGAAACAGCGGACTTGGCCAATGTTGTAGGCTTCAAGACACTTTTGGGGTTAAGTGCCTTTCGGATCTTGAAAGCAACCCATGCGGTTCCAAAAGCATGTCCTGCTGCGTCTAGCCCTTCGTTGGTTGCCTCTGCTGCTTTTGTGCCATACCTGTAGTAGTATCACAAAAATATCCATGATGTTTCTTTAACACCTAAGGAAACTTTAATCACCTGATGAGATATAAGTGACTGTTTCCATATGCCTTTTGCTAATCAATACCTGTGATTGACGAGTTCTGTTGTGACAGTTGATGAAGTTGACATCACGTTTTTCCCAGCCACCTCAACAGCATCACAGATCTTGCCTGCAGGAAGTAAACATGGGATTAGATACAATGCAAAGAAGGCAATGTTGGTATGCTACTAATGCCATGTGCCTAAACAAAAAAAGCAGCAGGTTTTATGTGGATATCAAAGGTTGTTAGAAGACAGCCTATAAGATGTAGAGGAAACAATACACTTCCAGGACCAGTTTAGAAGCTATCCAAAATCTATGCCCATACATAACTTAAAGAAGAAGGAGGATTTGACATATACGACAAACGAAAGATTGCAAATCACTTGGTAACTTTCAACTTAAACACCACAAAAGGAACAATTTCTCCAAACCCTATTAGCCTAATATTGGTCAGGGCAAGAAGCAGACCCAAACACCATATCAAGGAACTTCTCGAAAAAGTTATATTCAAAAAGACTCCGGAACTATGGTTATGGCCATCAAAAGGAATCATGGATAAACAAGAATAATTATAAATGCTGGTGAGATAAAAGAGCCAAGGAAACTTTCAAATTAATAAGTTTCCATGACCCTCCAAGCCTGACATTGTAAAATTTTAAGAAGCCAAAAACAAGAAATCAACTTACTAAATCCATCAAGGGATGCGAGAACAATCTCTCCAGGCAAGAGGCCAAAAAGCTTCTTTCCAGCTTTTGAGTTTGCCACTGAACCAGTGATGAATCCTGAGACTTTGACAACACCAGAGAGAACACCAGTCGCAACTTTTTCTGTCATTTGTGTCACTCTCTTAACCCTTTACATAGAAACCACACGAGGAGATTAGCATAGGCATAAAATTTGTTCATTCAAGATATAACCATGAAGAATTGATCTTTTTAAACAAAAGCATCTCTTACTACTCAGTTTTCTAATGATCATGAAACAAAGAACCAGATAAAATTCCTACTAGATTCCTGTCCAGTTTTTTCCTAGGTCAAAGATATTAAATTCCTAAGTATCACCATACCTCTTGATTCTCTTCAGTGTTTCAGGGCTAACATCCTTCTCCTTCTCAGCACGACTTAGCCTATTCTTCATCACTTCGTTCCCCTTCTTGAGTCTCTCCACAGTTACATCCCCACACCAAAGTATCCCTCTGATCAGCTTGCCTGACCCGGAAGCTATCATTTTGGCAGTACTGTGACTATAGTCCTCGACATTAGGCGCAAGTGTAGTCCAATACGCCGCACATTGACCCTCCACCACGTCTTTTCTCTCACCCTTAAGCTCCTCGGGAGAAGTCTGTGCCACAACTGAACTTCCCAGCACCTCTTCACCCGTTTCCTTAGCCTTTTCAGACATCTTCTGCTCTGTGAAACAGCTATAGTCTCGCAAAACCTGATCAAGCACAAGTAATACATTCTCTTGCCCTTTCGAAGCAATAGTCAATCCGTAATTGAGAATATCATCATCTGAGTCGGACACAGATCCATTTCCTTGCTCCTTTGGCGGATGAATCGAAAAAAAATAGTGCGATCCATCAACCTTGGCGGCAACCTCGTTCTTCGTCAACGGCCATTGAATCTCATTCCCAACATTGGCTAGAACCGCGACGATGTTCTGCCCCTGGATGATTCGAACGATGGTGAAATCACCGCAAGCGAGTTCAACGCTGTAGGATTTGTCAATAAGGTTGAGAATAGCACCGGGGACACGGATAAGAACCTCCTCCGTCGCCTGAGGCGGAGCAGACGGTGATTGGTCGTTGGATGCATCTCCGTGGTCAGGGAAGAGATTAGGTCCGAGATTTTGCGATGAGAGAGAAGGATAGAGATAAGGGGAAGAAGGGTAAGGATTTGTTGGAGCAAAAGGATTATCAGGAATCGATTGATCGACTTGGGGATACATCGCCGGTCGTTGCTTCTCGTCACCACCGTGAAAAGGATTCATCTCCGTCGCTTCGTCGTTGATTGTAACAAAATTAATCAAAATGGGTTTTGATTGAGTGAAAAAAAAAAAAAAACATAAAAAAGTATAAATTTTCAATTTTCAAGGTACATTTATAATTTTCGAGGGAGACGTGGGTTAACCAATAAAATTGTCGATAACAGCAATTTGAATCCACACGCATCAATCTTTTTTCTTTTTTTTTGTCATAGATAAGTACAGTAATTATCATTATTGTAATTTATTTCTATATGATTAGAAACGATAATAAATAAAGTACACAAAACATACCGAGCGTAGCAATACCAACGTACAAAACAGAACCGGAACGAACCAACAACACAACAGGTAACCGAGAAAAATAAGTAAAGAATTTAAGCAAGGATTTGGTCCGGATCGACAGGCTTGGCAGCTTCCTCGTGGTCATGTTTCTCTTTAGCTAGCTTCTTGAGGCGAGCCAGCTCCAAATCTTTTCCCATCTTTCTTTTATACATCTCTGCGAACGTGATTGGCTCTTCCAAGATCGGCTTCTCTCCTTCTCTTACTTTAAGCGGATACACGGTGGCGTCTGGAGCCGGATTCTGGAACGTGGCTATGGACAGTCTGCTAGAGTTAGAGTTCACCACGGCCTGATGATCCGCGTTCTTGAACCTCCCATTGCTCAGAAACTTAAATCAAGACCAATCCAACCAATTTTCAAAACTAGAAACAGTGAAAGGAAAGAAAAAGAACAAAGGAATATATAATTAAATGGAGAGATTTGAGAGAGAGAGTACTGACGTGACCGTGGTCACCGAGATTGACGACAAACGCTCCTTCAACGGGCTGAACCGTAATCCACGTCTTGCCATCGTCTCGTGTGGCCTGTAACCCACCGACCTGGTCTTGTAGCAGCAAAGTGATGGTTCCAGGGTCAGTGTGACGCTTAAGTCCGAGGGTGAGATCAGGCTGAGGGCATTTTGGGTAGTAATTAACAACTATCTTTTGGTCCATATCGACGCATGCATTGGTCAGCGAGTCTTTCTCAAGACCCATAGCTTCAGACAAGACCTCGAGAAGCTTACAAGCCAAACCCATCAGCCTCTCACTGTACTCTTGAGTTACTTTCACCCATCCCTCCGGCTTATCTGGCCACCGTGAGTAGTCTCTGTTTCTCACCGGGTACGAGAAATACGTTACAATCTCTCTCCAATCTTGTACGGCCTCTCCCTGCGTTCATAATTATATTTTCTTATCTAACTACAAGATTAAAACATAATGACTGCATGCCTAGAAGATTATGAGTCGTTACCTGGAGGTGGCTAGAGACGATGAACCCTCCTTTCTTACCACCGGACATGTCGAAACGGAGCTTTTCCTCCGGAGGCAAAGCGAAGAACTCACGAGCAAGACGAGTCATATCCGACACCAGATTGGTATCGACTCCATGATCTACCACTTGAAAGATGCCCCAATTCTCGCAAGCCTCCACGATCTTACGGCAGATCTCTCCTCTTTTCCCATCAACATCGTCGATACCGGCGAGAGAGATCACCGGGATTTCGTCGCTAAACTTATTATAGGCGACTTTGGGGCGTTCGTCTTCGTCCCGGACAAATTTAGAGTTGAGCTTAGACTCTCCGGCAAGCTCAGTCAGAGTTCCTGGAGCCATTTACAAAGACAAATTAAAAGAGGAGTGAGTCTAAAGTAATAAGAGACGTGGGTAGAGAGAAAGAGAAGATGTAATGAATATATATAAGAAGAGAGTGGTAGCTGAATTAACCTTTCAAAGCTTGTGATGACTGACGAACGAAGAGGTCGCTAGGTACCTACCACGGTACGTACTCTCTCTCTCTCTCTTTCTCTTCTAGAACAAAGGTTACTCAACTACCTATACGTACACATATGTATTTATCTCGCACGTAAAAATATATATCTTGTATGTTTTATAGCTACGTTTCAACGTATTACATTTCAACAGAACGTTACAGTTTTCGCTTTACACCTTGAAGAGGAAAAGAGTTTCTTCAACGGTAGATAGAAAGCCACGTCGATCTAGAAAAACATATATATATATATATATATAGTTGTGGTCAGTGGATAAGTCACGTGGCGGAGACTTGTTCTGCTACGGGGCTTGCGTGCGTTTACAAAAATATTAACATCAACCTACTAATTAATTTTTTGCATGCTAATTATCTCATTAATTGAGAGAGTTAAACCTATTTTACACTGTAAAACAATTGGATTCGTAGGAGTGTACGTATTATTAGGGTTTATAAACTTGGACACTTAAGTTAGATGTATCGATCATCCCCCGGGTGGAGGTGCTACCTAGTACTTACCGCACCGGGTCCATACATATTTGTATCTTATTATTTGAATGGTATAGTGACATTACAATAAATGGTACATGTACTTTAGCTGGGATAATAAATAGTTCCAAAAGTGTATAAGCAAGAACAATAAATAACATGCACTTTTGGGAAAATGCTCATTTATTCTGTAAGTGTCATCCTCTGCGGCCCTTTTAATAATTTCGGCCCGTTTAGCTCGTGAAAGGCCCAATACAGAAGAACAAAGACGGCTACTTTTTTTTTTTCCATGAGAAAACGGATCCAACGGCTCATCTTCCACTTCCTAAACAGAGAGGAGGAGCCACAACGGCTAGTTTGAAGAAAAGAAAAGGATTAAAAAAAAGAAAACACGTTCTAACGGCAACAATTTCCCCCACTCATGCCTATAATAATATACTGCGACCTAAACAAGTTTATCAGCTTCATCATAGTTCTTTCCCAAGTTCTCTACAAGAAGAAGTCATAGTTCAAATGGAGACTCTATCATCATCGACAACAAGGGTCACTAGATCGCAGGCTATCTCTTCAATCAACAACTCTGATCCTGACTCTATAATTCCCATTTCATCAAGTATGTTTCCTCTTTCCATTTCCTTACTTAGTTTCTTTAGCCTTGAAGAACCATTTACCAATTAACCAGTGATTTTCCAAATTTGCAAATGTAAATGTTCTTGATTTTAGTCTTCACAACTGTTGTTTTCATTTCCGTCCTCTGATTCATTTTGGCTCTCAGACAAAACAGAGGATTCAAACAGAGGAAACAAGGAAGACAGGTCGGCTGCGCTGATTGATATAACCAACGATTCACCTATCGTGGGTCTAGCGTTGCAGACACCTCCTTCAGGGTTTATGGTTAAACGGAGAAGCAGCAGAATCAAGAACACTCCTGGGTCTGTTGATGGTGAAGCCCTTTTGAGAGGACAAGTCAAAACCCTCTTACACAAGGTTAAAGAAGAAACAGAGCTTATCCACTCTGCAAAGACTCATCGTCCTTTCATCCACCTCGTCACTTCTCCAATGAGACTTGTGGCTCCAACTCCAGCAAACACTCCCCAATCCCCAAACTTTTCAGTTAGTAATGATGTGAAGATTAAGATCGCATCCCCGATTTTTGCTGGTCACTTGAGAACCTCTCAGATGTTTGAAGAGAAAGAAGAGAAGAGTATGAGCATAACTCGTTCTTTGCTGTTTGATCTCACCGAGAAGACAGAAGAAGATGTTAGTGGGTTAATGTGTAAAGGAGAGAAGGAGATGAGTGTGGAGACGAAGACTCAAACTGAATTTGCAAGGAAACGTAGCAGATTTATGTACAGGAGTAATGATGAGAAGACCGTAGAGGTCAAACAAGTGTTGCGTTTGAAAGGGACTCCACCTCTTCCTAGAGGAAAGCATTTAAGGTTTGGCTACTAAAGAAGAAGAAAACAAAAAAAAAACTTGTAATTTTTGATTCTTATTGGGCTTTGTTTTTGTATCGGTCACGAAAGAGTGATCTGTAATTTCTAGGTCCAAAAAGGCCCATAATGTGTGAAAAATTAAGGAGAAAGGTCGTTTTCGAGATGAGTGAGTGAGGATGAAATTATTTGGTGGTAGCAAATAGAACAAGTTAAAAGAAAACTAACAGAACACATGAGAATACATACATACACACAAGGACGTTCCAACGAACCTCTCTACTTGTTCTATTTACCCAAAACTTACTTCTTTAGTGTGAAGTAAACGCCAAGACATTTTGGTTTCTCTTATTTTTAAATGTAATAAAAAAGCAAGCACCACGAAAATACTTAACAACTTCTCATCATTTTTTGTCATTTAGTTTATTTTTTCGTCGGTAATGTGTTACACTTTTTAAATAAAACGATTCTATATAATATGGTGGAACCATCACATTATATAAGCTTTGAACTAAAATCTTGATTACGATTTTATCAATATTAAGTTGGTTATTATAAAATCTAAAGGAAAGAAATGTATTTATGTTTATATGATTATATCCTTTTGTTCTTCTTCTTGAAATTGATTCAAGCATTAACGTGGTCAGTTTCATCTTAGTCACTAATCTAGGCACCATCCGTTTTAAGTGACAACAACCAACAGTTGCAACAATCTTTTTCGGAAGGTGACTAAAATCTTTCTCTTATAAAAAGCTTGAGGTACCGTCATGACATGGACCAACTCATATACAACTAATCAAAGCTAACAAACATCACTTAATCAAGTGCAATGGTTCGCGCAGAGATCGAAACCGGAGCTCCTTTCCGGTCTGTTAAAGAGGCCGTCACTCTCTTCGGCGAGAGAATCCTTCTCGGAGATAACTACGTCAACAAATCCGTAGAGGTTATATATATAATCAAATGCATATAGTTCTTGCCCATACATATACTATATTAAGTATGTATTAATATATTAAAGTATTAACTTTTGGTGTGGTTTTATATAGAGAAACAGTTGTAAAAGCATCCAAGAAGAGCTGGTTGAAGCGAAGGAGAGTCTTGAGAAAGCTGAGGAAGAGAACAAGGTTTTGTCTCAGCTTATCGAAACCCTCACACAAGAGCTTGAAGCCACTAAGGAAAAGCTTAATAACTCACTCAGAAAATTCCCAGAGCACCCTCAAGTCGAAGATGACGATGACCTCAAATTCATAGAGCAATCCACGGTTAACGAACGGGACAGCATAACCGAGATCAAGATGACCCGGTATGATCAAAATGAAGCGTATGATGATCATCTGGAGAGGAGGCGTTCGGTGAAGTTTGCGAACCCACCATTGTTAACGAAGGTTATTAATGTGGGAAAAGAGGAGAAGAGCAAAGCTATGGTGAAGAAGCAGACGAAGAAGATGAAGCAGTTGGCTCCATTGGCCGCTTGGCTCTTTGCAAGAAACCGGTCTAGCTAGTTAAACACTCTAGAGATCCTCATCTCGTGTTTAGTACGTACCCATGCGTATACGTACCATGCCTTACGAGTAAATAAGTATCCCCGAATTCATTGTTTTTAAATTTGGGGAGCGATTCATTCCACTTAGATTTTGTTACATATTATATTTACTGATTACAATTAATCATCACAAAAACTTGTTACAATTACTCATAATAAAAAATTTGTTGCATAAGTAAACTAATTACCAAACAAGAAGAGTGAAGAATCTTCTTATCGGGAAAACAGCTTCGAGGATATATATTATATATACATAATTTTTTTGTGACCTGAGAAATTGATGAATTAATGACTATAGTAATAGTAACAAGTTATTTTCGTGAAGTCCAAAAATGGTTGCCGCAGATTAAAATTGAACATTAAGCTAAGGGATTACGTATTTACGCGCGTTACGAAGAATTACATAATTGTTCTATAAAAGCTAGCGGTTCAGGTAGTCGATTATAATTTACACATTGGAGTAAACTACAAGAAAACATATGGTGAACTATGATACAGAAAATGGAAAGTGATCATGTTTATAAACACATATTAACTAATGTATCATGCTTCATTCATTTTGGTCTATGTATATGTCTTCTATATATATGACTAATGACTATATATATGTATATATTTTAATCCCTGCACAAAAGAATTCTATATTCTATGATAACGTACGTGATGATGTTTATGTGGTATGAATTAGGATTAAATACTTAAATAACTAGAGGATTTATGGTGTTAGAAATCTCGCCATCGTTTAAAGAAAATAAAAGAATAACTTTTCCAATCATGACACAGGATTTATCCAGTCAAACGTGATCGATCTGTCATTTGAAGTATATATATATCTTATGTGTATTTGCGGCACTTAGCTATCTCTTTCTCTAGGAGTGAAACAGATACATACAGAAACGTATTTAGAGCCATTCATTAGTATTGTGAACAACGAGAGTATATATAATTAGAATCTATATATAATGGAGATAAAGCAAGCAAGCAAGTCACTGAAGCAGATGCTTAAGAGATGTTCAAGCTTGGGAAAGAAAAGCAACGAACACGTCCCCAAGAAGGGCCATTTTGCTGTCTACGTAGGCCACTCGAGAGACCGCCACGTCATCCCCATCACATTCCTCAATCACCCAACCTTCAAGATGATGCTGCAAAAAGCAGAGGAAGAGTTCGGGTTTAGGCAAGAGAGAGGCCTCACCATTCCTTGTGACCAAAACATCTTTCTCTCTCTCTTAGGCTCCATCACATCTTACCATAGCTAGCTACGTCGTAGTTATAATTCCGTAGTCTTCCTCACTTGATGAGAAGAACCTATATGTACAACCTTTTCTTTTTAATCTCTATATACATTATACACTCACCAATGATCGGAGAAATATGGTCTAATTAGTTACATATAACCGTGTAAATTTTGACTACTGAGATGATTAATCGCTTCCTTTGCTTGATGGTTGTATAAAAGGAGAGAAGATGACATATCACAAAACCTTTACGTGTCGTCTACACACATATATTCTTAACCATACCGACTTTAGAATTTTTGACATTGCATACCAACTTACTCAAGTTAGTTACAAGTTGGTTTTGAGTGGAAACTTATCATGAAATAGTATCGACGCGTATAATCTTGGACCAACAGTATCAAAAATGTAAGAGTTTTACATGTTATAGTTGATAAGTGATTCAGTGTATTACTGATGGTTCATGAAACGATATGAGCTAGTCGTCGTGTATAAACGTTATTATGGTTAATATCTGAATGTCAAATATTTTACACCTTACTTTTAATTTTGATCTTAAATGCTTTTATATATTTAACACAAAACAAGTAAACGCACTGGTATCTATGAATATGACAGACAAGCATGAGAATGGCTTTCTAAAACACATTTTTTTATTAATTAAAGATTTGATTTTGTGGTGTCTTTGGTTTATTTTATGATTAGACATATCATCCTTTCAAAACTTAAACAAATTAGCATTAGTCATGCGTATATAGTTAAGCAGCATGCAAGTTGATTTATTAAAATGGCATGTTTGCGATTGACGTATTGGCTTTGATAATCTAATACCGATGCTAATCACATATCAATAAGTAGACATGACTATAAACAACTATTTAATTCATTATATTTTGCTTCAGTTTTCACTTGTCGGCAAAATGTAATAATTCAAAAATGTAACATAATGTTATGAAAAATGTAATGATTCGTAATGTGTAACATAATGATGTCCACGGAGTAGGATAACTGAACTTTGAAGAAGGTATTAGATTTGAGTTTTGACACAAAGATTTTAAAACCAAATTAAGGAAATGAATTATGTATTGAAAGCATTACATTAGGTTAACATACATTAATTGGGCCTGCCTTCTAATTTCAAATAAGGTTACATGAAAGCCCTATAAGCCGACACTCAGAAATTAGGGCTTCTGTTTTGAGAGCACCCCTTATAAATTAGGGTTACAAGAAGGGCAAAGCTAAGGTTACTTGGCGGTAACGAAATGGGTCGTGTGATTAGGGCACAGCGTAAGGGTGCTGGTTCCGTTTTCAAGTCCCACACTCACCACCGCAAGGGTCCAGCTAAGTTCCGGAGCCTCGACTACGGAGAGCGCAATGGTTACCTCAAAGGAATGGTGACGGAGATCATCCACGATCCAGGCCGTGGTGCTCCCCTCGCTCGCGTCGCGTTCCGTCATCCTTTCCGCTACATGAAGCAGAAGGAACTGTTCGTAGCGGCCGAAGGTATGTACACCGGACAATACCTCTACTGTGGTAAGAAGGCTAATCTTATGGTCGGTAACGTTCTTCCCCTTGGATCTATCCCTGAGGGAGCTGTTGTCTGCAACGTTGAGCTCCATGTCGGTGACCGTGGTGCTCTCGCTAGGGCTTCTGGAGATTACGCCATCGTAATTGCTCACAATCTTGACAGCAACACAACTAGGTAATGTCTTGAAGCCAGTTATTAATTAGTTTGCATGCTTAGTTGTTTGAAATCGGAATCTTCATTTATAAAGTTGCGTGTTATTGTTACCATATGTCTAAACTAGCTAATTATATAACTGGAACATCCTTGTTTAACTTGACTTGAGTAGCACTTAACAAGATTGTTTATCATAATAAATAGGATTAAGCTTCCTTCTGGATCGAAGAAGGTTTTGCAAAGTGGGTGCAGAGCTATGATTGGGCAAGTTGCAGGTGGAGGAAGAACAGAGAAGCCACTTCTCAAGGCTGGAAATGCATACCACAAGTTCAAAGTGAAGAGGAACTGTTGGCCTGTTGTGCGTGGTGTAGCCATGAACCCAGTTGAACATCCCCACGGAGGAGGAAACCACCAGCACATTGGTCACGCCAGTACGGTCGCGCGTGATAAATCTGCTGGTGCCAAGGTTGGTCAAATTGGTGCAAGAAGAACTGGTCGTCGCAGAGGTACAGCTGCCACATTAGCAGCCAAAGCAGACTACTAGACTTAACTTTTGAGACACGCTTTTCTCTGTTTTTTGCTTAGTACCCCCATTGTTTCCGTTTACTTTAGTTTAATTTTTGTGTTGAAAGCTTATGAGCTTCGTATTGAATCTGCCCTCTGAAGGTATCATTTTGAATTATTTAATATATGAGGTTTTTATGGGGTCATTTTAGATGGTTAACTTACTAATAAAACTAAAACTCTAGTTATCTATCGTTTGTTTCAAAAGACTGGACACTTCAAATTACTTCTGATGAAAATTAATGCTGTAATCATGATTTATCCAGCTTCTCAAACTCTTAACTTGGTGTAATACTTTAGGTATCATTAAACTGGTGCTCTAAAGTCTAAACAAAGAACTTTGCTAAATGAATTTAAAATGGTGCACACAAAATGATCAAAATTGAAAGTGGTATCACCTTAGGTTTTGTTCCTTAACCAGTGATAGACAAGACTATACGAGAGTGAACTCTATTTTTGTGTTTTGGAATGAATCAGAGTCAATATTATGTTCAAAAACCATTTTTCTCATACCTTCCAAACTTCATTCTCTTTGCCCTCGGAACCACGGCCTCAAAGTTGGGCCTAAACCGGTCATGAAGATAGGTGCAACTATCTCCCAGCTTACATCCACTCGCAGTGCCAAAGTAGATACATTGTTTCTGAATCTTATTATTATCAATGCGTCCATTGAATATTCCAGTTTGTGAATGGTATTGGTTAGTTTCATGATTATCTTTCCCATGTTCCCTTATAAGGTTCTTGAAATAGTCTAGACCCTTCATAGGTTGTACTACCGGGTCAGGTCTACCAGTAACTTCTGCCCGGTGTAAGTTCATTGGATAAGAATTGAAACCGGTTTGAGGACCCCTTCCAAGGCCAATTGATGATGGAATGTTGTTCATTTCAGAAGTATGGAATGCGGGATTGAATTGGTGTTGGGGTTGAGGGTGTACTATTACCTTTGGTTCTGAGAACACATTTGGAGGTCTGTGGAGGTTAAGGTTCATTGGCAGAGAGCTCGATGGGAACCGAGCAGGCACAGGTTGTTCTTTAGCTATGCTGGCATGGAAATGAGCGGGCATTGGTATACCAGATGGTTCTCGATTTACAGGCTTAGGTGGGGATATGTTTCTATTTCCAGGCTTGGGAGGAGAAACTCGTCTCTCAGGGTTAGTAAAATACGGAGAAGCTGCGACACTATGCTCTTGTGGTATTATTACTGGCTGCGACTTTCTAACCATGGGTGCAGCGGTGACACGTTGCGAAACAAGTCTAGTAGTAGAGTTGATGTTAGTGTCAACGGGCTCATTCTTAGTTTCAGAGGATTTACCTGAAGTGTCAGTGATCAGATTCTTGATAATTTCGGGGTCGCTGAGGAACTTGATAAGTAGTTCAGTATCAACCATACTCCCCTGTTCCTTGGTTTCCATCAGTGCTGCCAGAGCTGCAGAAGCAGCCAGACTCAAGTCTGGTACAAGACCAGTAAGACCAGAAACCCGTTCTTGGGTTGAACAAGGAGGTTTTGTGTCCAACTGAGCTTGCTTGTTTGCGGTAAAACCAGATTCAACCGTACGGTGGGATGATTCCTCTGAAGATTCAGACTCGTCTTCAATTGGAGTGAGACGAATGGCAGGAGTTTTGCTGTCATCAAAGCATTCAGCTTCCACAACGGGTGAAACAGAGGGTCTACGTGAAAACAAAATGCGATCAGCAGGAGAACACACCAACAAAATAACCTAAGGGGTTCCAAATGCAAGAAAAGAAGGCAAATACCGAGAAGGGATGGCAGAGCGGTGCGGATAGATAGCTTCCAACACTTTAGTAGTTCTCAAGTTTTCAGTTGGGCATTCTGTGCTCTCGCCACCACCACCAACCAGCCAAGCATCATTGACAGAGAACTGTTATGTCCAAGACAAGACAAAATCAAATATAAAAACTTGTTTCAAAGGATTCCACTAATTCTGGATTATATATAAATATGATTATACCTTGGGAGGTCGTTTCCATTTGATGCGAGGAATGTTTGAAACATTAGGCTTAACTATATAATGATTTCCTTCAAAACCAGGTGGAAGATCTGGTCCCCGAGGTTTCCCAGATGATTGCTTTTGGTAGCTATGACGTAGAGGCTGAGAGGCAACTTTGGCCGGACAGTCCTCAGTACGAAACATCTTAACCTGTCCAAAAATCCACACAAGTTAGAAGCTGACCAAAGCTAAGTTTTTTCGTGTAGCAAAACCACTCATGCTTCGTAGCTATGAACCAATCCAACTTCACAAATTGTAAATTGTATGAATTGATGTATATATTCACCAGCATCATGTATTTAAAACTTGAAAACTTATTATATCTTGTGTAGAGATACAGCCAAACCAAATCCAAATCCAAATCCAAATCCAACTGATAGATGAGTCAAAATTCCAATCGAAAACAAAAAAAATCAAAATTCGAACATGATCATCATATCTTGGTAATTAAAATTCAGTTTCATATAAAAATTATAATATACGTTGGACTCTCCTTTTTCAAAGATATATGAAAACTAAAGCTCAAAGTAACAAACAGATCAAAGTTGGTTCCTTTAAAGTTCTAATTATCTTCAGATTGGATTGGAAATATTTTTAAAATGAAACAAATTTTCACCGATTCAATCAAGATCGTATGAATTCGTTGGGTTTAATGGAAGCTTGAAGATGGAGATTCGATAAGAGAGAATTCATAATCCAAACTTTTTTTTGTTAGGTTCAAACAAATGGCAAAAATTTGTAATTGAGATTGTAGATGTGATATATGAAGACGGATCAACCAGATTGAAAGTGGATGGGATTATAAAAACGATTGTATATATATATATATATATATATACCTGACAAAGCTTAGGACCTGGTGGCCATGA